AATCATTCATGTACATGATAATCCCCAACAATCTTTGTGTCTGAAAGTGAGAGCTTCAACAAAGTGGAACCCATGTGCACAGAAACCAAAACAAGGGGGAAAGAGGGAGAGATTGATAAAACTGGTTGCAAAGGGATGGGGACCAAAAGCATTTTATGTTGATTTTTGTGCCTCCCTGTATTCCCCAGTAATTTGAGTGCTGTGTGAAGTTATATTCATAGCTCTGGTTATTTACATGTTTCGGATGTATCCAGAGCTATTTGGCTAAAGGAGCTGTCATGGCTCAGGCCTTGGAACAGGATTAAGGGTGTCATAACTTCCCAAAGAGTAGGAGCTGCTAGGAAATCAGGAGGAAGCCAGCTCAAATTGTTATTCATGGTGGGAAAGGCTAATCTGCAACCACAGACTTTGATCTTCCTTTCAGTAACACCTGAGAATCTTGTCCCTGATTATTTGTCATGGAACATCAACCATTCCTGCCTAGGAAAATAGTTGTCCTCAGCAACCCAGCCCAGCCAGAAGCAACACAGCACACATTTGGTCGGTATATTGTTCTTGATACTTAAACAGAGAGAATGTAATTTGTAAATTTATACAACCTGAACGCCAACTAACAATCACATCATTATACCAATCCTGTCATGTAAACTGGAATTATTATGCCTACATTGCATGTGAAGGTTAAGCTATTCTGCTCTGCCTAAGTGCTGTCCCATGTCCTGAAAATCCTGCTGTTTATTGCATATCACTCATTTTATCACGCTCACCCTGCTCCAAATATGACAAGAGACTGTGGCCTTTGGACTGATGCGCCATTAAAAAACTACCATGTGCATAGAAAGAGTTCCTTGACTTGGTATTGTTCTGTGTCCGTGGAAGTTGTTGTACGGAGAATTATTTCATTGTGCAAGTGGTACAGCCCAGGCACAGTTCTATCGCCTTTGCAAGAACCCAGTGTCCAGTTTCAAGTATGAAGTGTGCTCAAAAGTGTGCACAGTTCCCCGCAGTGTAGAACAGGAACACAGGAAGCTAGCTTATACTAAGACAAGTCTATATAGCTCAGTATTATGTACATTCACTGCCAGTTCTCCAGGATTTTAGAAATGCCAGGGACCAAATCTGGAAACTTCTGTATTGTATTGTATACAGAAACCACCCAGAAATTGATACAAGAACCTATTTTGATATGGCAAACTGTGGAGGAAATTAGGGAAAAAGCTGTTGCTGCTGAAGGTAAAGTAACACAACTGGAGAAAAAGAGAAAGAGAGCCCCAGCCCTACAGAGGCAATTTGATGAACATAAGCTGACGCTTGCTACGACTGAACTTAAAGAAAAACAGACGAATTTGAGGATTAGAGTTCACCTTTGGTGGACATGCCCAAGGATTAAGACACTCTGGGAGATGATTCATAATGAAATGAAAAAGGTATTTAAATATACCCTTTTGAAGAAACCAGAGGCCTTTCTCCTGGGCATGGTCGGCCAATTGGTGTTAAAGAAGGATAGAATTTGTTTCATGTATGCAACAATAGCAGCAAGAACACTCATTGTGAAGTACTGGAAGACACAAGATTTATCCATTCGGGAAGAATGGCAGATGAAGTTGATGGACTATATGGAATTGGCGGAAACGACTGGCAGAAATCCGAGACCAGGGAGAAGAGTCGGTGGAAGAAGACTGGAAAAAGTTTAAGACTGTTTATAGAAATACTGTAAAAATAATGAATGTTAGAAAAATGTTGGGATGAAGTTATATGGCTTTAGTAGAAATGTTATAAAGAATCAAGTATAAATAGATTAAGAGTGTATTAAAGGGATAATAAGGCTAGAATATGTTAAGATAATTATAGGATAGAAAACAGAGGAAGATGGAAAGGAATTGCTGAAATAATTAACAGAAGTGGAAAACAAAAAGGGAGGTGTGAGGAGGTCGTGGAAATAAGGGAATGAAAAATAAGACATTGAAATTGTTTTGTGTTTGAAATGGTTTGTATCTTGCTTTGTTAGTTTCATGTTTTTCTTCTTTTTTTTTCTTTTTTTGTCTTTCTGTTTTGTTGTGTTTAAATGGTTGAAAATTAATAAATATTATTTAAAAAAAACAAACCTGGAAACTTCTGCAGGCAATGCAAATGCTCTCCCATTTAGCTATGGCCCTATCCTCACCCTACTTTCCCATTACTTTCTGTAAAACATCCACATGCGGATTTGAGTGCCCAAGGACTTCGAAATGGACTTAATCCAAAGCAATCTAACAGCTAAAAACTTAAGATGTTACTTGGCAGCCATTTCCATCAATTTCTAAGGACCAATTTTCACATCAGAACCCCAGTTGAAAGAAGTGTGAACAGATTATTTACAAATGCAACTGACTCGCAAAAAAAGTAGCATCTTAACCTGAATTTCAGGATGCTATTTAAATGCTGTCCATGTCTGAAAAATAGCTTGCAAAACCAATTCAAAGCTGGTCCTGATATGTAGCAACAGGAAAAGAAAGCGCAACTGTATGCACCCAATCTCTTCAGCATAGCTGAAGGGGACTCACTACAGTGGTATCTCGGGTTACATACGCTTCAGGTTACATACGCTTCAGGTTACAGACTCTGCTGACCCAGCAATAGTGCTTCAGGCTAAGAACTTTGCTTCAGGATGAGAACAGAAATTGTGCTCCGGCGGCGCGGCAGCAGCAGGAGGCCCCATTAGCTAAAGTGGTGCTTCAGGTTAAGAACAGTTTCAGGTTAAGTACGGACCTCCGGAACAAATTAAGTACTTAACCTGAGGTACCACTGTATATCATAGCCAATGTGTTTAAGACAAACATAGCAGCAAGTGCATTTTTTTCATTGAAGAAATAAGTTGGTGCTAAGAGGACCTATCATTTTATATCTGCCAAAATAATTAGTTTTGTTTGCTAAAATTAAGGCTGTAACTTGGTGCAAAGCTATTCTAATCCGCTGTGCTACTTTAACAACAGATTCCTCAGGCTTTTAATGGCGACAAATAGGAAACTCGGTAAGGCATGTTTTAATTAAAAACTTTATTATTTTCATTTTCATTACAATTCACAGTTTATGCATGGCAAGAGAACCTTTCTTACCATGTCAACATTCAGAACACTGTGCTGGGAGAAATGGTGGGGAGGGGCCTTTCCTTTGATGAGCCTGGCCTGGTAATAGTTAATGGAACTTTGCTGATTTGAGATGTACACGCTCAGTAACTCTTCATTGATTGCTATTTACATTGATAACTTAAGATTTGTTAGAAAAGAAGATGAAGCATCCGTACATTTAACATTCATAGTTCATAATGCTATTCAATAATCAGACAGAATGGATTTGTTACTTGAATTGTGTCCAATTGAAGTCCCATTTTGTTTTAGATAATCAGAGCCAAGGATGCAGGCCTCAAACAGCTCTACAGATGCAAGCCTCTGATTTCAATGAAGTTTGCATCATAGTTATGCTTTGAGGATCAGGCTGCCTATTAATCTCTTAAGGGGTATTATATTTGTTTTATATACAGCCAGGATGAAATAGAATCAAACGGTGAAGGAAAATAAAAGACAATCCATTCCATTATTTAAAAATCCTGCATTCCTTCTGAATCTTGCACACACTTAGAAACAAAAGACACAAGAGGCTATAAAATTAATGTTTTTTCCCCTCTTTAAAACAATTAAAGAAATCCCAAGGATTGGTTTCAGATCTGTGTATCAGCCTATTCTACCCAAATATTCAATTATATTCAGATTGTGCTATTGGTCAACTGTTTTTCACGCCTGCATTTGTGTTCAGATACCGTCTATATTCTCGATGTAGAAAGTCACAGTGATGCCAGTTTCAGCTGCATTCCCACTTTTAATCCCAGCTCCAGAATGGGCAAAAGCGTACGATGTAACATCCAGGAAAGCAATCAGCAGGCGGGATCCCTGTGCTAAAATAGCGTATGGCATGACGTGGCTAAAACAATGAAAATTTCAAATCCTTATCTGCCAGCAGCATGGTGTTTAATAGAAATGCTGATAATTCAGGATTGTTTCATGTTGATTCTGTGTAAAATGAGTCTTTTGATTGCACCAAGTTAATCTTACCTATCAAATCGATTAATAATACAAAACTGAAGATTTTTGGTATATGATGCTGATGCATGGGACTGAACTGCCAACTACGGCTTAAGTAACGAGACCTGAAATGGATCCATGAATTCTACAGGTCTGTTGAGTGTACATACTCTGCACCTGAGTAATAAAAAAAGAAAAGAAACCTACTTGCAGGGAGACACCTTTTGCAACCCTGGTAATTGCAGTGCCTTTAAAGCTAGACTTAGAAGCGGTGCTTTGATGTTTTTGGATTTGGCATCAGTTTCTTAATGCTGGTATCCTCAGCTTTAGACACCCTTAAAACATGATTGTTATGGTCTAGATGAAATATCAAAATGAGATAATGTTACTCATGCAAGAACCAACCAACAAACGAACAAACAAAAAACCATTATGAGAGTTATAGAGGTTCTGTTTCTTTAAAAGATAAGGCACTGACAAAAATTTCTTAGGTAAAAGGCTGCATAAGATTTTCTTGCCATTTACATATAGATTGTAGTCCGTACATGGTCCGTTCCTAGGCTTGGTAAGGTAGACCCTGAAAAGTTTAAGGACCGATCCCTCAAAGCTACATTGTTAACCTAAACCAGCAGTATTCATTCTTAACGCCTTATGGCACATTAGGAGAGATGAAGAAACAGTCTGGGCACAAAAAAGGCATCAAACATTGCTTGTTCCAGCATTTGTCAATGACAGAAGTGCCATTCATTTTCTGTCTTTCAAGAGATACGATGGTGACTCTGAATCCTTATTGTGGGTGGATTTCTGTTGGAATTCATGCACATGATAAAAATAATGCTATTAGCATCAGTTATGGACAAGGGGGGGAAATATCAGGAACTACAAGGTAAAGTCTAAACCGTAGGCTTCTTCTTATTAAAAGATCAGGATTCAAAGTCAGTGCTACTTAATGTTTTCAATGACAGCAATCTCTTCTGCTGCACAGTGAGGAGTCAAGCCATTCATATAAATGCTGTCCGTCTTTGTGATGGCAGGCAAGAGGTCTTTCTCACTGGTGAGGTGGTTGACAGACAAGGTTCTCTTGCAAGGAGTCAGGTCTTGGCTGTGGTTCACTGCCATTTCTGCAGAGAGCTTCCTTTTGATGGAGGTAGCCCGCTGGAACTTGTCGTAAATCTCCACACTCAGGCGTCTACGTGTTTCTTTGAACTCTGCCGTGACATTGGCTGTCCATTCAGCTGCATGAGCTCTGAACTCTCCCACCTAAAGAACAGAAGGAAGAAGGGGGGAGGGGGGAGAGATAGAAAGAGAGAAAGATTGGGAAAGAGAGAGGGGAGAAAGATAATGTCACTTTGCACTATAAAAATCAATGCATCTATTAAATCTCCATAGGAACAAAAGTTGACCATAGGCTGACAAAGAGCAGCTGCCCATTGGTACACCTTCTTTGTGCCCACAAATACTCCCTTTGATTGATGCCCAGACTTCTCATTATTTTGTTTCAGTGGAAGAATTTAGCTGCCATCTTCCTAATATAATAAAAAGGACACACAGCAACAGCTAAAAAACCTCCACAGCTAAAACATTTCACAGCTCTTTTTATAATTTTATCTAGGCCAGTGAGGTGAAATTGCCTTTAAAAATTAAGCCTCGACAGCTGAGAGGATCCCAGCTGCACAGGGAGCACTGAATTCCCAGCAATCCAGAGCGTGTGTTATGTGTTGTTACCAGGGGAGCTGTCGTGGTTATTTATGGACACCCTGGCAGTATGTGTAATGATCCCTGTGAGACTCGACACAGGCGTTTCTAAATTTAGATGGAAAGGGCTTTTAAAAGAAAAATTTCAGCTGTCGCTGTTCTGTTTTTAGTGCACGTTCAAACTGAGGATTAATGCAAGTGACAGTTTTAGTCAAGTCAGCAGAATGATTGCCAGTCTCTCCCTCCACTGCAGTAATAAGATTACTACGTGAAACTTGCAAGAGTGGTAGAATGAAGTGATCACTAACACTTTCAAATCATGCATATATGTATATCCCAGGGTGCAGGCATAATGATAAGTGTGGAAACTCATTTCTAAAAGTAATGTGAGCTAATATTTCTCTTTTGTACAATTTGAGGCTGCTATATGTGGGTGGGTGGGGATACACACACACACACACACACACACACACACACACACGATCTTGGTGTTGCAGCTAGCCATTTGCGCTGATGTTTTTTGCATTTATTATTTGAAATATTATTATTTTATATATTTATTTATATTCTGCTTTTTTCCAAATGTAATTGAAAGGAACATGCAATATATTTAAAGTAAAACAACAACAATATGACAGCAATCAATCGCTACCAACAAATCAAAGCCATCAGTAGATTAAAACTGGCTGAAACAGCCAAAGGTTTAACAGCCAAAGGATCAGCAATCAACTCTTAGATCTAAGGTATAAGGTAGCTTCCTAGGTTTCTTCCTAAGGGCTTTATATATGGATGGCAACACTTTGAATCAGGCCTGGTAACAAACTGGCAGCTGGTGCAGGCAAATGGAGCAGAGGTGTAATATGCTGACAGGGTCTCATGCCTGTCAGCAATTTTGCTGCAGCATAATGCACAAGTTGCAGTTCCTAGACCAAGCACAAGAGATGCCTCAATGCAGTAATCCACACAGGGTGCATTGCAGTAAAAGTTGCCAGTACAAGATGATTGCATTCTTTTATTTCTTAACACCATACATATCAATCACTCTCTCTTTCTGTTTTTGCGATAAACTTGTTAATTCTTTTATTCTAATACTTGTCTCTTATCTGCTTGCTAATTCCCTGATAACTAGTGCTATTTTAAGTTTCCTTGGTTCTGTTGCATGCAGCAACTCTGAGCTCAAGACCTGAAAATACATGTTTTGTTTGGGTACATGAATACTTGTGCGTGCACATGCAAGTGTAGACAAAGGCACACAGTAACATTCTTGATGAAGCCACTCGTGTATCCAATGTGCGTTGGTTCATAATAAGATACTGATTTTTATGGTCACTTCATTAAAGTTGGGAGCAGATAACGCACGGGCATTTTTACTTAAAACCCATTTGATTTATTTTCATGATTCATTAAGTTTAGAAAGGAGGTGTCAGACTGCTGCTTTAATCACTTCAAAGTGAATCTCTTTATAGTAATTACTGCACTTAAATAAATTAGTCTAATTGTTGAATTTTCAGTCATTGGCTGAAACGGAGATTAGCAAGAACGTATCTTTCGCCAAAGTTTATAAAAAAATAAAGCAACGTGAATTATGAAGCATTCACTATTCAAAGTTGCATTGTCTGACCTTAAATAGAAAGAACCAGGGTTACAGATTTTGATAAACTACAATAAATTTATTGTGGAGATAGCTTGCCAAAGGTGCTTTGCAGTAGTGGCCAGCGAGGTGGTGTGAATTGCGTTGAAGACCCAGCTTCTCAATGCTGCACAATGCTACCAGTTAACAAGAAGAAAAGGAGGAAAGACAAGGCAGTGGGGGAGCTCCGTGTGATGTGGGCACAGCAGGTGAAAGCACTGGATTGGCTCCATGGTTGCAGCTGCACCACACCAAGTTCCCCACTGTCTTGCCCTTCCCCATCTTGGTAAGTAGCAGCAATGTGCACCATTGGGAAGTCAGGAAGGCAATGTAGCTGCACCCACACAGCCTCACCAGCTGGTATTGGCTCTACCATTGAGTAGGGTGGCCACTCACACATTGCCAAGGGACCCTCTGGAATGGTGTGTGATGGGGCATGGAAGGGTTGCAGCAGGCTGAGGAAAGTCAGCAGGGCTGCCTTGTGCAAGCAAAGAGCCTTTCTGCTCCTGCAAAACATCTCTGGATCCACGCCAGTGTGTTTTTAAATCCTATTTTCTATTCTGTATAGCATCCAGGATCATATGAAAAATTAATCAGCAGTCATACTGTTTCTTTTTCAGGTCTCCCCTCGATGGCAAATTGAAAACATGTACCTTCCATTTACAAAATTCCTTCTCTGATGGTTCCTGATTTAAAAGGGTCCAGGCATTTTCACAACTAAAGTTGCTAATAAAAGCAAACAGAAGTCAAAAGCCACACTCTAGAGATTAAAAACACATTAAGTCCCTTTGAAATTAATGAGGCCAGTATCTGCACTTAATGCAGCTTGAATTTAGTGACATGATACTTGCCAATTTCTGAACTGTTCCTTCAGGGTTTCCCCAGTACCACCACTTATGCTGTTATAATGGAACGTGAAAATGTCACTGACAATCTGGACTGTTATATTTCAAGACAATGTGCAAAGCCTCCTGGATTTAGAATGAGATGTTATTAGACTTGCTTTGTTTTGGATACCACCTTTCTTCTCTGTCACCATCCCATACCTGAGTTCAGGCCAGATCTTGAACTGAACATCCTGAACTGACCCCTTATTTTGTTGTTGCTAAAGAACCAGTTGGCTATGCCACAGGAACTATTCATAAACTCTGCAGACTGCTTGGTCACACATCCAGGAGATGACAGAAAGTTACATCTCCCCAAATTACTGTACAGTTGGAGGAGGGGGCATGCTCAACAATCTATATTCACACCATTTGTATAGATGGCTTTGCACTCAATGGGTCTCTGAAAAACTCCAAAAGCGCTGGCACTCCTTATCACATTGCAATAACATGCAAAGCAAAGTGTATGGGCTCCGCCCTTGCAAACTGTTTGTCCATGTCTTCTTTCAACATGGAAATTCTGTAGGGTGTGGTACCAAAAGCACAATTTCCCTAGGTGATCTAAGGTCTATAAAGGGGAAGGTGGTTTCTCAGGTAACTTGGTCCAGATCTTGAGCAATCTAATTCTCAGAGTTCTTAGTCATATGGTGCCTCTGAGGCCTGTTTCTTGATTACCTTCTGTAAGTTTTAATAGTAATTTTTGTAATAAAATGGAGTTCAGGTGTTTTTGGTGGTGCCTTTGGGCAGAAGTAACTCACAGAATAAAAAGGTGATAGGGATTTAGTGCCGCACACTATTAAGGCACTCCCATTTCCTTTTGATTCTTGGGTTACTTGTATATATAGTGGTGTCATGCTTCTCTATTGCATCTGATTGGAGAAAGTTGGCATCACAGTTGCTGGAAGTAACAATGAGCAAGACTATTGCTCTGGACTCTAATTCTTCTGTGCCCTCAAATGCACTCAAAGAAAATGTTACCTTTTCAAAATACAAGTGGCTTTCCCATGTATTGCTAAAGACATAAGCTCAAAAGGTTACTGATGGAGGGCTGCGCAATTTTCAGACTGCCAGAGCTCATAAACAACAAGCTCTTGTAATTAAATTCCTCCTCCTCTTTATAACAATGTTTTGGTGAGAGTTCAGCTTCCTTTCCCCCCCCTGAGGTATGACATTTTCTCATAGTACACTCAATTTTACCTTAATTTGTAGCGTAGAAGTCAGTCTGTAGCTGATGCTAAGTGATTGAAATGCCAGTTGTTTGGGATTTTGTACTGAAGACCCAAACATTTGTACATGCGCATCATACAACAGCAAGGGCAATCTAACTTCTTTCATTGAACCTCTTTTGGTTTATTAATGATACAGAATCCAGTACTAAAGTTTTTTTTAAAATAATATTTATTGATAATTTCAGAATTACAAGAAAAATAAAAAATAAAAAACAACACTACAATACAAAAAAGAAAACAATAAAAAAGAGAAAAGCACAAAATATAAAAACCAATACGACAATACAGCAAAAGAAAGTAAAAAAGAAGAAGAAAAAAACACAAATCCCAAATTGCATATCCATAATTTCCATTTGCTTGTTTCATTGACCTCCTCACACCTCCGTTTTTGTGTTCTAGTTTAGTAATTATTTCAGCAAATTCTTTCCATCTTTCTCAATTTTTGTTATAAAATTTATCTTAACAATTTAACCTAATAATTAACTCAACAAATCCTTACCATCTTTCCCCATATTCTGTTATTCAGATTACCTTAATTTATTTAACCTTATCTTACCCCTAAGTACCTTAGAACTTAAATCTTAGTTTTCAAATATACATAGCTCCTGATATCATTTCTGCTAGAGTCGTATAGTTTCATTCCCACATTTTCCCTAATATTCATTAGCTGATTCTAAAATAAAAAATTTCCATTATAAATTCTCTTCCAATCATCATCCAGCGTCTCTTCTTCCTGGTCTCGGGTCATGTCAGTCCTTATTGTCCATTCCATCTAGTCCATCAACCTGGAAGCCTTATGTCCGAGGCCCTTAAATCTCTTCCATGTCCCTTCTGCAATTCTTCTTCATCTTGTTTGTGCTTGCCCTTTTCCTTGTCTTTTGTTGGTCTCTGTCTTAGTTTCTTTCCTTTCTCATTGAGGAGTAGGTCTCTGGGGGATTCCAACCCAAAATTGTCTCCATCACCCTTCATCCAGCTCGCCCATTCCCCACAGTCCCACTCCCCACAGTCCTCGATATAATCCAAAATGTATTTAAAATCAAATTTCAAGGTCTCTCCAAAGCTAGGAACCTCCTCATCTCCAGACTCCCCTTGGCCCACTCCAACTTCAATCTTCAATAACAGCGGTTTATGCTCCTGTAGGGCCTCGGGTCTCTCCATTTGTACTATTTGAGGTGCAGCCGCATCCTCCTCCATTGTCATCTGCACTTGCCCAGTCAGTACAGATTGATAGGTTGGTTCTTGGATGATTTCTGTATCAATGTTATTAACCACAACAGTCAAATCCATTTTCTCATTCATCAAGTCCATCTTCTCATGCATCTGTTCCAGCAAAGCATTTGTCTTGCATAAAGCAAGCACCCAGTCTTTCTCCCAGCTCATCTTTGTTCAAGGTCAGAAAAGACTGTTCCCACAGTCTTAATCTCACAGATGTTGGGTCTCAAATATGCTGCAGCAACAATTTAGCAAGCTCCCTCTAGAGGAGACAATCTACTTGTATCCATTTTTTATTTTTTTTTTGAAGACAGGAAAGTTACTTTCATTTTTCAGATATTTCAGATGTTTTTCAGGTATTTTGTTTCTTTAAAATGCAAAAGGCAACATTAGAATCAACTTGTTTCTCTTCATTAGCTATCTGTCAAAGTGTTACGTTCACAGTCAATGAACCTCTCCAACAGTTTCTGTCTCTGACACCCCGTTCCCAGGTTAGAGACGGTGGAAACTTATCCTTCTTCACTCCCTCTCCTGCTGGGGTTAAACAGAGTCCCCCCCCCTTTTCTCCTGCTTCCAAGGGGGGTTTCAGTGATTCTAAATGTAGGAAATTTAGTCTTTTTTAACAGCTTCCCGGCTTTAGCTTGCAATTTTTTTGCTTTAGTCTATATACAAAAAAGCGGAAGGCGGACTTCCTGTTTGCACCTTCCCGCTTCGATACCAAATTAATACAATTTCTTGATCCAATATTCCGTTTCTACTCACAGGTACTTGTTTTAAGTCCAATTGTCCACAGGAAAAAGTCAGCGCTCTCTGGCAATGGCTGTGCGGCTTCACTCCGTGAAAGTAGCAGTCAGTTCGTAGCACCGCGCTTCTCACCCCACTTCGCTCCGGAGCCCCTAGATGGGATTCCCCGCGAGTAGGGGGGTGCTTCTGGTGCCCTGCCGAACCCCACGTTCCCAGGCTTCCTCCGCCTGGGATTTCTAGCGGGTCCCCACCTTCACCGTGGCGGGAAGACCCAATTTCCATGGAGCCCATTCCTCCGGTCGGAGGAACTCCGCCATTCTCCAATGCCGCTGACCCGGAAGTCCCAGAATCCAGTACTAAAGTTATTTATGTCCACACATACAAACACACACGTACACTTTATTCTGGAAAATATTTTCTTTACAGATATGCTGCTACTCTCTAAAAACTGGGATGAATGATCGGAGTTCAAATATATATTTAAATAAACATATATGAGAATAACTTTCTGAAAGCATATTAGCCATTCTATACAATAGTAGCTGCCTAGAGAGTTTATAATGTACAAGTGGATTCAAATGTAAATAATAGGGGCAAATGTAAGTACAAAGCCTGCTTCAAGTGATTTTTGTTGTTTAGTCATTTAGTCGTGTCCGACTCTTCATGACCCTATGGACCAGAGCACGCCAGGCACTCCTGTCTTCCACTGCCTCCCGCAGTTTGGTCAAACTCATGCTGGTAGCTTCGAGAACACTATCCAACCATCTCGTCCTCTGTCGTCCCCTTCTCCTTGTGTGCCCTCCATCTTTCCCAACATCAGGGTGCTTTCCAAGGAGTCTTCTCTTCTCATGAGGTGGCCAAAGTATTGGATCCTCAGCTTCACGATCTGTCCTTCCACTCAGGGCTGATTTCCTTCAGAATGGATAGGTTTGATCTTCTTGCAGTCCATGGGACTCTCAAGAGTCTCCTCCAGCACCATAATTCAAAAGCATCAATTCTTCGGCGATCATCCTTCTTTATGGTCCAGCTTTCACTTCCATACATCACTACTGGGAAAACCATAGCTTTTACTATACGGACCTTTGTTGGCAAGGTGATGTCTCTACTTTTTAAGATGCTGTCTAGGTTTGTCATTGCTTTTCAGGTGATTTAACCTTCTAAAATCTAAGAGCAGAATGTTCTTTATTGTCCGTATGGAATTGTCTCCCCTGTGTCCTGTCCAGTCTGTAAGGGAGGTGGGAGACCACTTTCAGGCAGAGAGCCAGATCCAAAAGTAGCTAAACCTTCCAATCCAACTTCCATAGCAGATCTGATGCCTGTTACAAGCAGTATGGCTTGTATTGGCGCTAAATGCTGAATGCAAGCCACATCTGAAAAGGAATAATCAGGAGGTGCCTGACTGTTCCTTTGCAGTTGTCTGTCCTGGGCTTGATGTCCTATGTCATTACTTGAGTGGCCGGTGGGCATGGCCTAGTCACACAGCCTTGTGTGCCTTGTGTGCCTAACAGAACTGTCCTAAATGAACAACTGAATGAAGTAACTCATAGACATCCTTGTTACAAAATGCATATGATTTTCAATGTGAAGTTTGAGATGCTTTCAGTGTACTGAACTCCCTCTTTTATAATTTCTAACAATTATGACTAATGCATTGTCTGAAGCTCTGAAATCATTTTTGCTGATGTAGTTGTCAGTTATTTAAAAATAAAACTTCCCATTAACCTCCTGAGGATACAGCAGTCTAACTAGAAAGAATAATTTAAGTGTCACATTATCCATGCAGAAGACTAGAGTACAGAATGTTTTGTCTTTCCTTTCAAAAATCTTTTTTTCAACATTTCAGGAGCAGCTAAGTTTGCCTCTGTTTCTGAAAACAGATGGGCTCAGATGGAATCACTAGAAAGCAGGGTGATTGCTGGGGTACTTGTGCCAATTTATTGTTTGGCTAGGAAAGCTGTTCCACTTTTAGTTCACTTGTCTTTGAAGACTGCCAGCGAGATGAATTTCTGAAAAAACTGAAAATAGCAGGACACTCCAGTGTCTTTTTAAAAGTTTCCAGCTCTTTTGGTTGCAGACAAAGGCATAAAATTATGACTTCAATAGGGCCTAATGGTTCAGAAAGCAAATAAAGGAACCTGTGTTTCTTTTAAAATCCATCTGGGTGATTATGAGGGATGGGAATAAATTTCGAACACACAAGCTAACCATCTATTGCTTTACTGATGGTCAAGCAGGTCCCGGAACACTAATGTTCCATCAAGAACCCTCTTGTTCCTCTGATGAGGTTACCATGAACAAAAGGCTGTGGGTTTTGTTCAATACACGAAAAAGCCATCCAGTTTCCTGGCTGATTCAGACTCCATAATTCCAAAACTTCCGCACATTTCCACTTTCTTTCTGTTGTTATTTGGAGAATAATCCTTCAAGTTTGAAAGGAAAGGAGAAGAAGCAGGCCGCCCCAATAATCTAACTCCAATGCTTACCCTACACTCACACCCAAAACTTGCAGCAGAATGATGACCCACATGCTTACTTCAACATCTCTTCCCTAAATCATGGTGATTGGAGTGCACTGTGATTAAAAGTGGCACCAGTCCATCAAAATGAAAGGTATGCAAACCTCTCCATCCCCTTCGCTCTTGAGCTCTGGGTGTTTCCCCAGTCAGCTTGGTTTCGATTCACAAAAAAATTAAAGGTAGTGGGAAATGACTGCATTTAAGCTTATGAAGAAAGGAGGCAACTGAGAAGATTAGGTAGTCTCTGCTCCATTTCAATATGCCTTGTTAATGGCACAATCTGACTTCGTAACCTGAAAAGCCACCCCAAATCAACCCTAGTTGCCTGGTTATTTGGGGTACACAAACAGCCACTCCTGCTAATCACAATCCTCAGGGACTGGGCAGAGATAGACGTCACCTGGAAGCAGCAATCAGCAGTGACTTGAAAGCAGATACCTGGACCAAAGGTGAAGTATGACAAGGAAAAGAAGCGGTAAGGCAGGAAGTTGACCAGATACATGAACTTCAGTACTATGGACAGCTCCTTATAAGGAAAAAACCACCACCCTGTTCTGTAAATCTCTGGAGAAGAACATAGATAGGCCTGTGGCATGTCAAAATACCATTCCCTTAAAGATAAAGGTAAAGGGACCCCTGACCATTAGGTCCAGTCGCGGACTACTCTGGGGTTGCGGCACTCATCTCACTTTACTGGCCGAGGGAGCCGGCATACAGCTTCCGGGTCATGTGGCCAACATGACTAAGCCTCTTCTGGTGAACCAGAGCAGCACACAGAAATGCTGGTCACCTTCCCGGCAGAGCGCTACCTATTTATCTACTTGCACTTCGTGCTTTCGAACTGCTAGGTTGGCAGGAGTAGGGACCGAGCAACAGGAGCTCACCCCATCGTGGGGATTCAAACCGCCAACCTTCTGATCGGCAAGCCCTAGGCTCTGTGGTTTAACCCACAGCTGGCCTTTAATCTAGTACACCTCTGGAGTTCTGTCATCTTCTGGAGAGTCTATTGTTGTTTCAGTCAAGAGAGAATAAATGAATATGGAGTCTTGGGCAATTGAAAGGTTGGCTCTTCAGATAACTCAGATAATCTGGTCTACTAGTGCCAAACTCACAATGATTGGGTGGCTCTTCTGCTGTACTGGAGTCCATAATCTGCTGTCCCCAAAAGAGGCTATTTCCTTTCTATGGGGGCCATGTTACCAGGAGCTCCTGGAGCTCCAATTTAGCAGGTAGTTGTACCCACCCTGTGGATTCCCCTCGGGCCAGATGCCAAAGAGATAAACAATTATGTGATTTGGGGGGGACATGTGAAGGCAGCCCTGTTTCAGGAAGCTGTTAATGTTTGATATTGTGTCGTGTTCTTTTCCACTCTGTTGGAAGCTGCCCAAAGTGGCTGGGGCAACCCAGTCAGAGGGGTGGGGTACCAGAAATAAATTACTAAATGGCATATGCAATGGCTGCAATATGCAGTTCATTGGTTCACCATGCAGGTGAACTGCATTTTGCAACCTCAGCATAGGTGGCCACACACAAACTCTAACAACAACAACAACCCTGAACAGACCCCCACTCACCCAGAATAGCTCTTTGATAAACCTGGAGGGGAAGGAGAATAAACTGTTTTTCCAGTGAAGACTTGCTTGAGCATCAATGTCTTACTCAGTTTGCTTTTGTATGTTCCTGTCAACATGGGAACTAGGTAACTAAGGATTATCTGCTCCCATATGAATCTGTCCAATAACCAATATCTTCTTTTGATACCTTTTGTCTTGAGTCCAAACTTCAGAAGTCAGACATGTGGCAACTGGAGAGAGTTTTCTGTACCCTAGTAGCAAAATACCTTTCCAAGCGACATTTGTCTGGCACCCATTCTGAATTGTTTTAGGTGACAGGTTAAAACTATTTGATGTAATGAATTTCAGTGCTACTTTTGAGATATTCATTGTTGTTTCATTGATCTGTGCTGTGTTCTGATGGTTTAGTGAGATTGTAACTGGTAATTGTATTGTATTGCATTTTATTGTATTTAATAATTGTATTGTATTGTATTATAATTGTATTGTATTTTAATGAAGTTGGGTGATATCAAATCTTATTCATACATGGTTGGCTATCACCGGGGGGCATTAAAGAAGATACAATTTTTTAAAAAATGTAAAGGCTATGTATAAATTCATTGAATAAAAAATACAATAGCCTACAGCATATCACATGCAGAATTACTGAAAATTCACCACTACTACCCCTTCTTAACACAAAGCATTTTTTGGCATTTTAAATGCACTCTCATGTGCAATTCACCTCTCATTGAAATCAATGACAAAGTTCTCAGGGCTAAACTACTAATGATATCAAAATGGATAAACTGAAGTGTGGGAGTGGTGTTATAAGAATTTTAAAGCATACAGCATTGCATTTCTCTAACAGTAAAATGTAAAATGTTTGAAAACATTGTTCTCATTATTCTTAAAAAGGCTATTTTTAAAAAGGACATTTGGGTTATTTCCCTTCAGACTTGTTCATGAGATTAATATAGCGTTGGTGGCTGATCTCACATTTGATACAGACATCAAAGAGCAGAAGTTAATATATGCCTAAATGCTCAATATCCTTCATCAAAGAGCATAAGGTTTAATGTTCCAGCTACACAATACACACTATTACTAAATACCAAAAGACAGAGTATGTCTTACGCTTGGCAAGTTTCTATTTCTTTCTATATATAAGAACCTTTGAATAGAAATTCATATTCAGGAATTAATATACTGTATATAATATATAAACATACACATATATTCAACCTCTCTGTCTGCCCCAGAACCCAGAGTTGCAAAAAAGCCAAACCCTGCTTCGTGACCTCCTTGGCTGGATTGTGTCCGTGAACTCTGATAACACTTAGCTACAGAATAAGGCTTGTCTGCAGAAAGTAGCCTACTTTATAAGGGCAAATTTTGCATGTGTTGCTCTGCCTACTTTATGGTCCCAACACCTAAAAAAGATTGTCCACAAGGGAACGTGGCCCTCAAACAGACAAAGTTCCCCTACTTCTGACTTAAGATAATATCATCCTTGTCAATGATAATAATGAATGAAGTCCAATCTCCATGCTACTTACTTTACAGTATTACAAAATGGAGGAGGACATGATTTGAAAACTGCATATTAAGGAAATGAGGCACTCCGCTGCCTCTGAAATTGAGCTTCATCAGAAATCTCATTCCAGCTAATTAAGCTTCTTGATCTTAGCATATTTTTGATAGGCAATTGAGTGATCAATGTGTGTTGTACAGCCCTTGATTGCCCAGGAAAATGAACTACAAGGGACAACACCTATTAAAACAATGGGCCACAATATCAAAAGAGCAAATTGGTGCTTGAGTAATTGAATAGTATAATAAAGAACATGAAACCCCTGAGAGGGAGTAATGCTAAAAATGAATGCTAGAGACATGAGGCTGCCATAACGTATGGACTACATTCGTCTTGTTTAGTAACAAACAGTCTTACAATCAATAAATGCTTTATTATATATCCATTTGCCTCTCTCTTCTGCACTTGTGAACGTAAGGAAGATTATATTGTTTCTCAGACTTCTGATAAGCAAGGCACACTTTTTCTGTTTTGAGATGGAAAGCACAATCACTGTTACACGTAGGGTGGTTTACTTTTACAAGGTGTAAATATTACCCATCCTCAGAGGAGCCTACACCATGATTGGAAGCAAGCAAGCTAAAGCTAAAAATTTGTGACAGGCAGCTTCCTCTGAGGACCGGATAATTGAGGTGCATTTCTCCTTTAGGAGTGATTGAACAGTCCAGTCACAGTGAATATGAAGACTTAATAGAATTATATGTGCCATGTAGAGGTTGACTGAAAGGAGACCATGCCAGAGCAATGAATCATGAAGATAAACAACAGGTGTCCTCTTGTGTTTCTACATGATTCCCGACTTCCCAGCCAAACCTTAGCCTTTTATTTCTCAGTGATTTCCATAGGCAAGAGTTCATTCTTCCACAGAAATTTAATGGTGCTTAAAATCCTACCAAACATTTGCCTGTCCCTTCATAGGGAAAAGAGTCCACTGCGTATGTCTGGCCACAGCTGCTTCAGGATTGCTATCTTTCTCTCTGTGTGAAATTTCTTGCTTTTATTCAAAGACACAGATGAGAGTGGCAAGATGCTTGATTTTCAGAAGGAAACAGAGCTGACCTAACTGTTAAAAGCCCTTCTCCACATACACAATGGTCACCACCAGTTTCCTAAGTAGCAAAGCTGGGTCCAGGAGTACCCAAGAGTGAACTCCTCTTCTGGCAGTCCTGAGCCCTCCAATAGCTTTACAGCAAAGGAAAATAATCTCAGAACGACACAGCCAATCCAGTCGTGTGCTTCCTTAGCAAAAATCGCACCACTTTGCTTGGCTGCTCCACCATCCCTTCTTGGTTAACTGACTTCTTGATAGCAGAATTTAACCCTTAAGTCACACATGGAATGATCTCAGCTGTTGCACTTCCAACATGATTGTTCCCAGCAACTTTACTGCTACACACTGTTGCCAAGCTCCCTGTCTTGTTTTCTTCCTTCTCTACATTCATCCAAGTCACCTTTTGCTTCTAGCTACAAGAAACTAAAGAACACAGGGCTGCTCTCATGAAGACTATGATGATGTTTGCAAGCTATTTGGACTTGGGACCAGCAATATTTAATAGTATTGCAGGATAAAAAATCGACTCCCCTTTCACCAAAAGCGAAAGTAAATTCTTCAGTGACTGCCAAACACAATTGCAACAAAGAATCCTATATTGGCAGGGCACATAGGAAATATATATAAAAAGAGCTTGTTTTATGTGCTGTCTGGGAGCTTGCAAGGCAGAAAAGCTTCTGCCTACAAAAGAATACAAATGCTCCAACAAACTAAATCAAAATCCTTTTATGTAATTTCCTTCTTTTTTAAAAAAAATCCTCCAAGGTAGCATGTTAATGCAATGCATTAGAGCTTCCCGGCAACACACACAAAAAATCATATAATTTACTCTGTACTTACTGCCAACAATAGTTCCAAAACCATTGTGATGAATGGGTTCGTTTATTGCAAGTGCTAGTGTTCTGGATTAAAGGAATGCCAAATGGGTCTAGGCATTTCAAGAGGAAATAGATATATATGATTTACAGCAGAAAGTTTGCTGTGGTACCTTGACTTCATATAATCGGAATAAAAGGGGGAGGGAGTCCACATGAAAGCCATTATGTAACAGTATCTTTCTTTAGTCAAGGAAACATGAACTAAAGCACAATATGCTTTTCATTTCTGTAGAAACAGTGAATACACTTGTTTAGACTGCAAAAGTGAGAAAGATAATGATGTGAAAACACATTTGTAACAGTTGCTGAACAAACTAGGTTTGGCACAGTTTTGTGTTATAGTCCCTTCTCAAGTAGTAGTGCACTGAGTAGACAAAAGAAAAGTACTGTAATTGAAGCACTTAATGTACCTAAACACATTCTTTCCTTTTTAAGGGTCAGAGCACACATTTAACTGACTAAGGATATTAATCAACATAGTGGCTGGTTTACATTTATCTCCATTCTGGACAGCACAGTTTTCAGACTGTATGCCCTTTGGGGTAGAATTTCCTGTTTAAATTGTGTATGTAGCCATGTACGCTGATGGTGCTATATAAATAAATGTTAACAACAACAACCACAGTAAGAACTACTTATCACATGGATCACTACTATCACACTGTGAGTTTCTATGCCAGGAGCAGGGAACCTCTGGCAGAAAGCACTCAACATGGCACCCCATTCCAAGCAGCCTGCCCATTATAAGTGTAACTTTTGGTCCAGCAACAATTAATGCCATGCTATGTCTTATTCAACCATGACCATAGAAGGAAAAATAGCTGTACTACAACATAGGACCCTTAAAGGAAAGGGGCAATAATTTAAGAGTGCAAGAATCCAGTTGGATCAGATGAGAGAGAGAGGTGGTGGGATATTTCTTTTCTATGCCAAAGTGTCACTTTTGAAAAAAAGACAGCTTGTGAGTATTATGTTAGAGCTTTATTAAAAAATATGTTTAAAAATATATTAGAACTCATGCACTACCCAATGAAGTGGGTTGGCAGCATATTTAAGCTGGATGAATACATAATTAATTTATAGAATTGAATACAGTTCTGGGGGACAGGTCTGTTGATGGGTATTAGCCTGCAGGCTAATGGAATAAATGGGAATGTGCCTCTGAATGCCAGTTGCTGGGAGGTAAACAATGAGAGATGGTTTCCCAGAAGCATCTGCTTGGCCACTGTTGAAACACAATGCTAGAGTAGAGTAGGTATCCAACAGGGTTTTGCTCAAGTTCTTTCTTATATCCATCTACTTCGGAATCCTTTCCTAAACACTGGCCAAACAGATGCTTCCAGGAACTCCACAACAAGCCATTCATGAAAGCAACACCCCCTCCTTGTTGTTTGTCCCCAGCATATGTTATTCAGCAGTGTTATTCAGTAGTATACAAAATAGCATTTAAAGGGCAAAATATTTAACTTAATGCAAACACATGCACACAATCTAGTTTATGTGACTCACTTGTCTCTCTTTTCTTTCTGCCTTAGTATAGCTGACTACTCATGAGGTGGGGCATGTGGACACCATGCGACGAGCTGAAATCTTGATCAATTTCCCTTCCAGGATACAAGTACCAAGATACTCTCAAAGCATGATGACACAGATTTGAGAGTAAAAACCTGATAGGGGGCATTGCCAGATTATCAGAGGCCAGGTTAAGGAATTAAGACAGAAAGAGCAATCTAGAACTGAAAGCAAGTAAGTGGTGCAAAAGGAGTAGAATAGCCTAAAAGTGGATTGTATCCAAAGTAGTTCCATCAGCACAATGATTTACAGTTGCACAACATAACTTTTCCACATCTCCTCCCTCTTTGCCCCCCAATCTGTTCTGGGTCCCCCCCCCATCCTCTGGAGCAGATTTGGGGAGACAACATTTCATTGCACAAGTATAAATCCTTCCGCTAATGAATTAAGACAGGAGTGCCTGGCGTGCTCTGGTCCATGGGGTCACGAAGAGTCGGACACGACTAAACGACTAAACAACAACAATGGATTAAGGGCACCAGATATGCCCAGTGTTTCTTCTTAATGATGAGAATGAAATAGTATCCAAATAGCCTCTAAGAATGTCTCATAGGGAATCTGGCACAGGGCCTTCTTGGTAGTGGTGCCCACCCTGTGGAATGCCCTCCTACCAGATGTTAAGGAGATGAGTAATTATATAACATTTAGGAAACATCAGAAGGCAGCCATATATAGGGAAGCTTTTTAAGGTTTAATCTTTTATTATGCCTTTATATATGCTGGAAGTCGCCCAGAGTGGCTGGGGCAACCCAGGCAGATGGGTGGGGTACGAATAATAAATTATTATTATTATCATCTGAATATAAGGAGAGCGCTGCTATACCAGACCAAAGGCCTATTTGGCACAGTATCCTGTTTCCTAACATGGCCAACCAGATGTATCCAGAAAGCCTAAAACTAATATATGCTATTCAGGGGCATGTAACCATATACAGTGGTACCTCGGGTTAAGTACTTAATTCGGTCCGGAGCTCCGTACTTAACCTGAAACTGTTCTTAACCTGAAGCACCACTTTAGCTAATGGGGCCTCCTGCTGCCGCCGCGCCACCAGAGCACGATCTCTGTTCTCATCCTGAAGCAAAGTTCTTAACCTGAAGAACTATTTCTGGGTTAGCGGAGTCTGTAACCTGAAGCATATGTAAGCTGAAGCGTATGTAACCTGAGATACCACTGTAACTCTTTACAACAGGTGTCTTCTTAAAGAACTCCAATTAATTTTATAAAAGAAGTACAGGAAGATTTGTCCTAGTATCTTGACAGTGACAGGAACACAAGAGTTTAACACCCCTGAGCCATATGTCAGATCAGGGCCCAGATTCACAGTAATAATAATAATAATAATAATTTATCACTTGTACCCCGCCCATCTGGCTGGGTTTCCCCAGCCACTCTGGGCGGCTTCCATAGAAACAAAAAATACAGTAAAATACCACAGATTAAAAGCTTCCCTAAACAGGGCTGCCTTAAGATGCCTTCTAAATGTCAGGTAGTTATTTATCGCTTTGACATCTGATGGGAGGGCGTTCCACAGGGCGGGCGTCACTACCGAGAAGGCCCTCTGCCTGGTTCCCTGTAGCTTTGCTTCTCGCAATGAGGGAACCGCCAGAAGGCCCTCGGCGCTGGACCTCAGCGTCTGGGCAGAACGATGGGGGTGGAGGCGGCTCCTTCAGGTATACTGGGCCGAGGCCGTTTAGGGCTTTAAAGGTCAACACCAACACTTTGAATTGTGCTCGGAAACGTACTGGGAGCCAATGTAGGTCTTTCAAGACCGGTGTTATGTGGTCTCGGCGGCCGCCCCAGTCACCAGTCTAGCTGCCGCATTCTGGATTAATTGTAGTTTCCGGGTCACCTTCAAAGGTAGCCCCACGTAGAGCGCATTGCAGTAGTCCAAGCGGGAGATAACTAGAGCATGCACCACTCTGGCGAGACAGTCCGCGGGCAGGTAGGGTCTCAGCCTGCGTACCAGGTGGAGTTGGTAGACAGCTGCCCTGGATACAGAATTGACCTGCGCCTCCATGGACAGCTGTGAGTCCAAAATGACTCCCAGGCTGCGCACCTGGTCCTTCAGGGGCACAGTTACCCTATTCAGGACCAGGGAGTCCTCCACATCAGCCCGCCCCCTGTCCCCCAAAAACAATACTTCTGTCTTGTCAGGATTCAACTTCAATCCATTAGCCGCCATCCATCCTCCAACCGCCTCCAGGCACTCACACAGGACCTTCACCGCCTTCACTGGTTCTGATTTGAAAGAGAGGTAGAGCTGGGTATCATCTGCATATTGATGGACACCCAGTCCAAATCCCTGATGATCTCTCCCAGCGGCTTCATATAGATGTTAAAAAGCATGGGGAGAGGACGGAACCCTGAGGCACCCCACAGAGTGAGGGCCCAGGGGTCCGAACACTCATCCCCACCACCACTTTCTGAACACGGCCCAGGAGGAAGGAGCCGAAACCACTGTATAACAGTGCCCCCAGCTCCCAGCCCCTCTAGACGGTCCAGAAGGATGTTATGGTCGATTGTATCAAAGGCCGCTGAGAGATCCAGCAGAACCAGGAAACAACTCTCACCTTTGTCCCTAGCTCGCCGGAGATCATCAACCAGCGCGACCAAGGCAGTTTCAGTCCCATGGTGAGGCCTGAATCCCGATTGGAAGGGATCCAAATGGTCCGCATCCTCCAGGCGTGCCTGGAGTTGTTCAGCAATCCACGCGCTCAATCACCTTGCCCAAGAATGGAAGATTTGAGACTGGGCGATAGTTGGCCATACTGGCCGGGTCTAAAGATGGTTTTTAAGAAGCGGCTTAATGACCGCCTCTTTCAGCGGATCTGGGAATGTTCCCTCACAGAGGGAAGCATTCACCACCCCGCAGAGCCCATCGCCCAGCCCTTCCCGGCTTGCTTTTATTAGCCAGGATGGGCAAGGATCAAGGAGACAGGTGGTTGCTTTCACGCGTCCAAGCAGCCTGTCCACATCCTCGGGGGTAACGGATTGAAATTGATTCCATGCAACTTGACCAGACAGGGCTCTAGCACTCTCCCGCCCCAGCCCTGCTCCCACGGTGGTGTCTAGCTCCTTCCGAATATGAGTGATTTTATCTGCAAAAAACTTTGCAAAATCGTTGCAGGAGATCTTGGGGCCTTTACAATGCCCCGGTGGTAAAGGTGGTTCCGTTAAATTGCGAACCACCTGAAAGAGTCTCCTGCTACTATTTTCTGCAGATGCAATAGAGGCGGTGAAGAAACTCTTCTTCGCCGTCGCTATCGCCACTTGGTAGGCTCGACGTTGAGCTCTAACCTGTGTCCGGTCAGATTTGGAGTGAGTTTTCTGCCACCGACGCTCTAGCCGTCTCAGCGATTGTTTCATCACCCTCAGCTCCGAAGAAAACCACGGGGCTGTCCGGGCTCCATGCAATCGGAGAGGGCGCTCGAGCCAGACAGTCGATAGCCCTGGTTAACTCCGCATTCCAGCGGGCCACCAGGGAATCAGCTGAAAGGCCATCAACATGGGCTAAAGCATCCCCTACCACTCTCTGGAAACCATTTGGATCCATTAAGTGGCGGGGGCGGACCCGCCGAAGTGGTCCCACCTCCCTGCAGAGGAAGGGTCGCAGAGAAGTCCAGTTGCACCAGGAAGTGATCTGACCATGGCACTTCTTTTGTTTCACTTTTACTTAGTGTCAGATCACCCACGTCACTAGAGGTGAACACCAGGTCTAAGGCATGTCCATGACTATGAGTTGGGCCAAACTTATTCAGGGACAGCCCCATGGAGGCCATGCTTTCCACGAAGTCCCGAGCGGCCCCTTGTAAGGTCGTGTCGGCATGGATGTTAAAATCCCCTAGGACAACCAAACTAGGTGTCTCCAGGAGAAAATCCGCCACGACCTGAAGCAGCTCGGACAGGGAATCCTTGGTGCAGCGGGAGGTCGGTACACCAAAAGGAATCCTGTACTGCCCCTATTGCCCAACTTCCAGAACATGCACTCAGAGAACTGGATCTTCCCAGTAGGACGCCCGGTGCAAGCTAGTGACTTCCTAAAAATCACTGCAACCCCCCCTCCCCGCCCACATGACCTGGGTTGCTGTGCGTAAGAGAAACCTGGTGGGCAAGCAGCGGCAAGGACAGGCCCATCTGCTTCCTCCAACCAGGTCTCCGTCACACATGCCAGGTCAAATCCTCCATCCACAATCAAGTCGTGGATGGCAGTGGTTTTATTCATCATTGACCTGGCATTGCACAGCAACACTTTCAGGTCATGTGGGTTTCCCCTGTTGATTCCAGTATCCATCCGGTCAAGGCCAGACCCGGAGGCAGGGATAGTCTTCAAACAACGACTAAACCTGCCTCCTCGGTAATGACATGGTCTGGTCTTAGCGTAACTCCGCCTCCTGCCCATGATCACCGAGATCGGATGTCCCAGTGCTTCCCCCCCCTGTGGAACTTGTCCCAGCCATCGTGTTGGCTGGGGAGCCACTCCCAGGCAGCCCTGATCCCGCCCCTTAAAAACAAAACACAAACAATACAGAACCAATAAAACAACAACAACAAAAAAGAACAGAACAATTATACTAAAATTAATCCCCAACCATCCATCCCACCCACCCACCCCCAACAAAGGAAAAAAGGGAAAAAAGGAATAAAAATTGATATTGCCACCGACTGCATGAGGACATTTTAAGACACATTAACCGCCTGGAACAGGGAAACAATGGCAGAACACTTCCCACACTTCCCCAAAAGTTTGTTCCAAATAAGGGCCTGGGCCACGTCCCCTGGGCCAGTTGGAAAAGGCCCTGGAAGGGAGCAGGCCCTGCAGTCCTCACCCAGCCGATGGTCCGAGGCTTCCCCGCAGCAGGAGTCCCTTTATAGCTGGGAGAAAGGGCCTGGGCCACGCCCCCTGGGCCAGTTGGAAAAGGCCCTGGAAGGGAGCAGGCCCTGCAGTCCTCACCCAGCCGATGGTCCGAGGCCTCCCCGCAGCAGGAGTCCCTTTATAGCTGGGAGAAAGGGCCTGGCCACGCCCCCTGGGCCAGTTGGAAAAGGCCCTGGAAGGGAGCAGGCCCTGCAGTCCTCACCCAGCCGATGGTCCGAGGCCTCCCCGCAGCAGGAGTCCCTTTATAGCTGGGAGAAAGGGCCTGGCCACGCCCCCTGGGCCAGTTGGAAAAGGCCCTGGAAGGGAGCAGGCCTTTCTCCCTAGCAGTTATACTATGCTTTTCTCTACTAGAAAAATATCTTCATATTACTGTGCCATTACGAGCTGGATGCAAGGTTTTCCTGGGAATAAATGGATGGAAATACTGAAGTTCCCTCATACCAGACCTTCCTGATCAGGTAGCACTACTGAACATAGAAGGCATGTAGAGGATTGCTGACCCAATATGTCTTCTATAACAAATGATTGGTTTCATTTTGTTTTGGGGAAATAATAATAATAATAATAATAATAATAATAATTTATTATGTATACCCCGCCCATCTGGCTGGGTTTCCCCAGCATCTCTAGGTGGTTCCAGCAGAATATTAAAATACAATGATTCATCCAGTATTAAAAGCTTCCCTAAACAGGGCTGCCTTCAGATGTCTTCTAAAAGTCCGATAGTTGTTTATTTCTGATGAGAGGGCGTTCCACAGGGTGGGCGCCACTACTGAGAAGGCCCTCTGCCTGATTCCCTGTAACTTCACTTCTCACAGTGAGGGAACTGCCAGAAGGCCCTTGGCACTGGACCTCAGTCTGGGCAGAATGATAGGGGTGGAGACTCTCCTTCAGGAATACTGGGCAGAGGCTGTTTAGGGCTTTAAAGGTCAGCACCAACACTTTGAATTGTGCCCAGAAAGTACAAATGAGCAGATATCCTGAGCAGAAAATATCCTGAATGTGTTTCTCTTTTTGTAAAACATGATTTGTTCATACAATCTATATACTAATAAAATATTTTCTTATCCAACGCCCAAGAAAACTCCAATGACATTTTAATTAAAATAATTTATAGCCACACTATCACCAACAGATGCACATTATCATGTAAAAATAAATAAATAAATAAATACACCTGCAGTGAAACCAATATATTTGCCTACAAATGACTATCCATGTCTCAAAATGATAACAGATGAAGAAACGTCAGAAGATGGATTAATGGCCCATAAATGTGGGCCAATGCTTACATTATAGGAAATACATACTTTCACAAATCACTAATCTTAATATTTGGTATAACCTTTCAGAAATTTACATGCTGAGAACCTTAAAGGACCAATAATTCTGGGAATCTACCATGCTGCAATCACTACAACCTCTTTGCATTTCACTGATAAGTGGAAAATATAACTCGCAACTGAACCTTTGGGTCCTATCACATTCACTCTGTATTTCTGTCTAACTGTTCTAGTATATGTGCTGCCGAAGTTAGCATGTCTTTCTAACTGTTCAGCTTAAGTATTATCACTTGGTTAAAAGTAGAGAGAATTAAAAAACAACACAGTGCATTGAACAGCTATGTCTTTACTTGCTGACAGCTATTGCTTGATTCAGTTATGCAGTAACAAAACACTCCAATTAAAGGAGCAGAAATGGGGGGGGGGGTATTGTATAAAAATCTTTAAGAATTGTCCAAGTATTGTAAATTACATCCTACTGCTGAGTACTAATGTCGTCGTCAGCACTCCTAACCATGAACTTGGCTTTTGAATGCTGACGGATTGTAGCCAAAATGGGACCATTAAACAACCAGAGGCGGTTATCAGCACATCTGCAGGAACACTGAGATTTGCAGAAGTAAAAAAGAAATAATTTTTAAAAGCCTAAGGGGGCAACCCTCTCACAAGCAAGGACTGAGCAGGCTTAGTAGCCATGGGACGTAGAGTAACAATTGGAAAAGAATAACTGGGGACAGTGAAATATCTCTCTGGGACCCTAAACAGGAGAACTTCTTTTAGAGGAAAGGATTCTACGTGTCCTGCTGGTCATGTATGAATAGCAAACTCAGGTGGGTGAGTGCTTATTAGTTTGGAAGCGGAAGAGAGCCACACATTTCTACATACCCAGAGGACTTGTTAAGTGCATAGAAGTACACTGGTTTGTAAATGAAAAACAGAATGTAAATTAAACCCTCAGAATGTGCTGACAAGGCGCTGTCAGCTAACAGGACATGTAGAACGCTGAGGTTTCAGTTGGAGCATGGAAGATCAGAGGTGAGGTGTGTATGAGAGAGAAAACAGGGTCTCACCTGCTCAAAACATATAATAAACATCATGGAGGGGGATATTGTACCTGGGAATGTGTGCCATGAAGTTAAACGTAAAACACCTCCCTGCATTATACAGGGGCGTTTCAAGAGGAAGAAAAGTAGTTCATTTTCTCCCTTTCTCAGTTCCCAGAATCCATCTCTACATCACTACATAGCTGTGAGATGCTCTGGCTCATGCTAACACAGAGAAGGGTGATATTAGGGATGGGGAAAGTTTAAAATGTCACCTTTCTCTTCTACCCTCTTGAACCCTTAAGAGGTCTGAATACAATATAAGAGCCCTGTATTACTGCTTTTTCAGTGACTGTCTCTGAGAAGGTTTACTACTTGTGTTGCCACATGGGAATTAATGCCGAAGAACAAATTCTATCAGGGTGGCAAAAGAGGATTTTTACTCAACCACTTGCTGCTGTTTCTTGGTCTCCAGTGGGATCAGGGCCCTTGCTCAGGTCAGTTGGGAGGGTAGAAGAGAGAGATCACATTGGTGAGAGGTCACCCTCCATAAGAAAAGTTGCAGCTTGTGCTGTGGTGTTGTGAAGTGCAGCACAAAGCTCACACTCAGTGTCACACGCAGGAGAGGAGCCAAGGGGACACTGACGATGATCCACACAGGACTAGTAGCAAGAGGATAAAGGAATAGCATGTGAGGCTGCTACTTCCTCTTTTAGGACAATTTAAACTCATGATAAGGACAGCTCTTATACTGAGAAACCATGAAGATATCAACCTTCCTTCTGTTTACCACTAAGGGATATTTATTTTGTGACTGCTGCTAATGAACTGCTAAGCAGAACTTACAGTTTCAAATGAAATGATCTATTTCTTCCCTCTGTTAATTTCTTGTATTGAACTTCTGCTACCTTTTTATTTATTAGTAAATTAGTGAACTAACACAATGATGCTTTACGTAGGACAGAATACTAATAACAAAAATAATTATCTGGCCAAATAACCTCTGTAGTTCTGGACTATTTGCATTTCTGAACATGTCTTCACTACAAATACAAACAACTACTAATATTGGCTTTTATATCTATTTCTTCATTAATGACTTTCTGTTTTAGAAGACTGTTTTTTATATGTTTTCCTGCATAACTAAGAATCATGACAGTAACAGAATAGGAAAATTTCTTTAAACCTAGAATATCTTTTCTTTAAAGCAGCAGAATTAGCAAGATTTGTTTGACTAATTTTTGTGTGTGCTACTGTTAAGTGCTAGTTTTCATCGAACTGCTCTGAGACCTGCGGGTATTAGGTGGTTGTTGTTGTTTAGTCGTTTAGTCGTGTCCGACTCTTCGTGACCCCATGGACCAGCACACACCAGGCACTCCTGTCTTCCACTGCCTCCCGCAGTTTGGTCAAACTCATGTTGGTAGCTTTGAGAACACTGTCCAACCTGTTGGGATTCGTTAGATCCCAACACAACCATCTCATCCTCTGTTGTCCCCTTCTCCTTGTGCCCTCAATCTTTTCCAACATCAGGGTCTTTTCCAGGGAGTCTTCTCTTCTCATGTGGTGGCCATATTGGCGCCTCAGCTTCACGACCTGTCCTTCCAGTGAGCACTCAGGGCTGATTTCCTTCAGAATGGATAGGTTTGATCTTCTTGCAGTCCATGGGACTCTCAAGAGTCTCCTCCAGCACCATAATTCAAAAGCATCAATTCTTCGAGAATCAGCCTTCTTTATGCTCCAGCTCTCACTTCCATACATCACTACTGGGAAAACCATAGCTTTAACTATACGGACCTTTGTCGTCAAGGTGATGTCTCTGCTTTTTAAGATGCTGTCTAGGTTTGTCATTGCTTTTCTCCCAAGAAGCAGGCGTCTTTTAATTTCGTGACTGCTGTCACCATCTGCAGTGATCATGGAGCCCAAGAAAGTAAAATCTTTCACTGCCTCCATTTCTTCCCCTTCTATTTGCCAGGAAGTGATGGGACCAGTGGCCATGATCTTAGTTTTTTTGATGTTGACCTTCAGACCATATTTTGCACTCTTGTCTTTCAACCTCATTAAAAGGTTCTTTAATTCCTCCTCACTTTCTGCCATCAAGGTTGTGTCATCTGCATATCTGAGGTTGTTGATATTTCTTCTGGCAATCTTAATTCCAGTTTGGGATTCATCCAGCCCAGTCTTTAGCATGATGAATTCTGCATATAGATTAAATAAACAGGGAGACAATATACAGTGGTACCTCGGGTTAAGTACTTAATTCGTTCTGGAGGTCCATTCTTTAACCTGAAACTGTTCTTAACCTGAAGCACCACTTTAGCTAATGGGGCCTCCCACTGCCGCCGCACCGCCAGAGCACTATTTCTGTTCTTATCCTGAAGCAAAGTTCTTAACCCGATGTAATATTCTGGATTAACGGAGTCTGTAACCTGAAGCATATGTAACCTGAAGCGTATGTAACCCGCGGTACCACTGTACAGCCTTGCACTCCTTTCCCAATTTTGAACCGATCAGTTGTTCCATATCCAGTTCTAACTGTAGCTTCTTGTCCCACATAGAGATTTCTCAGGAGACAGATGAGGTGATCAGGCACTCCCATTTCTTTAAGAACTTGCCATAGTTTGCTGTGGTCGACACAGTCAAATGCTTTTGCATAGTCAATGAAGCAGAAGTAGATCTTTTTCTGGAACTCTCTAGCTTTCTCCATAATCCAGTGCATGTTTGCAATTTGGTCTCTGGTTCCTCTGTCCCTTCGAAATCTGGCTTGCACTTCTGGGAGTTCTCGGTCCACATACTGCTTAGCCTGCCTTGTAGAATTTTAAGCATAACCTTGCTAGTGTGTGAAATGAGTGCAATTGTGCAGTAGTTGGATCATTCTTTGGCACTGCCCTTCTTTGGGATTGGGATGTAGACTGATCTTCTCCAATCCTCTGGCCACTGCTGAGTTTTCCAAACTTGCTGGCATATTGAGTGTAGCACCTTAACAGCATCATTTTTTAAAATTTTAAGTAGTTCAGCTGGAATATTATCACTTCCACTGGCCTTGTTATTAGCAGTGCTTTCTAAGGCCCATTTGACTTCACCCTCCGGGATGTCTGTCTCAAGCAAACGAGACATCCATATCTTTCTGGTATAATTCCTCTGTGTATTCTTTCCACCTCTTCTTCTTGATGTCTTCTGCTTCTGTTAGTTCCTTACCATTTTTGTCCTTTATTATGGTAATCTTTGTACAAAATGCTTCTTTCATTTCTCCAATTTTCTTGATCTCTGGTTTTCCCCATTCTATTGTTTTCCTCTATTTCTTTGCATTGCTCGTTTAAGAAGGCCCTCTTGTCTCTCCTTGCTATTTTTTGGAAATCTGCATTCAATTTCCTGTATCTTTCACTATCTCCCTCGCATTTTGCTTGCCTTCTCTCCCCCACTATTTGTAAGGCCTTGTTGGACAGTCACTTTGCTTTCTTGCATTTCCTTTTCATTGGGATGGTTTTCGTTGCTGCCTCCTGTATAATGTTATGAATCTCCATCCATAGTTCTTATAATTAATTCATTAAGACAGCATCAACTCCAATATTAAACAACTCAGACTTTATGATTAGCAGAGGAGACCCTGATGGCGGTGATGCCTTCTCAGGGATGATTCTTCTTTTGTGTACAGACTCCCTAGTGACATGCATCTGTCTCTCTCATTAACCTTCAGGAGGAATTTTTAAATATACCTGTACACCCAGGCACTTGATGGCTGAAAGATATTGTTTCCAGCAACCTTTAAATTATTAGGTGTGTGTGTATGTGGCTGTTTGTAAATGTTTTAAATGTGGTTTTGCTTTTACTTGTGCTGTTTTACTGCTTTGATTTTTGTTGTCCTAGGCTCCTTTGGGTGGGAGAGATAGAACTTTAATGGAACAACAAGTGATAAAACTGTTGGATTATATAAATAGGGGCAGAAGGAAATGCAATTATAACTTTTATAGATGTGAAAAAGCTTTTGATAGGATCAAGTGGTTCTATCTTTTTCAGGTGATGCAGAAGTATGATTCTGGCCACACAGACAATATAATTAGTGAATGATAGATTGTCATCATAGTTTTACTTGCAGAAAGGAAAAAGACAAGATTGCCCAGTATCATCATACTTTTCCATTGTATTTAGATTGTTTCCTGATTAAGATATGGGATAACACTAAAATGAAAGAGCAGAAGATGGCAAAGCAGAAATTTAAACTTTGTGGATATGCAGATAACGTAGCTCTAATAATTACTGAACCAGAAAGGTCACTAGCTTAGTTTATGAATTTGTTAGATTTTTTTAGAAAAGTAAAGGTAAAGGTAAAGGGCCAGTCTTGACAGACTCTAGAGTTGTGCACTCATCTCACTCTATAGGCCGGGAGCCAGCGCTGTCCGCAGACACTTCCGGGTCACGTGGCCAGCGTGACAAGCTGCATCTGGCGAGCCAGCGCAGCACACGGAACGCCGTTTACCTTCCTGCTGGTAAGCGGTCCCTATTTATCTACTTGCACCCGGGGGTGCTTTCAAACTGCTAGGTTGGCAGGCGCTGGGACCGAACGACGGGAGCGCACCCCGCCGCGGGGATTCGAACCGCCGACCATGCGATCGGCAAGTCCTAGGCGCTGAGGTTTCACCCACAGCGCCACCCGCGTCCCTTTTTAGAAAAGTAGCGGAATATAAAATTAATATTAATAAAATATAATTGTTATCTTACAGCTTTCAGGACAACAATTAAGAAGATTAAGAGAATAAAAAGAAAAATCCAGATTGGTGTTTTTAAAACCTGAAATATATGTTAGAAGCAAATATGAAAGCAGAGCAGGAAATATGGAGATTTATTAAATTTATTATTTTTGGAAGAATATCAACATTAAAAGTAATATTCTTTGTAAAATAACATTTTTGTTGCTGCATACACAAATAGCTAAAAGAGAGCTAAAAATGGATGCATGACAGTGAATTGTGAATGGTTTTTTCTAAAATAATGTGCACCAACAGGGCTGAAGAAGATCTTTCATTTCCAGCTAATTATCATGTTGATTGTTTGGGAAGGATTGTAGATTGGTATTTTTAACTAAATAAAAATTTCAGAAATCATTTGGTACAATGTTTTGTTGGAAGCTGACAGAAAGTGCTTTTGGAAAATAAAAATAGAAATGTAGCAAAAAGGATTAGTAGTGCCCCCTGTCCCCTGTTTTATGGGAATTTTTTAAAAAAACTACTTTGCATTTCAAAATGCCCATTAACTTTTCAGCTATTTTAGCCACAATTTAACAAAATTGGAAATGACACTGACAAATTTGTTGATTGGATTAATAATGGCCAGATCAAGTTCTTCAGTCATCCAAGGGAAAAGCTGAGTGATACAAGGCCCATATTATTTGAACATTGTCAAATAAAAGATTTTCTAAACAATTGGCTAAGAACACAAGAAAGTGGATTGAGACAGATGTATTCTTTGGAAAGATTAATATTTTTATCAGCCACGTTGTCTCAAATATATCAAATGATAATGTATAAGGAAGAGGATAAAAGTGGATTACATTCAAAAATGGGGGGGGGGATATGGGAGAAAAGATTTTGGAAGCTATGTGGAAAATTTAGATAAATATGCAGAAATCTGAAACAATGTACACCAGCAGGGATGAATGGTAAAAGAAAAATAAATCGCAGCAATATCTAATTATGAATCTATTAAACAAAGACTAAAATAGCTCTAGAAATGTTAAGATGCTAAAATGTTAAAATGTGTTTTATTATGTTGCAGCTAGAACAACTTGTTATCAGGTTTGTAGAAATGAAACTGTAGACAAGAATTAAGAAGTTACTAGAGCAGTTTCTACATTCTTGTAGTAGTATTTTGTAGCGCTGTTTGATATTAACTAAATAAAAATTCTTAAACTAGGCTTACAAACTTAAACTTTGTAAAAATGGAGAATATTTGAGTCATAACCAGACTACTTCAAATTCCTTACCTCTTCCTTGGTCTTTTTGGATATAACTCGTAGCCAATCACCGATCATGCTCAGGACAGCAGCAAAATATGCAAGGCCTACAAGGATCCAGAACCATACCATTGGTTTGTAGACATCAGAATATTCAATATCTGACCCCCCTGAAAAGACAAAGTTCCTTTTTTAAAAAAAAAAATGCACATAAATATAGCTTTCCAATTTATACTGATCATACTTTATTTACTTTTCATTCCAAGTCATGAAAAATATTGGCCATTCCTTTTCTATGAACTTATCATGAACTTTGCAGAACAATAACTTTAGTAGAAAGAAATTCAACCATGAAGCATACAAATGAAAGCCCCAATGAGGCCAAAATTCAGCCAACTTTCTTACCAAAAGCAGGTAACTTGTAAGTTTCATTTATTTTTGTGACAATGGCATGCACTATCTTAAATCTTTCCCACTGAACTCAGTTGCCTGGTTTGAAAATAATACTAAATGATGGTTTAACATGGCATGTGTAAGCTTTAAAGCTCCCTTTTCTCTCTCCAGCTTTGGCATGGCTGAGAGAAGACCAGAAACATATTAAACTCACCAAGAGTTCCTAATTTCATCTGGATTCAGGGGAATTCTGCCAAGTTTAAACTCCAGTTTAGTGAACAGACTGGAATCATGAACCACAAGTGGACCCTAATTTGTTTGTACAAACCACAGTTTTAACTAGCTAGTGTTCCTGAGGTTTACACAATGAGGAAGTCATTAGTTTTAAAGTGCAAATGAAGGTTTCCACTCTCCTCCTGGCCACAAGATGGTCTTATGAGGGCTCATTCATATAATTCTAAACTATTATTTAGCAAAAATCTCAATTAAACTTTAAAATAGCTGGATTGCATCCACAATTCCCTCCCCCTCCTTTTGTTAAGCAGGCCACAGAATCATAGGTAAACTGTGCAACTAGGGTTGCAATCCTATGCTTCAATGCAACTAAATTCTGAGTACGGTAGATGTGATACAACTGTACTGTAAAATATTTGAATTCAGACTATTTTTGTATTAAACATGTGAAAAACAGTTTCCATATTCCACATACAGACTCATGTGTCCATTAACATTCACTTATTACCACTGAAACCAATGGATTTTAGCAGTAATGAATTAAAAGCTGGAATCACAAAGGATGCTGTCTTACACACATTCAGCTTGCTCCAAAAACCAGTTTGGCTACATCTGAATACTTGATACAACTACTCAATGCTGGCCCATTCCATATACATTACAGCAGTCTTTAAAAATCTATGGAAAGCAGTTTTACCAAAAATGAAAAGAAAAAGAAGAACAAAAGAAAAAAGCTCCAGTTCTACACTGCAGGCAATGGTTGTTAAAGTACTACTATTTGGCTTAAAAGAACTGAGAACCACTGACAAATAATAAAAGGCAAATACCTGAAATTTCTGCGGGCTAACATATCAATCCACTATACAGCATGGTTCAAAAGTATGGTATACTAGTATACATTTGTTGTATACAGATTAAAAGTGAAACGAAAATGACAATGGAAGTTTGTTTTAAGGCTTTGTGCATTATAAGCAGAAGGCTACCTGAAGATCCCTTATATCTCTGCCCAATCATTGAGATCTTCAGGGCAGTCTGATCTTATAGTTTTCATTTCTTTTTATTCTTTGTATTGTACTTTTGAAAACAGCCTACAAACTATTATAGTTAAGTGGCATATAAAATGTTTAAATGAATGAATGAATTAAATAGTCGCTACTCTGGAATACATAACCCATTTTAGTAATTCTGTTTTACATTTGCAATATTCAGGGTCACCATTCAGTGAGGGTTTTATATTGACTGAAGCATTTATGGCCAGGGATAAGAAGAAACGATGTCATAGTCTAGCACTGGGTCTGAATTCATCACTACCCAACCCTAGGAGGCAACGCTATGCTTACCAGGTGGGAATTCCAAAGAAGAAGCAAAAAGTTGACTAAGGATACAGGGTTTTATTCAAAAGGGGGAGCAAAGGAGGCCAGGTATTGGTAGCGAGTTCAGAAAGCTCAGGATGAAATGTATATGAGCACCAGGAATCCATTCTGAGTGCAAGGGCTCACTGGAGAGTTACAGAAGGCAAAACCAGGAATTCAGCAAGGGCTGGCACAGTTTCATAAATTAAACTGGGGTAGGGAGAAGGAAGCCTCATCTAGGCTTCCTAGGGATCCAGTGCAAACAAAAAGGTAGGTGCCATTTTAATATTTTGGATATCAGAAATGCCTAAGGCCAACCTTGACACCAGGACTGGCAAAGCTTTGAATACAATTCTTTAAAAAAAATGCTAAGAAGGTTCACCTCAAGTTTTGCACTTTTGACTGATGTGAATTTTTGCACACCTCCATATTTTCTAAGTTAAGCATTGTCACCTAGTGGTAGGCCAAGCTGACTGCAATGACAGGCACTTAATGTTCCAGGCATTTTGAGGTTACGTGAGGATAAACCTGTCGTGAGTATTTAACACTGCTTTCAATTACAGGGTAAGCAATTTCATTGACTCCAGTACATTAGTGAAATTGTTTAAGTCTTCCTCTTAACATTCTTAGGCCACTGCTGTAGTCTGCAGCCAGCTGGCAGCTCTATCATTAACACCAACCGAATGTAGGCATTGCAGAAGAACTTTAAAGCAGAGGCAAATGATCTGCAGCTAGCCTTCAAGATGTGAACAAAATATATTGTTGTACAATACTTTGCACATTTCCCTTAAAATGCTACATTTGCTAAGGAAACAATCTTAGTAAAGACCTAGCAAGCTGAACTTAGGGGTGGCTGCAACACTTAAAATTTTAGAAGGACCCAGGGATCTTTACTACGTTCTACTAAGCAAAGCCTCAGGTCTAAAGAGCCTCAGAAATTAAATTAAGAATCTGTGTCACACTGCTGTTATTCTAGGCAAGGCCAGATTATCAATGGTGCAGTTGGAGCAATTGCACGAGGGTCCTGCCTGTAAGGGGGTTCACGCTATCATCTTTCATTGGGGGTGGGGGAACACGTCTGTTGGAATTCCAGGAAGAATATTAGGAAGCAAAGCATTCGTTCAAAGTATTCATTCAACTTGTTTTTATTATTGCTTGTTAGCCGCCCTGAGCCCGGCCTTGGCTGGGGAGGGTGGGGTATTAATAATGATAATAATAATAATAATAATAATAATAATAATAATAATAATGTAGCTGATGAACTAGCTCCTGCCTTTCAGCATATTTTAGCCAACCAAGTGAGGTGAGTTGTGAATGAGGAGTGATTTGTTTCAGCACCAGGAGTTAGGAATCCCTGGGCCCTAAAAAGCTGTGATTTTCCTTCCTTTTATTTCATTTCATTTCCTAGTCAACTGAATCTCTGTAGTTTGCCCAGATAGTGCTACGCAGCAGCAGCAGTCAGTCTGGCCAGAAGGAAATGGCCTTTGCATTATATTATCCATTACTTATCCATTTCTAGTGAGCACTGTTGCAACACCTCTGCTCATCATGTGAGTTCTACAACACCTCGATCCATGACACCATGTCACTTTTCACAGCTCTTCCCTTGCAATAATCTTGCAAAGCAGATCAGGCTGAGATAATGACTTGTCAAAGTCTACAATGAGGGTTTCATGGCAGAACAGGAATGTGAACCTCTGCCGTCTACATCTAAACACGAAACTGTACCACACTTTGCCTGCTTGAAATTATGCTTCAGAGAGAATTAGCTCTAATTCTATAGTCTTTAATATGTTTCTGTTTTCATTTGCTCGTAACATAGTCTCATGTAGCTTTGTTACTATATTTAGCATGACCTCTGTCATCATGTTGGAAGATGACAATGTACATGGAAAAGCGTTCTAACTTTTCACCTTCACAGAGCAATGTATTTTTCTGGAATTGTTAATGGAATTGTTTCATTTCAAACCAGAAGAGAATTTACACTCAGGTCACAACCACACCATACATTTAAAACACATGGCTTCCCTCAAAGAATTCTGTAATTTACTCCTTCACACAGTTACAGTTCCCAGCACCTTTAAACTACAGTTCCCAAAATTCTTTCGGAAGTCACATGCTTTAAATGTATGGAGTGGATGTGACCTTATTGTACCCTAATTCTTCAAGCAAGGCTATGAATTGTTTCTCAAGGTGCTTTTCTCAGCTCATTTATCAGATGATAATTGCAACCATAAAGATTTCAATGCATCAAAAATGACCTCTTTCTCATTCATGTGGACTATTAATTTAGACATCTACTTCAATTATGGGCATTTTAAGCCAGCAGTAAATAATTTGTTCAGTGACAAAAGTCACAGTTGAAATGTAAGGAATAATAGATTGAATTAGATTGTTTTCAAAACAGGTATAAAGAAAAATGAATATTTATCATAAGCATCTAGATTCATTGGGAAATTCTGTCCTGTAAATGTTCGTACAGGTATTGCAGCATAAAGCAGTTCACCAAATGCAAATTTCTCTGGTTGTTGCATTACCCTTTTCTCTCAGATTCTGAGATTTTTTTCAGGCAAAGTACGAAATATATACAAAGCAATCCCATAAAAGCAAAAGGATCCCATAACTTGAACAGGTTAGTCTATTCATTTAAATAGGGAGAACATATTCAAACATTGTTTGCATGAAGAAATCCCTCTACTGAAATGAATGGAGTGTTCTACATGCACAAGAAAGCCATATAAAAATGGGAGCATGCATCAATTTTTGGATTGGCACATCTGTGTATAGACATTAGGCATAGATATATTGTATACAGATCTGATCTTAAGATGATTGCATAAATGGTTGTGTTATACCTATCCATGCATACTCTGGGATTTGTCTAAATTATTTTTCTTTCAGTAAATCTCCTCACTAGTCAACCAACTTTTACACTCTCCGAGATTAAAGAGTAGCTTGCCATTTGGCAGTAGCACATGCTGAAAGAAAGAAGAGTCTTAACATCACCTGCAATTATATACAGCATCTTGCTGGATGAAAGAAGTAGAGATACTTTACACAAGTGGAAATATTGTCATTATTGTACAAAAAGTGATATCTTTCAGCAACAGACTGTAGAGAAGAAGTGAAAGCATTCCTTAAAAAAAAAATAAAAGTGGGAACAAATATATTCCTGCAGCTGAATAATCAGCTATCAACACCATCCATCTTCCATCTCTTTATCGTCTATTGTTATTTCAAAAAAGATTCTACTAGCATTTCTAATAAAGGTAAAAACCTCTCCAGGTCTATTTCATTTATTGATCTATTTGCAAATGCTTCTGCCACTTATCTCTGTAAGGATTCTCTAAGCTTCCTACTCAGTCCTTTCAGAAGCATAATTTTCCAAAGCACATTTTCAAATAGTGGATTTAATGTTTTAATGTTCAAGGATACCTGGCTGGTGACTAGCAGGTTGATTAAAAGTGGTGAGGTGTAATGAAGCAGTGGAACCACAACAGCCTTGACACTCATGCTGGGGCAGAAGGAGGGCAGGCAGGTAAATTGCTGCACCAGCACGGAGCTGGCAGAGTGATTTCAGCAGGCAAAAGTATGTTTGGTGGGTACAATGGGGAGCTGCATGCTAGTGGAGTGACACTGGTATCACTCTGTGGGTGAAGGCCAGGAATAGCAAAGGGAAACTTCTATCCAATCCAACTGTTGCCCTGCCACTACAAAGTCCACTGCGAAAGGGTTTGGGGGTTTAATATGTTTTGGCCATCAAAAGGCAACGTGGAGAGACTTCCGGGTCAGCGCCATCGGTGAATGGCGGAGCTAAAGCCTGGAAAGCTGTCAAAAAAGTCTAAATTTCCTTCATTCAGAACTACTGAAACACCCTTGGAAGCAGGAGAAAAGGGGGGGGGATTTTGTTTAACCCCTGCAGGAGAGGGAGTGAGAAGGAAGAGTTTCCACCATCTCTAACCTGTGGACGGGGTGTCAGAGACAGAAATTGTAGGTTCATTGACTGTGAATGGAATATTTTGACAGATAGTTAAAGAAGAGAAACAAGCTGATTCCAATGTTGCCTTTTGCATCTTAAAGAAACAAAATATCCAAAAAATATCTGAAAAATGAAAGTAATTTTCCTTTGTTGGACTTGCCTTAAAAAAAAAAAATGGATACAAATAGAAATTGTCTCCTCTAGAGGGAGCTTGTTAAATTGTTGCAGCAGTATACTTGAGGACTCAACAGCTGTGAGATTAAGACCGTGGGAACAGTCTTTTCTGACCTTGCCTAAAGATGAGCTGGGAGGAAGATTGGGTGCTTGCCTTATGCAAGACAAGTGCCCTGTTGGAACAGATGCATGAGAAGATGGACTTGATGAATGAAAAATGGATTTGACTGTTGTGGTTAATAACTGTGGACAAACAGGGAACATTGATACAGAAATTATTCAGGGACCAACTCATGAATCTGTACTGACTGGGCAAGAACAGAAGATAATGGAGGAGGATGCGGTTGCACCTCAAATAATACAAATGGAGAGACCCGAGGCCCTACAGGAGCATAAGCTGCTGTCATTGAAGATTGAAGTTGGAATGGGCCAGGGGGAGTCTGGTGCTGAGGAGGTTCCTAACTTTGGAGAGACCTTGAAATATGTTTTTAAATACTTTTTGGATTTTATCGAGGACTGTGGGGAGTGGGACTTTGGGGAATGGGTGGGTCTGATGAAGGGAGATGGAGACAAATCTGGGTTGGAACCCCCCAGAGAACTACTCCTCAATGAGAAAGGAAAGGAATTAAGAAAGAGACCAACAAAAGACAAGGAAAAGGGCAAGTATAAACAAGAAGAAGAAGAAATGCAGAAGGGACATGGAAGAGACTTAAGGGCCTCGGACATAAGGCTTCCAGGTTGATGGACTAGATGGATTGGACAGTAAGGACTGACACGATCCGAGACCAGGAAGATGAGACGTTGGATGAAGATTGGAAGAAAATTTATAAAGGAAACTTTTTATTTAGGGAATTAGTTAAAAATTAATGAATATTAGGGAAAATGTTGGAATGAAACTATATGACTCTAGCAGAAATGATATCAGGAGTTATGTATATTTGAAAACTAAGATTTAAGCTTTAAGGTATTTTAGGGTAAGATAAGGTTAAATAAATTAAGGTAATTTGAATAACAGAATATGGGGAAAGATGGTAAGGATTTGCTGAGCTAATTATTAAGTTAAACTGTCAATATAAATTTTTAACAAAAATTGAGAAAGATGGAAAGAATTTGCTGAAATAACTAATTAAACTAGAATACAAAAAGGGAGGTGTGAGGAGGTCAATGAAACAAGCAAATGGAAGTTATAGATATGTAATTTGGGATCTATGTTGTTTTCTTTTTTCTTTTGTTTTCCATTTTTCTTTTTCTTTTTTGTTATATTGTTGTTGTTGTTTTCTATGTATTATAGTGTTGTTTTTAATTTTTCTTTTTTCTTTATAACTTTGAAACTACTAATAAATATTATTTTAAAAAACAAACAAAAGGCAACGTGGAGAGTTGAAGTGAAATAACATTAACATCTATAAGAGGAGAGGAGATAATATACACGCTAACAAAAAATAAATAAAAATTTGGCTGGGCATTTTTGACCAGAATAGGTAGAAGCCAGACAGCTGTCTTCAAATGCCAGTTCTTGAATGAGATGCATGACTCATCACCATCAGAAATCTTTTCACATATTAAAGTAGCCCTGACCTATGCAATTACATTTGCTTTGTTCTGCCAAGTTATTTGTTCAGGATACATACGCCATTATTTTATTTTGTTTGCAGAATGAATGAAAGTATAAAAACCACACAGGGACACACCTGAGCAAGGGAAGGTTATCCTTGCTGGTTGTTCAAGAAATCTCAGTGGTGTATGGTATTCTTCTGGAGCTCCTCTCACATGGGGCTTTGGGAAACTATATTAGATGTTTCCACTCATTCACCAAAGAGGAAATTTCAGAAGGTGGTACTTATGGGATACCTGTTGACTCAATGGCTGCTGGCCTATCTGGGTTATCTTAGGTTCCCAGTCTGTTTTCCCATACTACTTAACATCTATGTGAAATGACTGTGAGGGTTTGTCAGGAGATCTGAATTGTGATGCCACCAATTTGGAGAAGATGCCCAACTCTTATCTCTCATTTCCATCACATTCCAGAAATGCTGTTGAAGTTCTGGAGCCAGTAATGATGGAGACTAAAAAATAAGGCTTGATGCTAAGAAGACAGATGAGATTCTGGTCAGCAGAATAGCTACTCCAGGAATCAGGACTCAGCCCTGTGGTGTTTTCTGGAAAGCACAGATTCATAGTTTGGGAATGCCTATGTATATAGTATTGACCCTGAATGCTCAGGTGACATCTATGACCAGATGTGCTGATGCCTCACTTAGACTAGTGGACCAACTAACTCTAATCCTGCAGTAGGCAGGTAAAATCTAATTCAAGTATGCCCATTGTGATACTTGTCTTAATAGCATCACATCTGAAGTACTTCAAAGTGTTTCACATGGTGCTGACTTTGAAGAATGCTTGTGATCAGAAGCATATTACAGTACATCATTTCTGAGCTGCATTTCTCCCAGTTTATTTCCAGGCTCACTTCAAAACACTAGTAATGCACCTTTGAAGCTCTATATGGCTTGGACCCATAGTACCAAGGACCACCTTATCGAATCTGCAGAGCCCCCCCCCCCCCCCGTGTTTCCCCAAATCATGTATAGCTGAGACCAGGGAGGGGACTCTTTTGGTGATAGTGTCCAGACTCTGGAGTTCCTGTACAGAAAAGTCCACCATGCTGCTAATCCTGATGGGATTTCACTACGGTGCATGGTTGACCTTTCTTTTGGGGAAGAAATGTCAATTTTTAGTGCCTTTCTTAAAAGCAGCTTGATTGGTTTTATTCCTGTTCTTATGGATTGCTCTTCCAGTCTTCCACTGCGTTGTTTCTTCTTTTGAATTATGCCTTTAGCCTTTTATTGTATTTGTTAATGTTTTATAGTACAAAATTGTTCAGTTTTTATTTTATACAAATTACCCCCTTGTACTGGCAAGCTTGAACATTTAGGGAAGACAGGATATAAATGTTTCAAACAAGCAAAGTAAACTAATAGCAGAGAACTTCAAATCTCCATCATATTACTATGTTAACTTGTATAAAATTATCTTTCTGTATACCTGATATGGAGAGTTGTTTTAAAGAGCCATCAAAATTGAACCATATGGAGCTTTAGATTAGTTTTCCTCGTATACCAGACCACATGCAGCATGGAAAACTGCTTTTGAAATTGGTTTAATAAAAAATAATAAAAGTGATGACATTAGAAGTAGCTGTTAAAGAAAAAGCTTAAAAGTTCAACTATTGCATTGATATTGCTCAACTGCCAACAAAAAGATACAAATTGTACCTATGATTATTGTACCTATGATTGGCCCCTGCACCTGAGAAGTGGAAAGCAGACAATGTAACACAAGTTTTTAATGAAGGGATTCAGGAAGAAACAGGAAAATTATAGGCCAGCAGTTCTGGGAAAGTTTGTGGAAAGCATTTCTAAAGATAATATAAAGAATATAGAAGAATGTATTGCTGATGAAGAATCAATATGACTACTGAAAAGGTAGTCTCATTAGTCTTTCAGAGTTATTTGATAGTATTAGAAGCATACAGACAGAAGTGACCCAGTGAACTTTGTGTGGCTGGGCTTTGAAAAAAGATTTTGACAAAGGCTCTTGCCAAAAAAGGCTTCTGAACAAATTTAGCAGCCATGGAATAAGATTATGGGTCCTCTTCTTGATCAGCAACTTGTTAAAGATCAGGAAGTAGAGAATAGGAATGAATAAATAAGTTCTCACAATAAAAGAATGTAAGAAGCCAAGTTCTCAAAGGATCTGTATTGGGAGTGAGACTCGTGCAATTCCCCTTGATCATAACTTTTTCTGGAGTTAGAAACAAGTCACAAGGTGGCTAAGTTTGCAAATGATACCAAATTATTCAGGTGGTAACAACAAAAAGGGATTTTGAAGAGCTCCAACCAAATATTTCCAGACCTGTGGAATGGGCATTATGGTCAAATTCAGTTAAGTGTAAGGCCGTGTGCAGGGGAGCAAACAATCCTCACATCATAGGGCCATGGTGGGTAACCTTTTGAAATTGCGTGTTAGGGGTTATTATTAAGGAAAATAAACTTGCTAGTGTCATAATGTCTTTACTTGGAATACTGTGTATAGTTCTGGTTGCTGCATCTCTAAAAGGATATTGTACAGCTGAGAAAATGGCTACCAAAATCATCAAGGGCTGGATCCGCTCTCCTGTAAGGAAAGGTCCTAAAGTTTGCAGCTACTTATTTCATTTAGAAAAAGGCAACTGGGGATGTAGAGCATGATAGACATGCATAAAATTACCAGAACATAGACTCATCAAATGAAGTGGAGTAGTGGAAAATTCAGGACAAATAAAAGGATGTACTCCTTCCCACAGCCCATACTTAAATTATGGAATCTATTTTCATATATGTGGTGACAACCATCAACTTAGAGGGAGGCGGGGAGTGGGGTTTGTTGGTTGGTAGTTTGGGCTGTTGTTTTTTCTGCTCTTCTTTTTATTATGTATTTTGTGTTTTTATCTTGCATTTTTACATTGTGAACTGCCCTGAGATGAAGGATGGGATACAAATTTAATAAATAAATATGGACTGGACAAGCAGAAGAATGATAAAGCTGTCAAAGACTACTAGTCATGATGGCTTTATGCTCCTTCCAGGATCACAGGTAACATGCTTCTTATATAAGTTGCCAGAGAACAACAGCAAGAGGGCTATTGTCCTCATATCCTGTTTGTAGACTTCTGGTTCATCACTATGAGATAGAAGCTGGTGGACTAGATTGGCATTTGGAACGAATCAGCAGGGTTCTTCTTATGATCCTGGTTTGAAGCGTGTGCCTAGACCATAGCTTTCTGGTTTGAATGTCACCAAAAACACATTAAGCAAAGCAAGAATTAAGTCAAGCATATGAAGTGTGTGTGTGTGTGTGTGTGTGTGTGTGTGGTTTCGTCTTTACCTGCAGTACCTGTATATGGCTTAAATCTTTTCCATAAGTTGCAAGAGATGCAGACACAAGTCTGCGCCCTCCAAGTAACAACTTGGTCTGGATTGTCTACTGTGACCTATGGAAGATTAGTGAGTGGATCAATTACTTAGTGAGTAGACAAGATTACTTTGGGTCCCTTTTCTATTAAAAGCCTGGGCAAAGGTCTGATCAATTCAAGTTGTGTTTGTTTATTTATGATTTGCATTTAGAGCCCACACTTTACCAAATGTACCTAGGACAAGTTGTAAAAATATAAAAATTAATATAAGTATAATGTATAATTAAAATCATAAAAGAAAAACCACAAACTCTCTCACTCACAGACACACAGATATAATGTATACTCTTAAAGCATGCAATATGAAGTGATCCAGCAAAGAAAGATAAAGCAATATATAAGTATAATCCAAATTTAAGTATTAATCTTCTTTTGTATACCTATGGATATAATGCTGGAACCTACACATTTTGCCATGTTTTCTTTCTGTGCAGTGGGATTAGAGCCTCAACATTTTCTTCAAAGTTTAATCTGTTATGCTTTTATTTCATCTAAAGGAGACACTATGTCAGAACAGTCTCAGTCAGCTTTGATCCCGATCTAGACTACTCTTACCAATAAAGTTGTGACCTGTTCAGCATCCTGTCACGGCTAAAATGGCCGCTGTTTCTTTAATGCGAATAAAGCTGGGTCAGCATGAGTCAGCAGCTTGCACCAGGTTGTATATATAGAATGAGAAATGCTAGTTTGTTGCTGAGGCTGGTGTTTGGGTTGGTTGGTTGGTTGGTTGGTTAGTGCGTGCTGGTGTGTATAGTTATTCAGTCGTGTTTTGCACAAAGACTTTTAAGAATAAAACTCTGCAAGGATATTCTCGTGGACTCTTTTATGCAGACAAGGGTCCGAGGACCAGGCTGAAGAGACAAAGGGAGGTCCGAACCCTTTCCTTCTTTTTTTGCTTTTTACAAACACTGACACATCCATGTTTAGCCTGGTCTCTTCTGCAAAAGAACCTGACAGTTAGTTCCTAAAAAGAATACTTTGGCACTTGGGAATTTGAAATCCTGCTGTAGGACCCCTTCAGACTGATATTTTATTGCAGGTGAAGTCTGCAACCATGGCTTTGGACTAATAACTGTCCATTAGTGGTGATTGTACTCTGCTTCAGTTTATTCTGCAATGCTTCCCCAATGCTACCACATTATTGCTGTCCAGAGGGTCTACAGTGCAGCGAACGTGGGACAAAAATTAACCAGAGCATTTGCGGTGTAACTGTTAAGGGATTTCAGCAGAAAGTTACAGGATATGCATGGATTGGAAACGAAACAGTGTGACAACCCCAAAGCAATTGCATGTGCATTGAAAACTGGGTCACATGTGACTGCCCCCATGAGCACACACTATGATGCATAGTATAGCATCATGAGCACATACATGTGCAATTAAAAAAAAATGCCAGGAGGGGTCCTTTGTAGTTCTTACTTTAAGTCCTCCACTTTTTACTTTTTGGTAGAGAGTCAAACCAACAGTGCAGATAGCCCTATAAAGGTAAAGGGACCCCTGACCATTAGGTCCAGTCATGGCTGACTCTGGGGTTGCAGCGCTCATCTTGCTTTATTGGCCGAGGGAGCCGGCGTAAAGCTTCTGGGTCATGTGGCCAGCATGACTAAGCCGCTTCTGGTGAACCAGAGCAGCGCACGGAAACGCCGTTTACCTTCCCACTGGAGAAGTACCTATTTATCTACTTGCACTTTGATGTGCTTTCAAACTGCTAGGTTGGCAGGAGCAGGGACCGAGCAACGGGAGCTCACCCCATCGCGGGGATTCGAACCACCGACCTTCTGATCGGCAATTCCTAGGCTCTGTGGGTTAAACCACAGCGCCACCCGCGTCCCTAGATAGCAGTATAGTTAGCAGCAAAATCCATATGAAGCTGCCACTGAATCAAGGCTATTGGTTCATTTAGTTCAGTATTGTTTTTACTGACCGGATTTCAGGCAAGGAATCTCTCTCTGCCCTCTCTGGAGATCCCTGGGATTGAAGCTGGGAGCTGTTACATGCAAAGCAGATGGTCTACCACTGAGCCACAGAGAGAATCCCAATGTACGGAAGTCTACATCAGGATATTTTTTTAAAAATTAGTCTTTTCTTGATATGACACTAAAACTGTATGAAAACTTTTTGCATCAAGTGGTCCATGAAGTGGAAAATGTGCAAAAAATTATACTAACAGAAATTACTAACATACTCTATGTTCTAGTCAATGTTCTACAGTTAAGTGAGCCTTTGCACATAATGTTCCTACTGTAAACATAACCAGGGTAAGCATTTCATTGCATAAAAGCAAGATAAAAATACCAGTTCTATGGCTTTCAATAATATACCAGTTTTGATAGAACACCAGCCAGGAGAATAGATGCCTTTGGGAATGATTTATGCTTCCTTCTATGTTGGTTTTATCGACATAACCATACCATGGTCCATTCTTGTCTATGAGGATCACAGTTTTTTGAGCATGGAAATAGAATCCCAATGTCATTTTTGTATAATATATGCATATGAAAGCAGATAAAGGAATCAAGTTTTTCATGCATGTTTCATACAAGAAGAAAATGACAGCAATAGAACATTTTCACATTTTAAGACATACACATTTCAGTAGTCGGGTATGAGCCTATATAGATGAAAACATTATGACATATTCTCATATGTCAGAGTCTATATTTCAAAAGCCTTTCAGGTCCTTATGATAATGTTTTACAGAGATAATTGAGGCAGTTGGTTGGTTGTATTTTGCTGCTGATAGCCTGGTATCCAATATTTTAATGTTTTTCTTATTTTGTTTGTTTGTTTGTTTGTTTATTACATTTGTATAGTGCCTTTCATTCGTAGAGCTCAGGACAGTTCGCAGCATAAAAATACAAGATAACACCACAACATACATTTCTTAGTTGTTGTGGCTGTATATTCCATGTTACAATCTGTAAATCACACTGATTTTTCTTTTATATAAAGAGTGGTATATAAATGAAATAACAATTTAGTAAATAAATAAGACACTATACTGCTTGGAGGTTGTTGGGTTTGTTTGTTTGTTTGTTTGTTTGTTTGTTTGTTGTTTACTAACAAGCAGTATATAAATATTAAGGAATAAAATAAATAAATAGTGTACACATCTCTGTATATTTTTAAAAAACTGAAACAGCAGACTTTAGTAAAAAAATTATAAAAAACTTACCTGCAACGTAGTCACCAAACCCAATCGTTGATAGGGTGATAACTACAAAATATATTGCATCTAGTGTGTCCCAGTCTTCTATGTGCTTGAATATGACTGCAGGGAGAGCAACAAACAGCACACAACCAAACAGTATGAATATTATTGTCGATATGATGCGAATCTTTGTCTGACTCACATTCCATTTCTGGGAGGGGCGGAAGAACAAAGAAAGGGAAAGGTGGGTGGAAGAAGAGAAGAATCCATTATTAGTAAAACAGTGGCTTTTTATGTGTGCATGTATGTGTTTATTGAATGTTAATGTTTTTACTAAAAACCTCTAGGCACAACGTTTAAAAGTTTCTAAGAAAACAAAGCATGCAGCAAAACAGCACTAAGAGCAAAAGCACAAGGTTGACGTAGTGGGGGGGGGGACCTTTCATGGGTACAAGGTAAACAAGTTTCAGCAATGAGTCTCCCCGAGACCCAAGGAGACAAGTCTCATAAGAAGACAGCGTGGGCTGACAATAGAAATACATGATTGCGAAAAATGCAGAATAAAGTAAAATTGATGTGCTTTATTTTCTTATGTCTTAGGTTGTTTTGGTTATATAAATTAGTCTCATTTGGGTTCTACACATTTTGCCTTCAAGGAATTTATTTCCCAGGATAATATAGTGTGATGTTGGCTAAAAAAAATGGCACCAAAGTCGCTGCAGGAATTCAATGTCGGGAGTGAGGAATTCAACTCTTACCCTTTTAGGTCTGTGGTCATGATACATAAACTCCACAGGTGAAACTAAAGTAAATCTTTACATGTGCTCTGGGAAGGCTCTTATTATTAAAGTGAGTGCAATGATTCTTGTGCATTTTCCCCCAACTCAAGTGCCTTCTTATTCAGCTTCCTTTTCCCTCCTTGCTTTCTTGTGCAATGTGTTTTTATAACTTTCAAGGCCAAAAGCCCATTGGTAAAGGCACCAGGGTTTTACAATTGTCTTAGGCAACTTAGAGAGATACTGCAGAAAAAGTAGTACAATTCACCCCATGGCCATTTTTCTTACTATTATTTTATTGGGGAAAGTAGTTTTGGGAGGTGGCATCATGATGCAGAGAAGTGCAAGAGATGTTTAGCCCTTTGTGCACCTTTACATCTCTGCTCCAAATAATCCACCCCATAGCACAGTCCTTGGTAGCAGGGCAGCAGCACAGCCAGAGAAGAAATGCAGTAGGTATGGTCTTTGCTCTGGGAACCTAAACATGTACTTGTTCATGCTACATGTAGCTGTACACACTTTACCTCTTGACAACTTCTAAAGCTTTTCCACCATGTAAAATGATTAATTGCATTCTTGTAGTTTTGTAGTGGATCCCGTTATATGCTTTATATTATTATTATTATTATTGTAAATTACAGAAATTATTTGTGGTTCAAGACAACATGTTTAGCATACTTACAACAAACGTGTCTTCTACTTTGGCGATTCCTTTCCCAAATATGGTCCCAAGTTGATCTCCAACTCCAGCCAACAGAAAACCAAAGAGAGGAATTCCCAGTAAGGCATAAATGATGCAGAATATCTTTCCACCTTTTGTACGTGGCGAGCTGTTCCCAAATCCTAAATTACAAACAACTTGAGCTGTTGATAAATCAGTTAAAGGCATTAAATTACACATCTAATTTGTACTGCAGATAAGGACACTTTTTAAATGTTCCCTAGGAGTATATATCACATTAAAACATTCATATGGAGATCTTACCCTAATTGGATTGCTAAACTCACTTAAAACTGAACTGCACTTGGGTGTTCTGCAAGGAAACAATTTGTCTTTCTAACACAGTGAAACTGCCACTGAAGAGCCCTGTTACTCTTTACAAATGATATCACTATAGAGGCTTTCTTGGGGAAATTCATTTCAAAGAAGATTTTTCTGGTGCTTTAAGAGAACCAGATACTCATAGACAGCCACTAAATAATCTACTCGTACAATATGAACTCATTATTTTTCACTGCACACCCTCAAGACCATACAGAAACAAAACCCCACCAACTTTACTGAAGCTGAAGATTTTACTTGAACTGTTCACATAATGTATGCCATGTTTTGCTAAATATAATTAATTCAGTGGCACTTGAATTGTATTTTGCAATATACAGTTACTGACTCACACTTGTGTGCATGAAAGGTGTAAGCTGGGCTCAGGTTGCCAATGCAGGTGGAACTTAGCAGGCCTCCTGCAGCCTTTTTTTCCGCCCTCCCATTCTTTTTTCCTCCTTGGTGCTTCCTGGAACAAACAATGAGCCATGCAGCCAGTGGCTCCAAGCTGCAAGAACCACCAAGTGAACAAAATCTCTCCAAAAGGGACATTTTATAGCCTGCATCTTTGTTAACCCAAAGACTGCATGATCCTTTTTGTAAGAAAAACTTTTTCATCTTCATTTTACTGCTAACGGATGGAGACTTGTTGGCTGTAACTTCTAGAAATTCTGAGTAAAACATCCACTTATTTGCAAAGCTAAGTGACTGTGATTGATTTTAGCCTAAGTATTTTTGTGGGGAACGTTTGTTTAAAGGTGGATGAGGGCAGATGCAAATCTAACCAAGTTTTAATGTGCTTAGAGCAATCACCATTGTGCTAACTCTGCTATAAAAGAGTAAGACTCTTTCTTCCAAACCTATATCTCCAACATCATATATATTAAGGTTGGACCCTTCAGTTTTGTATACCCATCAGTGAATTGACAAAGCATCAACATCTCCTTAATTACTGTAGCAAGTTAATATGGTATAACTTTGGACACTGTAATAAAATGTTTTTGCCTCTGCCTTGCCCACTCTCTAAACTTGGCAGAAGTTGCTCATTTAGCAGCTGTGTGCATATATCTATGTCTAAGCATTCTGTTCAAGTCTCTTCTTCCCAATGAAAGATAATGAGAAAACCTCTTATACCCCCCCCTTTTTTTTGTCTGGTCTGGATGCCAAAACTCATCAAGATTTGCAACATGTTATTTAAGCAGGTCCTGTTCCAGCTAAGAAATCAGTGCATGACCAGGGAGAAGAGTTGGTGGAAGAAGATTGGAAGAAATTTAAAGTTTATTTACAGAAACATTGTAAAATTAAGGAATGTTAGAAGGATGTTGGAATGAAATAATGCGGTTTTAGCAGAAATGCTATAAAGGATTAAGGAAAAATAGATTGCTAAATGGTGAAGGAGGGAAAGTAAAGTTACATTATATTAAGATAGAATAGAGGACAAAAACTGGAAAAGATGGAAAGGATTTGCTGAAATAGTTAATTGAACTAGAATACAAAAAAGGGAGGTGTGAGGAGGTCAAGGAAATAAGCAAATGAAAGATAAGTTATGGGAAGATTTATTGTATTTTTTTCTTTTCTCTCTCTTTTTTTCTTGTTTTCTTTTTAATATCGTGATGTGATGTTTTGTATTTCTTAAACATGCTTTTTTTAATTCTTTCTTTTTGTAACACTTTAAAACTCAATAAATATTACTTTAAAAAAAAAAGAAAGAAATCAGTGCATGAAAGTAGACTTTTGTATGTATACAACTTCAGGGGGGGAGGGGAATCAGATACCCATCAAAATCCACATTAGAAATTGCATCCAAATATGATTGCTTGCTATCCTCACTGCATTGCTTGAAACAAGTAGCAGCTGGTACAATGAAGCAGAGTCATGGAGCTACCATCCCAAAACAGGCATCACTACATCTTACCTGTCCATGACTGGGATAAAGTTGGGATTGTGCAGATGCACTATCAGGAGCACCAGATTGGCTCCATCAGTGCATCTGCACCATCTTAGCCTCACCCCTGCCCTGCCCTGCCCCATTCTGCCCAGGCAAACTATAGTGACACTGGTGTCAGCTCTGCCCTACCACACCACATCAATGAAATATGTGGTTAGATAAATATCCCTATATGAATATTGGTATATAGCTTTTTATGTTATTGTCATTTTTAGAGTCCTCCCTATAACAGAAATTTCTCAGCGTGGCTTACAAGATTATTATTATTATTTTTAAAAAAGATGTTAAAAGCAATAAAAGATACATAAAGATAAATAATACAACAAGATGTGATGCAGCATGAAGGAAAGCTCAAAATCTAAGACAAAAACAGGATAAAGAACAAAGTGCTGAGAATAAAACAAGTAACTAGTTCAGAGCTTTCCAAACTGTGCATTGTGACATGTTGGTGTGTTGACTGCAGTGTGTAGGTGTGTTGTGTGAATGCTCCCCCACTCCTCCCAGGGCTGGAAAGGGGTTAGTTTAACCTACGGTTTGCTAGAAAAACTGAATTACTGTGTTGCAAAAAGATACACGTCTAAAAAGTGTGTCACCAAGATGAAAAGTTTGGAAAGCTCTGAACTAGTCACTTGTGAGTTCATATTTTACATGTTACCATAGCTGCTTTGAAGTATAGCTTGAGAAGCATACCTTCATGGTGTTATACCAGTATACTTGAAGGAGCGTCTCCACCCCCATCGTTCAGCCTGGACACTGAGGTCCAGCTCTGAGGGCCTTCTGAGGGTTCCCTCACTGCATGAAGTGAAGTTACAGGGAACCAGACAGAGGGCCTTCTCAGTAGCAGCGCCCGCCCTGTGGAATGCCCTCCCATCAGATGTCATGGAAATAAATAACTATCTGACTTTTAGAAGACATCTGAAGGCAGCCCTCTTTAGGGAAGTTTTTAATGTTTGATTCTATTTTTAATATTCTGTTGGGAGCACCCAGAGTGGCTGGAGAAACCCAACCAGATGGGTGGTGTATAAATAATAAATTATTATTATTATTATTACTATTATTGCATGTTAATATAAAAATGTGTACAAAGAGAGTAAGAAGGAGAAAAGAGTGAGTATATCCACAGTGGTACCTCGGGTTAAGAACTTAATTTGTTCTGGAGGTCCATTCTTAACCTGAAACTGTTCTTAACCTGAGGTACCACTTTAGCTAATGGGGCCTCCCGCTGCCGCTGCGCCACCACTGTGTGATTTCTGTTCTCATCCTGAAGCAAAGTTCTTAACCCAAGGTACTATTTCTGGGTTAGCAGAGTCTGTAACCTGAAGTGTCTGTAACCCAAGGTACCACTGTATATCCATACCTATATCTATACATATACATATACATATACATCATTAGTTCACGTGTCCTGTTAGCCACAGCAAGAAAGGACCTATGACTTAGAATGGAAAAACCATAGTGCTAATGGCGTCTTCTTGTGGTTTGCTTATAGAAAAACAAACCATGAATGCTTGCTCACATGTACGTACTGCTAAGTGAAGTATCATGGTTTGTTCCTCCTGGCTCTAGGCAGGGCAGAGTGACACAAGACCAGCTGAGCAGTATACACAGTTGCTAATCACGATGCTGTGCCTCCACAGCTGGAGGCAATAATGCTTCTGAATACCAGTTGCTGGAAACCACAGGAGGAGAGATTGTGTTTGTACTAAAATCAAATTATGGGTTTCCAACAGACATCTGGTTTGCCACTGTCAGAACAGGATGCTGGACTAGATGGGCCACTGGTCTGATCCAGAAGAGCCCTACTTACGTACCTGTGCTATTTCTTAAGCCATGAATCAGGCACATTGTTTCTCTGTGCGTATATGTGTGTTTCAAGGAGAATGGAAATAAAATAATAAATCAAGACAAATGTGGGTTGTCTAATTTTTAAGCAAAAAAAAATTCTGTTCAGTAGATGTGGCATATATAACTGGCCAAAGAGGACATGGCAGTGACGATACACAAGACATTACATTTTGGACCAGAGTACCTAACAGCTTGAGAACACCTGTTGACACTGAGTTTGAGCATCAATTCTACGTTAGCTGAAGCATTAAGCAGCAAATTCCGTGAGGAGAGAACACTGTCCCATAATTACCTCCTTTTAATTCAGCTTGTTGCTCAGCATAGTTTAGCTTTTATCATGATTTGCTCTCTTTCACAGAACCTACAGTATTTCTCAGCTGGCACGTAACATCTCTCTTCTGTTGGAACAATTTTAGTATGCTATATTCGGATGCTGCTATGCTTTGGCACAGGGTTGAAGACTCACTGTGTGGAAAATTTTCTTGCAAAGTATAACTGTCTCATTTTCAGTCTATTACTTGCTTTTAATATAAATCATTACACATTTTAAAACCAGACAATTTTAAGTTTAAAACAAGGGGGGAAGTTACAGAGAAATTACGCTTCATGCCTTTGCAGGAGACGTGGAGGGGAAATGCGAATGACTCATGCTTCTGCCCCCTGGCATGAGTGGTGGGAAGGAAAGAAGTATATCAGTTATAGAGAAATGAACATTATGTCCATGCTAGGAAGAACATATATCTTGCCTTGGGCATATACCTTCCCATCTCCAGGATGCAACAGAAGAAGGGAAGGAAGGTCACTCCATCAACTCTGCTAGGAAGTCAGTTACTGCATCCTCCTTTCCCTCAATTCCATTAGGTTGCTGAAGAAGAGCTGGGGAGCAGGATTCTGCTGAGAGACCATCAACTTTGGGCTTCTCTTCTGCTTGAACTGCTTCCATTTCAGCTAGCCATTTTAAAAACTTTCTAACTAAGTCTGCATACACGCTAGCCCACCCGTAGCAACAAAATGTAGTTTTTCTCCACCCAGAATCATTCACAGTCATCCTCAACATTCTGCTTTCAATTTAGATTGATTCTAGATTCTGCTGTCCAAAAAGATGGGTGTGGTTTCTTGATACATGTTTGAAAACCTTGCCCCTGGTTAGGTTATCCACACCCTTTCTTCTCTGCACATGCCCCAGGTGAATGAAGATGGTAGTCGAGATTGTGATCACCACAATGCCACTGGGAAAGTGTGGTTATGCACGAACCCATTGATAGAACCACTTACAGCTGTTCCCAAATGGACACACTGTAGAGTAACACAGAATCAACATTTTATTTAATGAGCTTTTATATTCGGAATGAAACCAGTTTCTCAAGAAGCACTTTTCAGGGGCAAAAAATATGCAGTATATCTAGATTCTGTGTGAACTACGCAGAAAAAACCCAGTATACAATTCTCCATTGGTTCTAGAATATGCAATCTAAGAACTTCCTTCCCAATCCCTTTGTCATGTATTTATATTGTAAACCTGAGGATAGAGATTGTCTGATTTCAGATTTTTGTAAACTACTCTGGGAACGTTTCAGCTGAATAGGGAGATAAAAATGCTTTAAATTGGGGTGGCTATTCTTTTTTGGACAAAGGACCCATGGCAAAATTTCAGTCGAAAGTGGGCATGGCTGAAGTGTAGAACGACATAATTTTTAGCCCTTTTCCTATGAGTTATGAATGATAAAGTTCTTCATATCAGTTAACATTGGGAAGAACTGCTCGCAGTGGTAAAGGTAAAGGTAAAGGACCCCTGAGAGTTAAGTCCAGTCGTGAATGACTCTGGAATTGCGGCCCTCATCTCACTTTACTGGCTGAGGGAGCCGGCATTTGTCTGCAGACAGTTTTTCCAGATCATGTGGCCAGCATGACTAAGCTGCTTCTGGCGAAACCAGAGCAGTGCACGGAAACGCCATTTACCTTCCCACTGGAGCAGTACCTATTTATCTACTTGCAGTTTGATGTGCTTTCAAACTGCTAGGTTGGCAGGAGCTGGGACTGAGCAACGGGAGCTCACCCCATCGAAGGGATTCGAACCTCCAACCTTCCAATCGGCAAGCCCTAGGCTCAGTGGTTTAGACCACAGCGCCACCCACGTCCCTCACAGTAAGTGGTCCCAAATAGTGATGCTATCTAAAGTGTGTGTCACACTTGCAGGCTTGCCATCAGCATCTGATTGGCAACTATGAGACTGGAGTTTAATTGGTTTAATTCACACAGAAATGGGAAAATGCCTATGTGTATTAATGAAGGTTTAAAATGGAAAATGGCTAAATGTGTAGCACTAACATTGGGGTTTTTCCACAGTAATTTTCTAAGAGAATCTAAGTGCCTAAATGGGTTAATGATTACCTGTTGATTGTTTTCTGTTACTCTAAACTGAATGTAACCTAAAGGTAAAGGTAAAGGTACCCCTGACCATTAGGTCCAGTCGCAGACGACTCTGGGGTTGCAGCACTCATCTCGCTCTATAGGCCGAGGGAGCCGGTGTACAGCTTCAGGGTCATGTGGCCAGCATGACTAAGCCGCTTCTGGCGAACCAGAAATGCTGTTTACCTTCCCGCCGGAGTGGTACGTATTTATCTACTTGCACTTTGACGTGCTTTCGAACTGCGAGGTTGGCAGGAGCAGGGACTGAGCAATGGGAGCTCACCCCTTCATGGGGATTTGAACCACCGACCTTTTGATGGGCAAGTCCTAGGCTCTGTGGTTTAACCCACAGCGCCAGCCGTGTCCCTCTAGTAATGTAACCTAGTGAGTTGCAAATACACCATCTTGAAAGGGTGGTGGCTTTTAGTCTTTCTCTGAATGCCACAGAGAACAAAAGGATGTAAAGGAAGCTCTCCAAGAAGCTGTATAGCCTTAGGCAGCCTGAGGCCAGCTGGAATGGGTGATAGAGAAAGTGTTTTGATTTTTAGAGCTATCTTTTATTTTTAAGAGGCTGAGCCTGTGCTGGATAGTACAAACCATTGTATGGACATTTTGGATTTATCTTTGATACTTATGTTATGTTTTTGAAGAGTTCTGGAGGTAAACTTTGAATGATTTTTTAATGGGTTCATTTCCAAAAGGAATCAGTTCTTATGAATCCAGTCACTTAATGCGGTGTAACATTAATATCTGCAATATGGACTGGGTGAGCTTTTGATTTGATACAGCAGAACTTTTCTTATGTACTTTAAGAAATAATGCAGAAATAGGAATCTTAGCTTTCTGTACTCTGCTTCTTCAAGACAAGCAGAGCCACTCTAAGAAATAACAAACCCATACTTTTCTAAACTTTTCTAAACTAGAAAAGGCCATTCCCCAGACTAGGAGGCAAAACACTATCTTTATAAACCACTCCTATTCATATGTACAAGATAATGGGCATCCACAAGTTCAGATTAATCAGAATATTCATAGTCATCCCCTGATTTTAGTATGGTACCTCTCCATACTGGCTTTTAAGCTGAAAATGTGCAGGAGGTAAGCTGGGTGCAATGAATAGTTAAATAAGCAAACAACAATTTGTAGTTTGGATTCTTTCCATACTTGGACTCCAGAGAAATAAAGAAACAACCTTGAGATGTTGAACCTTGAGGATACCTAATCTAGGAAAACTTGTATAGTCTAAACAAAAATTAAAGCTGAGCATCAATTATCTTGATACATAGGAATAATTCATAAACCAACAAAGCCCAGTATCTTTTTGTTTTCTAAAGCAACGGAATAGCACATAGTTTTCATCCCAAGTCAAACTGCATGTTGAAATATGGACCAGTGAGTTTTCTCTTGTCTGCCTACGTTACTTGATCAGTGAAATGCATTAGCATATGATGTAGGTTGTGGAATACTCCAAGAACCTGTGTCAAAAATACTTACATCATAAAGTATAACAAGTTTGGCTATCTAGGTATCATACAAATGCTTTGGCACTTCTGCCAACCTTACAGTGGGGAGGAAGAAATATATGCTGAATCAGTTACGTATTGCTTTTGTGGATTCCATTTACCATATCCATATTACCTTAAAACAGGGAACTGATGAGTGGCTTGGTGTTTAAGCAAAAGTGGGGTTTGAGGAATTTGTGTTGTAGATTTCAGGTGTTGTATATTTATATTTTCTAATGTTTCCATAGCTTGTAAAAATAAAAGAATGCAAAAGTATTTATTCCTAAAGCCAAAAAATAGCTATATGCTTTGACTTTATTATAAGGCTGTTCATAATTTCAGAACCAATGTGCATAGTACCAACGAAATACAATGGGAAGAGTGATATTGCTCAGTCCATATAAATTGACTGTTTTGAAGCAATCAAACTGGATATTTTAAGATTCAGAAAGGTACTATCTGTCAACTGGTATCCATTTCAGCTTTGTTCCTTATGATGCAATTTAAGGCCCCTATTCATCATTTTTGGGAGGCATCAGAAAGGGGGCAAATATCAACTCAGTCAGTCATATTGGAGAGTCTGGAATTAGGCACACTATTCCCCATCAGATACAATTTGTTTCATCCATGTACCTTATGACATAATTATGGGTCTTGGAAACGTGCTTTGAGATCTGCTAAATGTCCTAGAAGTTGCATAGAAGATTGGCTGGCAATTCTGGAAGTGCCAGAACTTTTGTATAGTGTATATTTTATTGTTCTAAGCTGCTTTGAGACCTACATGGTGGAAAGCGGAATATCATTTTTTAAAAAAATAAATAAATGAAAAACGTTTGTGCAGTATCTAGATATTCAAATCTTTTGTACCTAATCGTATGCTATGACTTGAGTATTTTGACATGGTCACAGGAACTAGAAGGACTAGGGGAGAAAGGCGAGCCATTTTATAGTTTGCAAATTTCATAGGAACAAGGTTACTTACACACCTGATGAAAGGCAAATTAATAGGGAAGCAAGGCTGCTTACAGAAAGAGAGCTCAGAAGAGCTCTAAACTCATTTATGTGAAGAGCTCCCCAGGATTTTCCTGAAGACAGGAAAACCCTTAGAGCTCTGAAGATGCTTGGGAGGGGAAGCTTTCCCAGGGCATGGACTGAACAATAGCCATCATAGGTAGTAGCCATTGCTAGGCTTACTCTCCATGAGTTTGTCTACTCCTCTTTTAAAGTCATCCAAGTTGGTGGACTTCACTATATACTGTGGCAATTATTATATCTGTATAATTATTTTTAAAATGCTTCTTGTGTGAAATGATTTTTTTCTTTGTTCTTTGTCGATTTTTTTGTCGATGACCCCATGTGTAAAACTTATTAATAATGATTTAATAAAATACAGAAATAATAGTATCAGCAGGTTGTGCAGTAGCATAAGTCTTTCCTAGAAATCATGCTGTTGTGATTAACTTAACTTCCTAGAAAAGCACTCTGGATTTAGGGGGGAAATGTCTATAATTACTTTATTCAAGCTGTTAACCATTGCTACTCATTGGTTGCATAAGAGTCACATATAAGCAATTTACCCTGTGTTTGTCCCATCCTCAGTTTTTCCACCAGTTTTAATTATGTGACCATTATAGGCATTAATTTATAGAAGAATCACAGGACCATAGCTGTCAACGTTTCCCTTTTTTTAAGGGAAATTCCCTTATTCCGAATAGGATTCCTCGCAAGAAAAGGGAAAAGTTGACAGCTATGCACAGGACTGTAGGGCTAGAAAGGAACCCTGGGGGTCATCTAGTCTAACTTCCTGCAATGCAGGAATCTCAATTAGATCGTATTGTTCCCTTGAATCACACACGGGCTTCCATTCCGGTCCTGAATATAAATAAGAGAAGTCCTATTGACTTCAATAAAGACATCCAAGTGGGACAATAAAGACATCCTGTATCAAGGCTGAAGCAATCAGGCCTGAATTCTTAATTCCCTTGCTAGAAGAAATAGCGGCTGTCTTGCTTTCTGCTCCATATGGCTGCAAGTAATGTTATAGGCCAGAAGGAGATAACCGGTAGCTACTCACTCAGGTGTTGTCAGGTGATAAAAGACATCAGTGTGACTTCACATGATTCTTTAAAGTAGATGTGGGGAAGCTTTTTTTTTTTTAATGTACCAAGGACTGTGGTTTTTTTACCATAGGGTGGGGGCTGATGGGACTAGAGTCAAAAGTTGCCAGGACCAACATCCCTCCCTCCCTCTCTTTCTGTCTCTCTCCCTTACCCCTAGCTGTCTTTTCCCTCTCTATTTGACCTTCTGCCATCTCTTCTCTTTCTTCTCCCTGCCTATTAAGATGCCAGGGGAAAGTGGGGACAGGGGGAAATCAGCCAAAATAACCTCCCCTTGTTCCATCAACAAGGGTCCCTACTATATCAGAGTCCCCTTCTGCGAATGGAAGACGCTTGGATATCAGGAACCAAGCCAATATTCTTAAGCCTTTCAGATCCATTTGATACCTTGCCTACATAAACGAGCTTATCAGGTCTATTTATTTATGATTAAATTGGAGCTGCCAAAAGTCAAGGCTCTCTCTGCAACTGATGAGTGTCGGGGTCAAGCAACATCTGGAGGGCCACAGATTTCCCATGTCTGCACAAGCCTTAATCAAATGATGTAGAGTATGACTATGCCCTGCTTTCTGGATGTCAGAAACAAGTTGCTATTACTCTCCGCTGACAACAGCAACCTATCAGTTTCTTTCAGAAGAACATATCTTTGCCCAAAGGTTGAGGGAAATTGTTTCATAAATGAAAGTGTCTCACTGTTTCCTGTTTTAAAAAAAGAAAGCATTGAAGCCCAGGAAGATAAGGAACATATCAGCAGTAATTGAACCTAGTGATAGTACATTTTAATGGTCTTCAAATGGCATTATTGCGTGGTGAAGAAGAAGAAGAAGAAGAAGTCAACAAAATAAACATTATACTCCATGCTGCCATTAATCCTTAAAAGCAGGTTTGGTGACAGACTGCATTTTTATTGTTCTCTCAGGGAATAAAAATCTGTTGGCATTTGTCACTTTAAAATGATTTTTATTCTGCAGTGTGAAAACTGAAAGCATTCAGAAATCAAATCTCCTTTTTGATATATCATCGTAATTTAATATTACTATTATTATATATTGAATTTATATACTGCCCTATACCCAGAGGTCTCAAGGCGGTTCACAGAATAATGGTGCTCAACAAGTGGACTCCCAGCACCTGGTATTATTCTTAAGGCATACTAGAAAAGGAAGCATAGCAAACCAAACCAAACAGTTAAATGGACAAAAAGACCAAAAAAAAAAGGGGGGGCAAAAAAATAAGCACCAGAGACTAGCAAATCGTCCCTGAAATTTGTAGCACGATACACTAGAATAGCTTGGCTCCTAAAGTTTTCATATAAATCCAGTGCAACTCTCTACTATGCTGACTAATTTTCAAGTCAAACTTCAGCTTTTCTATCATAAAGATGGACAAAGCCAGCTGATTGAGATACATTGCATAAAATTACAGAATCAACAGTGTTTTCCTTCTGCCATAGATAGAACATTATAGCTCTTATTCTACCACCCTCCCGACCTTACTTTGACATCCTAAGCTCTCAGCAAAGAGTCTGAAAAGTTACCTCCAGAGGACCAGTTTACTGAGTATTTATCCTGATTTGTGTGCACAAAGCTTGCACAGAGGTTATATGGTGTGTGCCATTTATTCATCCTCATTTGTTTGTACAGAGTTTATGTGACTTCCTGTCCAATCAATTGTGAACCCACACTTTCTAATGCATTTCCCCATCACTTTCCCAACAATAATAAATAAATCTGATTTTAAAAGAAGAAGAAGTAGGCTGGTTGCACAGGAGTGCCAGAGTGCTTTATAATCCACATTATTCGCAAAAACTTAAATTTGCCAGTATGCAATTGAATCCCTCCAGCAGAATAGTTCCCATCTAGAGGCTTTAAAAAGACATATTCATGCAGCTCTTTCTTTAAAACCAGTTGCAGATCAGATCCCCCAAGCCAGCAGGATGGATTCCTATCTGTCTACGAGCTAACAGTTAGGTGCCCCTGCTACTATATTATTAAATTCCGTTTAACTGGGGGTTTTAATGTATGTTGATGTTTTGTACAGCATGATTTTAATAGGTGTTTCAGAGCCACTTGGGGAGCTAGATCTGGCTGAGAAATTGAATTGAAGGAATAGTAAGAAAATTATGCAGGTGGCTATCTGCTGTCAGAAGGGGACTACTTCCTGGGAAGGGTGGAGACACTGGCGAAGGAAGGGGTGTGGTGGGGGCAGTCCACTCTGGGTGCCATCCCTGAGGGGGGGACATCGCAGTGCCACCCCCCTGGGCCGCTCGCCATGGGCAGCGCCTCCTTGGGACACTTGTTCTGCCCCTGCGGGCAGCTAGCCCTGCCCCCAGGGCTCTGGGTGCCGGAGCAGCTAGCTCCACCTCTGGGTAGAGATTGATCTTAGTGGCCCCTCCTCCTCTCTGTCTACTATCTAAAATGCTGGTAGAAATTGCACCTTGCAGGAGATGACTTGAGATGCAATCCATGCCGATGCAACGAAGTCGTTAAAATCAACAGGAACTAAACAGCTACTTCAATTAGTTAAGATTGCCTCAAAAAGATTTGTGCCTCTAGCTGGACCCTTGGTGAGTTGATGTGGGATCAGATGCTCCTAAGCAAAGCATTTACCGTGCCACATGGGAGATAGTTTAATACAAGGCATCCACAAGCAGAAAAGACACCAATAATGAGATACTGAGACTACACAAAAAGAAACTTTGACAGATGTATGGAGACTACAGGTTATAAGTGAGGAAAGAGAAACCTACCATTTGCAAACAACATTCCTGAATTGGAATGCTGAGGTGTAAGAAATGCAGAGGAGTTTAGCTAAGCAGTTGTGGGTCATCCATTCTGCTAGGAATCCCTTGTCATATCAAGAGAGATGGTAGTGTCGTAAAAGTTATTTGCGGAAGGCACTGAACTTCTCCCACAATGCACTTGTAACTAAAGTATGTTGTCCATGTGATTTGAACTCAGGGGCAACAAAACCATATGCTTCCTTGTCTGGAAACTTATTTTTTCAGGAAAAATTGGCAATCAAATAGGATAGCACAGGTGGTTGATGAGCCACTATCACAAACTTTTTTCCAAACAGCTGCTCTGCACAGCAATGTAGTCAACGCAGAATGCAAAATGAGCCATTACAGCGTAACCACCATCTGGTGCACTGGCCCAATAGAGAAAAAGGACCAGTGTCTGAGATATTGTGGAATGGGTGGGTGGGCAGAAATGGCACTGGGACTGCTTCTACACTGCATGTTTTCACTGGAATTGACATAATTAATTCAGTTATCATTGTCTTGTATTCTGCTTTTTATAGATGAATTCACTACAAGTTGCATTAATGGTAAATTAAACTTTATTTTTTATGATGCCTGGAAGTCTGCATACAGTAGAAACTAACTTCTTCAGCCAGGCTACACCTCTGAGTCAGCCCCCTTGGCCATAGCTGTGTTTCCCCTTGCCATTCTTCTGTCTTTTTGAAGACTTGATTTGCAGACATTTTTCTAATGGCCACCTATAGTCTTTTAATGGTATTTTGTGTTTTAATGCTGTACATCACCATGATATTTAATGACATGGCAATACATTATCGTCAAATGAATGAATGAATGAATGAATGTCAGTACCAGCCTGTCCAGTGTGGACTGACAAAAAGCTATTGAGATATCTGGAGAGGAAAGTGGTTCACAAGACCTATTTTTGAGGACCCAGGTGCAGGAAGCATGGAGCTCATCTTGGGACAAGTCCAGGTTATAAATAAGACACATAAGGTCAGAATTGCATTAAAATTGGCTACAACTTTATTGACTACTGATGTAAGCTAGTTTTGGCTAAGGCATCGGGTATGTATCTGGTATCAAGCAACCCACCTGCTGGTTGATCAGTAAGGTGGATTGACCCTGAGTAGAGGGTTGCCTCTTGTCATACATCAAGTAGAGCAATCCCAACATTCAGAAGGTTACTATGCCCATCGATCCCCGTGTGGTCCCCATGTGGACCAAGCATATCCTTCCTGGACCCTTTTATCAGGGTATCCCATGTCTAACAATCCAACTCAATGTCTTATCAGGCTCTAGCATTGAGTAAACTTGAGAGCAGCTGCAGATAAGGGAATTAGCTCGTGCAATGTTGCAAGATTTCCTTGCTGGAGCACAAGACCAGCCAGATTATGGCGAACCCTTTATTTACATTTTGGTATTTGAAATAGACATCCAAAAGCAAGGGCCTTTTCAAGTGCATTGTTTTTCTTGCGGACTAACATGTTACTTAAGACTACGAGAAAAATGGTATGAAAGAAAATGTTGCAGTTCTGTTGCTGAAACTAAGCAAGTCCCCCCCCCCCCATGTGTAAATTGCCTGGCAACTGTACTTAAACTACTCTAAGCTCTTTAGGGTAAGAGCAGGGTAATAAGCAAACAATCAAACAGCAAAAACCACCAGCCCCTTCCCCCAAGAGACATGCAGGAGGAGCTTGTTCCATTCACAATCCCTAACACTTAACATCCAACCATGCTTAACCAGATCTCACAATACCGCTGTGATATCTATGGATGAGGAATCCCTACACACAGCAGCACTTGCCATTCTGATGAGATAATTTTATACTTCTGGCCCTTAGCCATAGAAAGTTTATGGATTGTATTCACCAGCACAAGGGCAGCTCTCACAATTAAGGACTACAAATCACAGGAAATGCAGCAGGCACCAGAACAGCAGCAAAATATATTAATACTAGTTGAGTCATGTAGACAAATTATTTGATAAAGAGGTAGGTGAACTCCTTAGACAGGCTAAGAAATGGAAATTTTAAAAAGTGCTGTTGGAAAATGATCACGATAGTAAATTTCAGCCCCAATGCAAGTTAGGAAGGCTATTCTCCAAAACAATTCTATCTCTTAGCTACCACTAGCACAACAGCATGTGGTTGAACCACAAATAGCTGTATAAAATAAAAGTGACAAGAATGCTGGCCTCAGGAGAACATGCTTCCTTCACTGCACATCCTAAGCATCCATCACACAAGGTTAAATGACTTGACACTACTACATTACTCCAAACAAAGAGATAGGCATATTCGTTTTCCAATGCTAAAAGGGGACTTCTGGTAAAGAGAATGGGAATTTGATCTCTGTAGTACAGCAACACCATTTGTCCTTACCAGAAACTGACTCAAATGCTCTTCTGTGAGCAAAACAGTGGGTACAGATGGTCCTTACAAGGTGGCTTCCATAAAAACAAAAACACAACAACCAATATCTAAAGTACAAGCAAACCATCATTAAAATAGCACTATCTTCAAACAGCAATGACATAAGCAATATGAATAACAATCTTAGCATCATATTGCAGCAAACCAGTAAAAACAACATATTAAATAATTTCAGCGACAATATATTAAAACCATTTCAGCATCCATTTAAATCAACAACAGTATCTTTAAGGAAAGGCAGCTCTAAGCAAATGACTTTTCAGAGCCCATTTGAAACTTGAACCAAGGGTGCCATAATCACCTCAGCTGAAAGAGCATTCCACAAACAGGGAGCCAAGGTTGAAAAGGCCTTTTATCTTCTGTCCATTATCTATTACTCTCAGTTGTCAAACATACTGAAGAAATATACTACTTTTGCCAGAGCATCTACTTACACATGCCTGGTATTCAGAGACTCTGAAACAGTAAGACCTCTGCTGATATAAAAAACTAACTATGCAAACACCAACAGAGGAAGATGTTTAGCCTGCAATCTTATTCAAATTTACTTTAAAGTGTTGCTAGACTCATTGGAACTTGTCTCTAACTAAATTAGATGTGGCAACTGTTATGCATGCAGCAATCATAGCAGGCAATGTTTTAAAACCCTGGGTTGCAATCAGCTAAGGCTTACTCAGAGTAAACCCACTGAAATTAATAAACCCAAGTTATTCATGTCCATTAACTTCAATGGGTCTTCTCAAGCATCAAATACCACCCACAATTATAAATGCTGACTCTTTTTTAAAAAGTTAAGATTCCTGTGAAGTTGAAAAAAGTGCATGTAATGGTCAACTAAGATGTTCCCTCCCTGCTAAAATGGAAGTTCTTGTGTTTGCATGGGCGAGAAAATAGTACTTATGAGTAAAACGCAAGAGAAAATGTTAACCATCCACCCTGTCATAAAGCAGTGATGGCTACCAACTAAGCTCTGAAAGAGGATTGGACACATTCATGGACGATAAGGTTATCAAGTGCCTATGAGCTGTGATGGCTATGCTCTGCCTCCACTATTGGAGGAGGCATGATTCTGAATACCAGTTGCTGGGATCACAACTGGAGAGAGTGCTGTTGAACTCAGGTCCCACCTTTCAGGCTTCTCATGGCTACTGTGAGAACAGAATGCTGGAGTAGGTGGGCCTTTGACTGAAAGCCCAAATGGTGGCCATGCTTTGGCTGTAATCCCATCCACATTCGCCACCTGAGCAGTGGCGTAGCGTGGGTTGTCAGCACCCGGGGCAAGGCAAGTAATTTGCGCCCCCTAACCCGTGGATTTGCGCCCCCTAACCCCCAGATGGTGCGGCTGGTGCGGCCGGCCCCCCTGCACCCCCCACGCTACACCACTGCACCTGAGTTCACTATTAAGGAGTGGTAAATCATCATGAGTAGATGGCATGGTTGAATGAAGCATTTGCTGTATTTTATTATCTGGTAAGTACATTGCGTGCCTTCTGTTATATAGCTGGTAGATTTTTCCAGTAAGAACCGAGAGACAGACAGAGAGAGAGAGAGACAGAGAGAGAGAGAGATCACCCTGCTCAGGGAAGCCCTGAGGTTTGCAGAAGTACCAAAAAACCCCCACCACCAAGCACATTTTTAAAAGGTAGGGTTTCCTCCTTCCTCTCACCCTCCAGAAAAGTAACCGAGCAAACAAATATATGCAATAGCCACTGAATGCAGAGTGACCAGGGGGGAGGCACTGCTGAGGTGAGCATACACCTTTTTGTTGCAGGTCCAACATGTATGTAATAATAATAAGCATACACGTGCAACGATCCTTCTCATTGCAATTCACAACAATAAACTGCAAAAAATCATATCACATGAAACAGTACTATAAAGCAGGAGAAGCTGGTTTTTAATGCTCAGTTAAGACGTTCAGTCTGAAAATGCCAGCTGTTATAGAAATTGGTGTACAAACATGTCTCTCTTGGAAGGGAGCATTGCTGCTGCGTAAATAGTTGGGTTATCCTAAAGCGTTCAACGTTGGAGTGGCTGAAGGGGGAGGTTTTACTTCCTTTCTAGCCCTGGAAACAAAGAGCATCCAGCTTCCATAATATTCAGGCACTGTCCAGACCTACTATAATAAATACAGCTATTTTGAGCCACTGCCCTCCTTAGAAGGACTCCAACCTAAAGTGGCAAGCTAGCTCAGTATTCCAGATCCACATAGATATTTTATTTATGCAAAGTGCAAAGCATTCTATTTTTAAACATGGTTTTCAATTAAGGCAATAACTTTGTGACCCTTGAAACACTTGGATGAGTACTTAAATTTGCACATTTCAACATTCTTGGCTGAAGGGTCAAGGCCTTGAAAGACATAACGAAAAATTAATGATTTGGTGAATGAATGAAACATCCTTGACATCACCAGTTTTACCTGGATGAGCAAGACAGAGGCTTGTCTCTTTGCAATCTTGTGTTCGTCCCTGCCCCCCTCAGCAATAGTAGCATAAGGCACTTTCACGTTCCATTGGTTGTTCAGAGATATGTTAATATAAATGAATCAGAGCATGAGATGTGGAAAATAATGTCTTGAGCTATGTTTTCCAAAATTGCTTTCTGACACAATAAAAGCTACCAAGGACCATTCTAAAAGTAATTTTGGATTACTATGGGGTTTTTGAATTCAGTAGTAATTTTGAAAATCTTTTTAGCAGCATTCTACCCAAACTTGCATGTCAACAGAACTGCAGGCTAGCCTGCTTAGCCAGGGGTGCCATAAGGAACCAAAAAGAGCTGCTCTCTTGAATGGACAAGTCTGCCCAATTGCAGGGAGGGGGAGTGCTATACACCTTTCAACTCTTTTCCTTAAGAAATATTGGTTACAAAATGTAATACAAAAATTATATACCATACAAAGAGGAGGAAAATCATTCAAGTTACTCAGTTATTGCCTCTCAGTCTGATTTCCAAATATGCAAATAAGGGATGACCACAATTTTGTAACTACTGTATGATAAAGCTACTCCATTCTTGCATAAAATTACTTGGGATATTCAGGTCCTTTTAGAAGTCTTACTTGGTGAGTGAGTTTTTCAGCTATAACTATGTTCCGTAAGTTTCAATACCATAGGCCAGCATTCAGAGCCTTTGAGTTTTTCCATTGTTGGGCTATAAATAATCTAGCTACTGCCACCAAAAGATAAACAAATCCTAAGGTTGTATACCCACAATGGGTCCCTCAAAGACAATTCATTTATGAGAGCAGATTTGGGGTGTACAGACCAGCCCACCTCAAGCAGCTACCTCCCCTGAATCTGCTACACCTGTCTGAAAGGACCGCCAGGTACCTGGCCCAGTTTTGTGCTGGGTGCCAACACGAAACAGTGCACTGGCAGAGGGGAAACAGAGACCTCCCAACTGCTCAATGTTGCTGTTATGTACTGAAGTTCTCACCCTGGGCCAGCAGGGGGATACTGTAGATAGTTTTCACTCAGGTCCGCATATGCAAATAAGGAATTGAAAGTGACGTTCAGTGATTGGATAGTTACAGAAAGTTGTTACTGTTGCCATGTAGTTGAGCTTTATATAAGCAGGTTGGCTGAACCCTTCAGCCCTATTCTGTTCTGGCCTGTGAATAAACAAGAGCTGTCTGAAGAATTGCTGCGTCATCTGATATGCTCACCCACAACTTAATAGTTGCCTTGAAAAAACCCCTCAAAAACTAGAAGTTTCTTGTATTATTGTAAGTTACCATGGAGACCTCTCATCAGGCAGCAAGGTACTCTGTAAATGTTTTAAATAAACAGATAAATATTGATAATGCAATCTGCAAATTGCAGATATGTGCAGCATTCCCATAACTGGTTTTAGAGGTCAGGATAGAATAATAATGGAAGGCACTGTAAATCTGGCACGTATGCCTCATTTGCTTTCCTGGTGTTTGGCAGCCAAGTTGCCTCATGTTTAACCGGACTTGTCTGTGATGAGGAGACAGACGGCTGCCTTACTGTCATAAAAGCAGTTTCCTCTTTTTATGATTGTCAGTTAAATTTGGCATAGGTTGGAAGTTTTCTTCCCACTTCTTTTTGTAACAGTACATCACTTTATTATGCTTTCCATATGCTAACACAGACTTTTAAGTAGCATTAAGACCAAGGAATACTTTCCATATTGATCGGTCTACATTGACTCCCCTCATGTTGAAGGGGATTCTGGGCTGTTCAAGCTAAACCCAATGGTACTCGCCAACACCACAAGTAGATTGAGAGTGCACAATGTAAAATACCCAACATTCCTCCATGGCTACATACTCCATGGGTGGTGGTAGTGGAGGAGGACAACCTTTTTTTCAAGGACGTTTGACCACCATAATTGATATTTTCACTATAGTTCCTCTGATAAGCTAGAACAAAGCTAGAACAAAGCTAGAACAAAGTCTAAAACATACTTTTGTAACTCCAGCTATTTAACAGCTACGAGATCACCCCAAGCTACATGTTTGTTGACACCATCAGTGAACTCCAAAACAATGATGAAGTAATATTTCCCTTTTGCAGCCCATTTATAGCATTTGTTTTCATTCCCCAATGGAAGTTCTGAAGCTTCTCTGAAAAAAGTTATAATTCTCAAATGAATAATTTGCAGTGAAAAGAGGTCTGCGTGAGCTGGATTCAGTATATGCCTTTGTGCTTTTATCTTCATGGATGGAGATCTGTTCCTGGTTTTCTATTCTCGTTTTAGAACAAAAAACACTGTTTGCTATGTCTGAACTAAACAGGATGCTGCAGTTTCTTGCACATGGCAGTCAAAAGCTGCTCAACTCTCTAGCAATGTAGCAACTGAGGGCTTATTCACACTTGCCTTTTGCCTTGCTCTTTCCAGGCACAGGTCTGCACTTAAGATTTCCGTGTATGAGCATCTGAGGCTTCTGCCCCACAGCTTTCTCTGTGAAAATCCATTCTTTAGTGCTCAATTGGGGCAAACGTCAATTTGGGTTTTCCACAGATTGCTATTTGTTCCAGTTGAAATTTAAAAAGCGGGTTTTCGCAGGGATAGCTCTGGAGCGAAGAAAAAAGGCAATAAAGGGAATTTGGACACAAAACTTTAAAGAGTGGACCCCACCTGGAAAGAATGGAGGAAAGGTAACTGTGGATACGCTTAAGATGCCATCTATGGTTTCACTGGTAACTGCTAGACAGAACTGCTATAACAGTAACCTTTACATCAACCTTAAATCATGGGATGTTCAGAGGTCCTGCAGAACCAATATCACTTTCTGATGAGGACATGCTCAGCTGGCATGGAGCATCCATATCAAGGGCAGTGTGTTAATTGGTCCCCAGATTAAACTGCGGATGCAGTTCTCAGTTGGCGCATAAACTGGCACACAATTAAGTAACATGTGCATGCAGGACTTAAATCTCTTCCCCCTGCAATCTATTAGCACATGAAAAAATAAAAGAGCCTTTGGTCTGGCATGTTTTGTTTTGATCAATTATCCATGTGACTGACAAACTGCAACACTATCTGCTTCCTATTCATTAAACAGATGTCTAAATTGAATTATAAGCTATTACATTGCACCTTGTAATTATATATTTGCCACTCAGGGTTCATGACTTCCACAGCATGTGATAAAAAGGGACAACTCCATTTTAATTAGCCCAGTGTGCTATTTTTAGAAAAGTTTGATCACCTGCAGGACAGATTTATTTATTTATTTTTTTAAAGTGGGGGGGGGCAAGTTAATGGTTACATTAACCATGCAGTAAGATGGCATAAAAAGACAGGTGTGCAAACATGCAAATGTTTAAATCAGAAATTAAGAATAGCTTTGTAAACTTGTAAGGTATCAACAAAAGGCTATAGCTGGCACATCTGTGCAAGGATTAGAATTGGCACATTTGTGATTTCATAAAGCATAGGGGACAGAAGGTACCAGCAGTTCTAGTTCTGAAAGCATGACAAGAATCAAGCAAATAAAGGATAGATTTACTTCGGCTCTCCTATAAAAGCCACTACAGTTTTTGAGAGCCCTTTGACTGGGGTTTGGAGAAGTATGTCTTTCTTCCCAAATGCAATGATGATTCAGAAGAAAACAATCCTGAGCCATTAACTCAAGAGAAAATATCCTAGTTTCAAAAATTCAGTTAATGAAAATATAAATAATATTAACCCAGCTTTTCTGACCAGTACAATCCTATCCCTGAGTTAAGAACTGAATAAAGATAGGTACATTTGCTGGTACATTTTATCATATGTGGTAGAGTAGCAAAGGGATTTGGGGAGATGATACATAATGAGATGGCAAAAAGATATTTCAGAGGACTCTCCCAAAAAGACCAGAAGCTTTTCTCCTATGGATAATTGGACTTGATGTACCAAATAATCAAAGGAATTTGTTTCTGTATGTGACTACTGCAGCAAGAGTACTATATGCCCCAAAATGGCGGGAGGATGAAGCTCCTACGAAAGAAGAGCGGAAGTTGAAATTGATGAAATGTGCCGAATTAGCAAGTTTAACTAGTAAAATTAGAGAACAAGACGAGGCAGCCTTCGAGGAGGATTGGACTTTTTTTGTAGATTATTTTAAAAATGATCATAAACATGTTAAGATGCTTGCAGGTTTGGAATAAGCTCAGCAGTAAAAGTTACTCTGAGAATAAGGTGGAGGAAAGAAGGTATAGATTAATTATAATATGCAGCAGCAATAGATAATTAGAGGAAACCATGGGAGGGTGGAAGGGAAGTCAATTATCTTGGAATTATATATCGGGAAATGTTTGACTCATTGTATTTCATTTTTGGAAAATGTATATATATATATATATATATATATATATATATATATATATGTTGTTGTTGTTGTTTAGTCGTTTAGTCGTGTCTGACTCTTCGTGACCCCATGGACCAGAGCACACCAGGCACTCCTATCTTCTACTGCCTCCCGCAGTTTGGTCAAACTCATGCTGGTAGCTTTGAGAACACTGTCCAACCATCTCGTCCTCTGTCGCCCCCTTCTCCTTGTGCCCTCCATCTTTCCCAACATCAGGGTCTTCTCATGAGGTGGCCAAAGTTTTGGAGCCTCAGCTTCATGATCTGTCCTTCCAGTGAGCACTCAGGGCTGATTTCCTTAAGTACAGGATTGCTAAATCCCTTGTTGCAGTGCGGTTCTGGCATAGTTGCAAAAGGATAGTGAAACTATGACATATTATTATGGGAAACCTGTGGTCTTCCAGATGTTGTTGGTCTCCAACTCCCATCACCCCTAGCCAGTATGACCAGTGGTCAGGAAAGATTGGAGTTGTGGTCCAGAAACATCTGGAGAGCCACAGGCTCCCCACCTCTGCTTTAAGGTGTGAACAGGAGCAGATTGAAGTAGCCAAATTTGCTTTATGTTATACATTTTTTGTGGGAAGCAGTAGCTTTAATTGGATTTTCTGCCTCAAGCACCTAGATCTTTTGTGCCAATGTGTGAATTGATCCTTGCTATTTTCAGTGTTGGACTATAACATACCAATATGATCTGGGACTTCAAATGAAAACAAAATAAGAAGGCGTATGAGAAATCATTTCAGGGAAAATCAGCATTGCAGAATTGGGATACATCCAGCGATACTTGAAGCATGCCATGTTGGATTATAAGGGTCTTGTTAAAGTTTGGTCAAGAACCCAAGTGTCCAAGAGGAAAGAAAGAATGCAAGAGTTAGTCAGGGTTCAAGTGCTGTTACTGACTGTAAGAACTTTTCTGGAAAACGTGTTCCGTCTCAGAATTCAAAAATAGAACAATCTTAGGTGAACAGCCACTTGTCGGTATACTCAAACAAAACCACAAGCCTGCTTGACAGAACCAGTCATGGCACCACTAAGAACAATGCATATTTAGCTTTATGAATTCTTTAGGGCTTCTCTTAGATGCCTGCTCAAGAAAATCCTTCAGCTGCTACTTCATAGACCGAAAGGGAACCTTTATGTTCAGAAGTATATTGCCTCTGAACACCAGATACTAGTGGTGGCTAAGACAATCACATCTGCTTGCGAACGTCCTTGAACAACTAGCCGCCCTAGAAACAGAATGTTGGGCTTGGGAATTCCACCGAACTCAGTGCTAACAAGACAAGTTCAGATTACAGCGGTGGCCAGGAGGGCTTTTTACCACCATATTCTGGTATACTGTGACCCTGTGGCAATGCTTTAGTTACCCATGCACTAGCGACACCAGCCTAGGCTACCATGTGTAATGCAGTTTTAATGATGGCTTGGAAACTTCAATCCATGCAAAATGCAGCCAACAGGGTACTGCTAGGTGCTTGGCGGTAAGAACGTATGATATGATAACTATGTTGTATCAGTTACAGTGGTTGCCAGTGCATTTCTATGCTCAATTTATGCAGCCAACCTTACAGCCCTAAATGGTTTTGGACCAGTTGACCACCATCCATATCAGCATTCCTGCATGCAGAAATCAACTTCTGAGAACTTGTGTACCCACCTGTAAAAGCATTCATGCTTACAGGCACAAAGGAGAAGGCTTTTTCAGTGGTGGCCCCCCACATTTGTGGAAATCTGTTCCAACTGGGATTTGACAGGCCCTCCACATCTGCTGGAGATGGAAGTGTTAGGAGGCTGCTTCTGGTATGGAATACCTAGCAAAGATCACCAGTGTTGAAGCAATGATTTTTCAACATCAGCTTCATTGGACTGGTCATGTTGTACGGATGCCTGATGATCGTCTTCCAAAGCAACTACTCTATTCCGAACTTAAAAATGGAAAGCGTAATGCTGGTGGTCAACAAAAGAGGTTTAAAGACTGTCTCAAGGCAAACCTAAAAAAATGTAGTATAAACACTAACAACTGGGAAACACTGGCCTGAGAGCGGTTCAGTTGGAGAACAGCCTTTACCAAAGGTGTCATGGGCTTTGAAGACACTCGAACTCAGGACGCAAGGGAGAAACATGCTAGGAGGAAGGCACACTTGGCAAATCCACACTGTGATCAGCTCCTGCCCAGAAACCAATGTCCCCACCTTGTTTATGGAAGACAATCTTACTCGGCTGCGAGTGATCGCCAAAGATGAAGAAGACCTTCCTTGGAGCTATACTTAGTGGAACATTCTATTCTCCCCCGCTCATCTCCAAGGTTGGACACTGAAAATTCTGTTGCTATTTGTATTGTTTTGACTGGTATATTTTATGTATTGTAGTATTACTGTATACTGTATTTATTTTGTATTAATATTGTTCACTGCTTTGGGGACCTTAGGCTGAGAAGTAGTATATAAATAAACCACACCATACAACACGATCTCACTACTATGTCAAGATTTGGCTTATTGCATCATGCAAAACACCTCATGGTTATTATGTGTCTCAATATTTTTTTACATATTGTTATAAATATGCTCAATTTATATATCATTGTAAGCTATCTTAAAGAAAGTCTCCCCCCCCCAAAAAAGTTATTGCTTTAACTGTATTGAATAAAGAAATACAAATAACTATGTTTCAAATGGCGTGGTCATTTTTTTAAAAAAAAGACCTCCAAAATTTCAATTTCAGAATTAAAATGCTTCAGAGTTTTTTTGTTTGTTTTGATATCAACTGTCAAAAGCCCATATTTAGAACCAAAATTTAAGCATGATAAAATTCCAGCTCTGCTGTAGTAGGTAATAGCTTCATGATATAATGAGCTTCTAGAGCTATTATCAACTGACACTTGCCAGAAAATGTAGATAATTATCCCAACATAGGCTTATTGTTTTGCTACTTGCGCATGCCATGCAACCTCAGGGAGCACCCTCTTCCCATATATTCTCCAAATGGACATATTTAATTTGACCCTTGCTAGCCCTTTACATTCCAATATGTTACTGGGAGGGGATGGGGGGTGCCTTTTTCTGGAATCTGTAAATACAGCTTGGAATGTGTCATTTAGGAAGATTTGGGTGGGGGGGTTATAAGAATGTGATCTTTGACTGCATGAAACAGTGAATGCAAGGTCAAAAAGAATCAATACTCAAGGAGAAAAGAGGATGTTGGAAGGGGAGAGTAGTTGAGAATCATAAAAAGAGAAACAGCATAGATATACTAAGAATACTGAAGAAGAAGAGGAAGAGGAAGAAGAAGAAGAGGAGGAGGAGAGATTATAATCTTTGGGGTTTCATCTATATTATTTCATCTTTGTCAGTGACTAGCCCTGTTTAACATATTTGAGACGTTATATTGCCTCAACTTGGAAAAGTGACTATACACACACACACACAATTAGTGCTTTTTTCTAGGGGGACACAGGGGTACACATACCCTTAAACATTTTGTGAATCTAAGTTTGGCCTCATTGAAGGACAGTATTTCAATATGAGTAGGAAAATGAGAGTACCCCTAAACATTTTTTTTAGAAAAAAAAGCACTGAATATAACAGAAGGTTGTAGCCTGTTGAGCAGGTGAGCAAACTCAGCTGCTTTACTTGTTGGTAAACCATTGTTTCCCTTGAGAAATACGTACTAGCTTTCAAAACACTTCAGAACTGAAGATACTATTTTGTCTGTACTGCCACTCTGTTGTACCCCCCCTCCCCCCCGCCAACCTACTCTAGCCAAGACAAGACTTCATTCCAGACTTGGTCAGTTTCTGCAAGAAGAGTGGCAGGGAGAGAAAGAGAAAAGGAAAGAAAGTTACCCAAATCAGTATAACTCTGCTCCCCCACCATAACCACCAAAACCCCACAAGTCTTGGTGGGTGGAACGGATACTTGCTTATGTGGTCACATGTGCAGTGGTCAAGATAAGGATGGGGAGAATCCCCATAAGCTCGATTAGGAATTACTTGGTATTTATTTATTTAAATATTTCTATCCCACCTTTGTGCCTCATTCCAGGCGATTACAACTCATAACGATCTGCACAATTGTTTTCAAATTACAGCACTCCAAAAAAACAAAAAAAACCACTTGAACCAGGAAAAGATGTAACATAGCGCACAGTGACTCCAATGGAGGGTCTATATGTCTAGCACAGCATACCATGATTAAGGCTGCAATCCTAAGCACACTTGCCTGGAAGTTAGCTGAACACAAACTTTATTTCTTGGGAGTAAGCACCATTGAACACAACAGGACTTTCATCTGAGTATATATTTGCATGGGATTCTGTTGTTAGATCTTTGCTAGATGTGAAGTCAAGCTTGCTTTATTGTTGTGAGGTTTAAACACCTCCAGCAAAAGAAAAGTCCACAACCTCCACCCAAGGCAGTCTGTTCCATGCTCAAATAGCTCTTTTAATTTCATTGTACACAGGTTGTACATTGACAATAAAGGTATTATTATTATTATTTGGAAGCGTCTAACGTTTCTAAGTCCTGAGCATGGATGATGTGTATTTTAACTGATTTTATCTATATCGTACCTTGTGTAACCTTGTTATGCACTACAGTGTTAAGCAGCATATAAATTGTTGAAGCAAACAAAATACATTGCCAAAGTGACTTGGGGCTGAATCGTAAGCAAGGTCAGTTTTCCAGTTGGTGTCCTCCCAGTTCAATAATGTGATAATTGGGTCTTAGAACTCATGATCTGAAAACTATTTCCCTGGATTCTTTTATCAGGCAGAATTTTCACTTGTTCAAAATGGTCAAGTAGAATGTTTGCCTAACATTTCACAACACTACAGTTCATTCAGACTTTCCCTTGGCACTTTGCTTAATAAAGTGGTACTCAACATATGCAAAACCAGAAGCTGTAACGTAAGCTCTCTCTTCCTCTTTCTCTCATTAACAGGCCAATTCTGGCTTCCAGAGAACACAGTGTTGCAACATTTTGTGCATTTTTAAAGGTAGCTTTTGTTCCTTGCACCAATGGGAAGGATGCACCAAAGGAACTTGCATCAGCATAATTTAGAAGATTTGCTAAGTGTACATAAGCTAGTTTATGTGAAAATAACTAGTGTACTTAGCATTCTCCATCAATTAATGAAAAGAGAATTTGCATGCAAAATTATCCAAGAGGTGAAAAACAGCAGCAGATGGAATGATGGGGAACTGCTGCTGACTTGACCTCTGATCTGGTGCATCACAGATCCTTACCAAGAGAAAGAAGGGAGAGGCAGCAAGGTTGGAGCAGTAAAAGTGCACCTGCAACAGAATCAGATTGAGGCTGTACAAATGCAGTCGTGGAGCCATTCTCACTGCTGCCTCATCCCTCACCCTTCATCTCCAGGTAAGCATCAGTGACACAACAGACGCCACAGCAGTCCACTGCTGGTGAGAAAATGTTAGTGACATTCTCATGGGTGGGGGCAATGTTTCATTTGTTTACTTTATTTCCAAGTGGACAACGGGTTTTGTGAGTGGATTTTCTTTCATTCTACAAATCTCTCTGCTGGTCTGCACTCTGCAGCCTTCCTGTGTGGTTGTCTTTCCTTAAAGAAACCCCATGACATCTTCAACTGCAAGCATGTGTGTCTGATGCCTGTTCACTGTTATTTTTTTAAGCAAGGTCTTTTTACGTTGTTGATTTTTAAAAGTCTGTGAATTTTTTTTAAGGTCAAAGGAACAGATGGCTTTAAAAACAAAACCAGTGAGTACACCAATCCCATGCTTTCATTAGCCAGCCTTCCCGGTTTCCCATACTTCAATTAAAGTTGAGGAACGAAGAGAAAGATGTTATGAGGCAACTCCTCCCATGGGTTTTGTTTTTTTCAGATCAGGAAACTTAGGTAGCCAGCGCTGTAGACATGTTTAATTGAAAGAAAAATCCACATACATCACCATGCCCACCTCACAACAACGAAGAAACCTTAACTCTACCTCCATCAAACTTTTGATGCTAATACATACAAGCTCAAACTTAATACATATCAGCTCAAACTTCTGAGCTAATGCATATAATTGTTCCAACATTTGAAAATAAAAGGAATGTTATGTTCTACTATCACATGCTCAAACACTCCATTGGCATCATTCCCATTCTCATGGCTACCACAGTTCTTGCTTCTACTGGCACTTCAAGTCCTGATTGCCACATTTTTGTTTACACGCAACAGACACTGTTACAACTGTTAGGGTTTGTACGCATGCAGACCTAGAAGCTTCAGGGCCTCAAGCAGCATGGTCAGTTGCAAGCAGGACAGGCCACACATCAAACCACTGATACCCAGCTCAAATTTGCAGCTCTGCACATATTTCATATGAATGCAGTAAAACCCTGCCAGCAGGAAGAGGGTTAATAGTACAATTCCCCATTGTTCAGCTGAATCAATAAACTACATAACAAGATAGAAAATGTTCTGACCTCAGAAGAAATGCTTGTGCCCACAGGGGACATAGACTAGAGAGAGAAACATTATTTACAATAAAATTTCGTTTGAACTCATAGACCAGGTCTCTAATCACAAATGTGGATCTACAAGGATTTACTTTAGTCTGTTAAGTGCTAGCTCAAACCTGCCATCAACCATGGCATACCTTCCAGAATGCCAATAATTGCTTGCTATCTTTTTAGTTTCAGGACCTGAAGTAGCTTTGAACGACCTTATATTGTAAAGACCAGAAGAAAGCTGGAGATCGTCACACCTAGTGCGGGATTTGAATTTATTGCAAAGCCTCGGGAGGAGCTACCATTAAACACACATTATCCTATTCAGTGCTGAAGGCTGTTTGCTCCATATTCAAAGCAAGTGATGTGCACCAGGCTATTAGTGACTGTAGGGCATTCAGAAGACAGTTTAAGCAACCCAGCTCTAAAACAGGTTGTTATAGAGACAATACTATATGCCCAGACTGAGGCAGCTGCCTCAGGTGGCAGAATCCAAGGGGCACCTGCACCACCAGAGAAGCAAACAGAAGTGACCGTGACAGCTTCCGGTTTCTAGCAGAATCTTGTGAGAGTCCTGCAGGTCAATGTCACAGGGCTCTTGCAAGATCCTGCCAGAACCTGGAAGCTGCAGCCGCATGATCCTGGTAAGTGAGGCTTTGGTGGGGGCAACCAGAGGAGTGGGTAGCACATAACATGCAGCACCTGCACAGGGCAGCACGTTCACATTTTGCCCCAGGTGGCAAAATGGGCCAGGCGGTCCCTGCATCTACCAAGGGTTGCATGCCCTTAAACAACTGCAAATCAGTTACCCTGGAGAAGCTAATGTTCAATAATATTTCTAGTGATCTTTTTTTTCAGTTCCCTTTCTTCGTGCCATTCATAACATTGCAGACTTCTGCCTCCTTCACTGGGAAGGGGGGAAGTCTACACTCCTCCTCTGTGTGTCCATTTTGCTGTCAAATATGGAGCGGCCTCATCCCTCAACCCTCCTTCTCTGTGACTGGGGCAAAATGCATATTTAAACACATGAACCTGCCATCATTGTGTCTACTTTGGCATGGTGCTACTGTCCATTGAGCATCTGAAGTGAAGGATGCACAACATTAACAAGGTTATGAAGAATATTTGTCATGAGCTGTTGCACGCTACTAAAAGCCTAATACAACCCACTATGGTTAAATCTGAGTTTGCCTGCTACAACTTTATAATAAAAATGAATTTCCCAAACAGGCTGATTACTTAGAATGTTGAAAACATTGAACATATATATTAATTCTAGACAATATTTGTCTAGAATTATGTCACTTCTAGAGACCCAAATCAACAGCTCAAAGCACAAGCTTGTTTTAAAACATGAATAATCAAATAATTGGTGTACAGTGCACTAATGAACTGCACCTTTCATATAAACCTACTTTCTATTAAAGTTTTTATATCATTTATTGAATCTTATAAATGTAAGTGTGCATGTCTAATGAAAACTGTTTTTGCCAACATATATGAACTTAAAATATAAAAATACTATTAAAATAGACAAACAAAATCTGCCAAACGAAAACATATATTTTAAACTAAATTTGTTTTAGGTAATACACTCTTCAAAATAGAATAATAAGTTTTATCCTACCTATGGTGGTAATAACAGTGCCAGCAAAGAAGAAGGAACTTCCCAAATCCCAATGACTGTTAGACGTGTTTCCTTTAGGATTGACTCCTGCATTTATTGCTGCCACTACTTGCTGCAAGTTTAAAGAGATATTTGTCAATATTTGTCAATATTTATGAAACATAAACAAGAATGTTAGAATACAGTGTTTTGTATGGTTTGTGAAGATAAAGTAACTTATCAAATGTCAGCTGATGAAAGAAAGAAAGAGACAGACAGAAATTTTGGGTGGCGTTATTCAACTGGCTTCACTTTTAGCAGCATCTAACCTAAGCTTGAAATATAATTAAATTCAAAATATTACTCATTTTTGCAACTCTTGGTTACTTTTCATGTCTTATATTGCTACGAAATCAAGAGTTTGATTGTTGCATCCCTAGAGGTTCAATGCAGAGGCTAACTGCTGATGTTAGAGGGCAAAGAAAGCCTCTAAATTCAAGTTTCCCGAAAATTCTCTTGATCCTAACTGAGAACTATCGCATGGACATTTAATGGCTATTATACAATGCAACATTTACTTAGAGCCTGGGAGATCTAACAGCATAGCATTTTGTTTCCTTCTCTCTTGCTGTATGGGTCACGTTTTGCGTTCCTGGGACTCCCAACTGCCTGAAGCTTCCATCTCTGATCTAACACCAAAGGCCATGGCTGGCTTTGATTATTGTGGCTAATGAAAGGCACTTTGAACAGAAGCGTGATACACTCTAGAAAGTCAACAGGTGCCAGGTAAACCTCCCCCTTCTACTGAGTGGTTGCTTCGAGGAAGATGGTGAAAACAAAAACATATGCCTGGGTCAGAGGAGGCAAGTGGGAGAACTTCTGATATTTCCAGGTTCTTACGGAGAGGAAGGTATGGAATGGAGGGTATCATCATAGGAGAGAAGATGGGCAGACACTTAACATCGGTTGTTCCTGCTCAGACACCTACCCACCCACACCCACCCATGTAGAGACTTGAGTAGCCATGATGTTTAGATACCACCCTGCCACCTGATGGTGCTGTTACTTAATGCCAAGTTAGCCCACAAGAAAGCAACTCTCATTCATTATTTCATCCTGGATGAGGTAGCTGGCCTGGTGTGGATTACTGAGACCTAGGTGAGCATGCTAGGAGTTTTGTGACCTTCCTGATTTTGCCTGCCTGGGTACTCAGTACAGCAACAGTACAGACCAGAGGGGAGGCTTGGCAATCATCCACATAAATTCCATCATTCTCACCAAGAAACCAATCCATCTGGGAGCTGGATGTAAGTGTTTGTACTTCAGTGTCAGATTGCAAAGACAAGTCTACCACCCACCTCACTGCACAACCTCTTCCCGGACTGAGCAGGCAGAGGCGGTTCTGGTGATATGTAGGAGAACCTCATGAGAATAGCCTTGGGAGACTTCAATATCTTTATCAATAAGAGGAAACTGCATAGTGCAGAATTAGGCTGCCAGGTTGGTGACCATGTGTAACTATTCCTGAAGGCATCCCATTGGCTGCCAGTAAGCTAACAGATCCAAGGCAAGGTGTAAGCACTAGCCTTAAGTGGCTTAGACTATTCAGGTGCAATCCAAAACAATCCTGTTCACCAAGGCATTTGATAGAAAAATATACTGTTTCTTGTTATTTAACTGTTAGCATATTCAATTGCTTTTAAATGCGCTCTCTCTCTCGCTCTCTCACTCTGTGTGTCACACACACACAAACCTACCTACCTACCTATCATCTATCATCTATCTATCATCTATCTGTTTTATTGTTTGCCAACTAAGGCTCCTTTGGGAGGAATGATGGGATTGAAAATAAATAAACAAGCAAGCAAAATGCATATCTGGGATTTTGACACTAGGAACATATTTTGGGTTAACCTTTTGAAAGACCTGGTCGAGTTATGCTTCTGTGAATAAAAACTCTGAAACCACAGGTTTCAATGTTGAAACAGCCAATAAAATCAATGAGGTCCTACACACTAAATTGTATTTATGCACTTGCCTGCTTCATAACTCATGATTAAAACAACTCTTGAGAGTTGTCTAACCTGCACTGAAGTAAATTGCTTTATGGATAAGGATGTCCTGTACAGTTCTGGAGAAAATAATGGAATATTGATGTTTAAATATTAAAGTTAAAAACTTAAGATTTCAGATAAAATAAAAATATATGCTCAAAACAATTTGTTTGAAATAAAGATGATGTTCAGTGCAGCTGGAAAGTATAATAAAGAAAGAACTTTACTTTTCATTGCTTCATTGAGAACTGATTTTAAAAGCTGTGTTGCAAAAGAGTGCTAACTTTATTAACTTTATTATTATTTATTATTTATTTATTTATTATTATTAACTTTATTAACTTAGGTAAAATCCTGCAGGCCTAAAAGTTCCTAAGCCTTTATTTCATTGAATCTGTAGTTGCACACTTGATAAATGCTATTTTAGACACCAGTTCCAAATTTTGCATTAAGTTCCACTGATCTAGTTTTAATGGAACTCATTTGAAAACAAGGGTGCTTAGAATTACAGACTTGCACCCCCGATCATAGAAACACTGGGAGCATATCCACATCAGACCCATTACACAGATGTAAAAACCACTCATTTCAATAAAGCTCAGGTCCAATTTACATGTAATGAAAAGCAAGCAAGAAGAACCACCCCATATAACATCGCATGTGCCTCACTTCTTATACAAACATGTCGCCTTGCCTCTGTCTGCGCTGTAAGAACACCAGGGATTAGCAGCCCAGCCAGATACTTTAATGGTGTGCTACCACTGCACATGTAAAAGCTGAGGGCCCAGCTTAAAATACAATTTTAGGTATGGGTGAGTAATTCTTGCCTACCCAGCACCATGTTAAAAAGGAAGCCTTTCTATGTCTACATCACATCCCTATGCACCAGGTTCAGTTGTAGCACCATAAATAGGATTTATTCACTTGCATACAAACTCCAATATTATTTCTGGTACACATTTGCACCAACCTCGGACTGGGACACTAATATGCCCTTTCCTATGAGTAGTTGTGCTTCTAGAATAGCTCATGGGGTAGACTAAAGGCATATACTCCACGATTCTATTCTCTCTCTCTCTCTATCTCTGTGTGTGTGTGTGTGTGTGTGTGTGTGTGTGTGTGTGTATTCTCTGTGCATGCACCATAGCTGTCAACCTTCCCTTTTTTTGAGGGAAATTCCCTTATTCCAGTGCCGTTTCCCACTGCTTCCCGCTGCTATCCCAGATTGTTAGATATCCCATAGACTGTCCCTGGGACAGATGAGGCTGCTGGTCCCTTATTTTTGAGGCTGCTGATCCCTTATTTTCAAATCTTAAAGTTGACAGCTATGGCATGCACGCACACAACTTCTTAACCCAAAGGCCCCCAAAGTGATAAATAGTATATCAATACAATCAAATTACAATCAAATACAATAAATCAGTCCTCAAAATAACAATATCAAACAGATACTAGATATGAATATATGGAAACAAAAAAAATAAAAGAAAGCTTTTCCTGGCTAAATAATTAAAGGATGCTATTCCCAACCCAATATCCCATACACTTACGGTCCAGAAACCTGAGCAGATTATAAACACTTGAAAAGCTTGTCCCAGCTACTTATCCCATTTCAATTATTATCCATTCTCTTTTAGGCCATGTAGTCCAACCCCCTGCTTGATGCAGGAAATCCAATACTCAATCATCCCTAACAGAGCAGGAGCAGCCGGTGTGGTGGGGGCAATGTAGGGAGCTGCCCTCCCAATACCAATCCGTAGGTTGCCTGGACAGACACTGGACTGTGCAGCAGTGAGGCCAGCACTGTATGAATGCACCAATAGAAGTATGGAATGGCTCCATCAGCCCTGGCCTCACTGCCACCCAGTCCCAGCTCCAACGAAATAAGCTACAGCAATATCAGTGTCTGGAGGGTGTTTCTGTGGCACTGCCCCACCACACCAGGCATTCCTGGTCAAGAGGTTTCCACTGAATGTTAGACTGAAAGGGCCATAGCTCAGTGGTAGATTATTTGCTCTGCATGCAGAAGCCACAAGTTCAATGCCCATCGTCTCCAGGTAGGACTGGGAAAGGCCACCTGTCCAGAAGCCTAGAGAGCTACTGAGACAACACTGACCCAGATGCACTAATGATCCAACTAAGCAGAAGGTAGGTTTATGTGCTCCTAAATCTAAATTCCTCTAAGTAAAGTCCATTAGATCTAGTCCTGCCCTCTGGGGTAGCAGAGAACAAGTGTATGCCCTTCTCTGCTATGGAGCTATTGGTGTATCACAGTCATATAATAATGAACAGTACAGGTAGCAATTCCAAAAACCAATTTGTACAACAATTCAGTTCATTCATAATTCTGGTAGGCGGAGATATCTATTTGTAGTTATGAAAGCATTTTATACCACCTTTCAGCACCAAGAAGGGCCACTAGAGTGATTGACAACAGCAAAATCCCAATATGCTTAAATAGATACGTCATAACTAGGCTTGCCATTTGTCAGGAAAATTCCTGACATGTCCTGGTTTCCAGGTGTAAAAATATGGCAACCTTAGTCATAACCACAATACATACTCAAGCATTTGGGGATTTTATTTAGCTAAACTGGATCTACATAGGTCTTTCTCCCAGCTGAACCATATGGGTATGTTGGGAGCAATAGCCAAAAGAAGGGGTCCAAGAGCTCAAGAAGTTCTTAGGATTCTGATCACGTGTTCCATATCATGGCTATATACTAATACTAGCATGAGCCAAGGGGACAAAGTCACAGAGAACTCCTCCAGACATTCCCAAGGCTTACACAGGCACAGTGGAGCCCATTTTTTTACTTTCAACAGGATAACTTGTTTAAAAACCATCTCATGACATGAAGCTTAGAATTCTGGTCAATCCAGTCCATTCACCACCTTTGAATAAGCCACAAGTTTGACACTTTCTAACAAAAACATTTTCATTCAAGCACTACTGTAAGAGCCACCAGCATCAAAAACTCTGCCCATGCATGTAAAAAGTTAACTAGGGAATGTTGGCCAGCACAGTGGCACTAATGCTGCCCTCTTAATACTGACATTGGTGATACTTATCTGGACCGTATGCGACAGGGTGGTGAGCCCGGGATTGTGTGGGCATACCGATCGGAGCACCAGATTGGATGTGCTAGTTTGCCCACTCAACCCTCACTTCGTCACTGTCCTGCGCTGCAGCCACACCATCAAGCTAATGCCCTAGGTGTACCTGTGCTTCACTGCACTGAGTGCTTTCGCTCTTAACAGCAGGAATGACCCAGAAGACAGTCCCTTCTGCATTACACTCTACCCTTTCCCTTTCTACAGCATCCATGAGTGTATAGTTAATAGAGGAACCATTCATTTTGGAGGTTTGTAAGAAGTAGGAAAGCCTCTGTGCAGGGTATTGATTTAAAGCTGCTACCACACAACTGCTTCTTTGGCTGAAGCTGGATTGAGATAAGAACTAAAGTAAAGGTATATTCTTTAATTTTAATTTTTCAAACTTACGCATTGCTATCATCACTGAGGATACTGTTAATAGTGTCCCAGTATTAACTGCCCAAGCCAATGGAAAAAACAAGATAATATATATAGAGAGAGGGGGGGGCAACTGAGCACTAGCAAACATGTGGTCAGCTGTTTGTTTGTTTGTTTTTATTTGCACTTTACAAATTCAAATGTGTACAGACTCATTTAAAGGCATCCACATAACCTAATCTGTTTGTTCACAAGGCTGTTACCACAGTATGGCTTTCAAAAACTCAAGTGGAATTTTGTCATGTGATGGGAAAAGTGGAGGATGTATGGAGACATGATACATGTGTATTCTTGAGGGACCTTTACAATACTTAATGCAGGGATGGGGGACCTGTGGCTCTCCGCAGGGATGGAATTCAGGATGGGACCAGATAGGCCCAGCCAACCTACGTAGTTATTTTAAAGGGCAGGCCCTGACTACCTAATAGCTTTGTTATCTAGGAGTCTCAGTGAATTCTACTTGTGTTATGTTTCCACTACTCGGGTCAGCTTTCCTCAACCTGGTTTTATACAGGTAGCCTAAAGTCCACCCTTAAATATGTTTCTTACAGATATATTTCGTGTCTATATGGAAAATCATGACTAATCATGAATCCCTCCGCCTAGAAACTGCAACATTCTCAGTAGGATTACACAACAAACCATTAAACCAATAGCACTTTAGAGGGCACATTATTGCATTATCAGACATTACAATGCAAACCACACGTTTTTAAACAACTCACTGGCTTTCCCATAAGAAAGTGGTCACCCCACTTGCGACTTTGGCTATAATATGCATAATCGTGTGTGTGTGTGTGTGTGTGTAGCCACAGGAACCTATAAAATTTGATAACCCATTAAATCATTTAACTTCAGATGTATTTGACGCTGTGATGGATCACCATGTTAAAATAAGTCTCCCTGGGGAAATACTACATTAAAATGAAGACAGACATAAAAGGTCAGTCCCTCAAGCTGTGCATATTTCTGTTTGATTTTACAAGTGATGATTTAGCCTGCGGTTACGTGCAACACATTCCAGTTTCTAACCGTTTATATCAGTGAAATCCCATTACTTAGAAACCAAATCCAGCATGGCTGTTCCCACTGGCTGACCACTTGCTTGTCCACCATCTTTCTTATAGCAGTAATAGCAGTAGAACTCATAGCACAAGGCCACTGAAGAAGAAAACTTCCATGAACAACTCATTCACTGCAGGAAATGCATATGACCTAGACTTCTGATAACTGAACCTGTCAGAAAACTAGTTCACCTATGCACACATTTAGAGAGAGAGAGAAAATGTTGGCATATACTGAAAGAGGCCCAGAGTTTTGAGTCATCTGAATAAGCCCATAAAGAGCTCACACCTGTGGGTGTTGGGTGTTACAACCCTGCTGATCGTCTGTGTTTTTAAAAGCGTCCAATTTTGATCTTGTAAGTACTATAAAAGTGCCACAGATGACTTTAGTTAGAAATCAAGCAGTATTTGGAGTATAAAATATTATCCTTTGTGTATACAGTGGTGCCCCGCAAGACGAATGCCTCGTAAGACGAAAAACTCGCTAGACGAAAGGGTTTTGCGTTTTTTGAGCTGCTTCGCAAGACGAATTTCCCTATGGGCTTGCTTCGCAAGACGAAAACGTCTTGCAAGTTTGTTTCCTTTTTCGTAAAACCATTAATACCAGGGTGCATTGCTTGAAGAGGTGCAGTTGCGACTTGACTTCGAGGAGCAACTCATAGCACGCAGTGTGGTAGCCTTTTTTGAGGTTTTTGAAGACATTGCTGATTTTTGAAGCTTTTCCAAAACTTCTTCTGCAGCCATTTGGTAAGTTAAACTTTTAAAACTTTTTGGGGGGTTTTCAGATTTTGGGTTGGGGTGTTTGGAATTCAAGGACTTGGTGTTGGGGGGGGGTTTGCAAGAATCTGGAAGCTTGTGTGGTTTTTTTCTGCATTTTTATGATTTTCTGTGACCATTGGGCCACTCTGCTGTTGTTTAAAAAAATTTCTGGGTTTGATTTTCTGTGTGGTGGGTGGCTGGGGGAACAGTTGAGGAGGGGTTTGCAAGAATCTGGGAGCTTGTGTGGTTTTGTTTTTTTTGAATTTTTATGATTTTCTGTGACCATTGGGCCATGTTGTTGTTTTTTTAAAAAAATTCTGGATTTGAATTTCTGTGTGGTGGCTGGCTGGGGGAACAGTTGGGGAGGGGTTTGAAACAGTTGGGGAGGGGTTTGCAACAGTTGGGGAGGGGTTTGCAATTTCTCTGTGGTGGGTGGGTGGCTGGGGGAACAGTTGAGGTTTTTGAAGACTTTGGTGATTTTTGAAGCTTTTCCAAAACTTCTTTTGCAGCCATTTGGTAAGTTAAACTTTTAAAACTTTTTTGGGGGGTTTTGGATTTTGGGTTGGGTGTTTGGAATTCAAGGACTTGGTTCTGGGTTTGAATTTCTGTGTGGTGGGTGGTTGGGTGCTTTTGAATTTTTTGGATGTGAAGCACTGATTCTTTTTTTTTTTTTTTTTTGAGTTTGCGAAGGTAGGAGCTGTGCTGCCATGGGACCCAAGAAGACTGCTGCTGCAGAGGCCAGCGAGAGGAAGAAGGAGAAGGTGACGCTGGAAATGAAGAAGGAGATCATCCGGAAGCACGATGGTGGAATGCGTGTGACAGACCTCGCCAGGGTGTACGGGAGGAATCCATCGACCATCGGGACCATCCTGAAGATGAGGGAGAAGATCCTTGCGACTGATGCAGCCAAGGGAGTCACCAGGATCGTGAAGAACCGCCCAGCTGTTCTGGAGGAGGTCAAGAAGTTGCTGCTCATCTGGTTAGAAGAGAAGCAGCGTGCAGGGGACACAGTGACTGAGGCCGTCATTTGTGAGAATGCCAAGGCCTTGCACGCAGACCTCGTCCGGGAACAGCCAGAAACCTCAGGCGAGCCAGAAGTCTTCGAGGCAAGCAGAGGTTGGTTTGACCGATTCAAGGCAAGATCTGGAATCCACAGCGTGGTCAGGCATGGAGAGGCTGCCAGTTCTGATGTTCCTGCGGCTTAATACTTTGCAGCGGAGTTCCTGGAGGCTGTGAAGACGGAGGACTACGTTCCACAGCAGGTCTTCAACTGCGACGAGACCGGGCTGTTTTGGAAGAGGATGCCCAAAAGGACTTTCGTCACACAGGAGGAGGCCAAGTTGCCTGGCCACAAGCCCATGAAGGACCATCTGACCCTGCTCTTCTGTGCCAACGCAAGCGGCGACCTGAAGATCAAGCCCCTGCTGGTGTACCACTCGGAGAACCCACGGGCCTTCAAGAGACACAAGGTCGACAAGGAGCAGCTGAGTGTCATGTGGCGATCCAACAGTAAGGCTTGGGTCACACGTGTGCTGTTTGTGGACTGGGTCAATCTTGCTTTTGGCCCTGCTGTCAAACAGTACCTGCTGGACAACGACCTGCCGCTGAAGGCTTTGCTTCTGATGGACAATGCTCCTGCTCATCCTAAAGGCCTTGAGGAGGACTTGTTGGAGGAGTTCAGCTTCATCAGCATCATGTTCCTGCCACCTAACACCACGCCACTGCTCCAGCCGATGGATCAGCAGGTCATCGCCAATTTCAAAAAACTCTACACCAAGGAGCTTTTCAGGCGATGCTTCGAGGTGACTGATTGCACCACCATCACCCTGCGGGAATTCTGGAAGGACCACTTCAACATCGTCACCTGCTTGAAGATGATCACCACGGCCTGGAAAGGGATCAGCCAGAGAAATTTGAATTGCGCTTGGCGCAGCCTGTGGCCGGACTGTGTGGCACCAAGTGACTCTGATGCACCAGAGTCAACAGTGGTGCAGGACATTGTTGCCTTGGGGAGGACCATGGGCCTGGAGGTCACAGAGGAGGACATCAGCGAGCTGGTGGAGGAGCACGACCACGATCTGACCACCCAGGAGCTGGTCGAACTGCAGGCAGAGGCTGCGCAGGAGCAGGCCTCGCTGGAAGAGGAGGAAGCAACTGAGGAACGGCTGTCCTTCAAAGAACTGAGGGACATTTGCCTGAAGTGGAAGGATGTGCAGGCTTTTGCACAGCGGCACCACCCTGACAAGCACGTGGCACATGACCTTGTGAACACTTTTGATACGAGGGTCATGTCGCCTTTCAGGGAGGTGCTGAAAAGGCGGATGAAGCAGCAGACCATGGACAGGTTCTTCAGCAAGAAGCAAAGAGTGGAAGAGGAACCTTCTTCGAGTTGTCCCCCAGAGTCTTAGAAAATGTACTGTACACTTTGTTGATTTTTAAATGTTTTTCTGTCATGTTTAGAAACTTAATTTATTGTTCCTTCAATTTTTGAAATGCTCTTTACAGTATGTGTGACTTTAAAGAGCACTTAATAAACTCTTGTTGTACCAAATTTGGCTTTGTTTGGACTTTTTTTGACCATAGGAACGCATTAATTGAATTTCAATGCATTCCTATGCGATTTCGTGCTTCGCAAGACGAAAAATTCGCTAGACGAAAAAACTCGCGGAACGAATTAATTTCGTCTTGCGAGGCACCACTGTACCAAAAAGCATGACAGTAAATAAGGTGTCCCTCATTGTTTATTAAATCTCTGGTTTTGGGGTTTTGGATATTTATAGAGGCAGGAGTTGAGAGACAAAAGCATGTTAATGGAGAAGAATCCCAGAATCATAGAACTGTAGAGTTGGAAGTGACCCTGAAGGTCATCTAGTCCAACTCCCTGCAATGCAGGAATCTCAACTAGATCATACATGACAGGTGGCCATCCAGCCTCTGCTTAAAAACCTCCAGGGAAGGAGAATCCACAACCTCTCATGGGAGTCTGTTCCACTGTAAAACAGCTCTTCCTGTTAGAAAGTTCTTCCTGGTGTTTAGTAGGAACCTCCTTTCTTGTATCTTGAATCCATCGGTTCAAGTCCTACTCTCCAGAGCAGGAGAAAACAAGCTTGCTCAATCCTCCATGTGACAGCCCTTAAGTATTTGAAGATGGCTATCATATCTCCTTTCAGTCTCACTACTTTTCCCAATTAAAATTCATTTTGTTAATTTTGGCCCGGTTCTCTAATCTGCCAAGGTTATCTCGAATCCCAATTGTCTTCAGTGGCCTTGGCTACCCCTCCCAGTTTGGTGTCATCTGCAAATTTGATTAGCATCCCCTCAATACTTTCATCCAAGTCCTTTATGTTGAACAACAACAGGCCCAGGATACAACCCTGTGGCACCTTACTTGGCACTTTTTTTCCAGGATGACAATGAACCGTTAATGAGTACTTGTTCAGTTCAGTTATCTTGTCCATGTCTTCTTTTCTCCCCTTTTTGAAAATTGGGATAACATTTGCCTGTCTCCAGTCTGCAAGAATCTCACTTGTTCTCCAATAATTCCCAAAGAATTACATCCACAAGCTCCTTTAGTACCCTTGGGTGCAGCTCATCAGACCCTGGAGATTTGAATTCATTTGAAGTAACTACATGTTCCCTTACCCCCTCTTTTCCTATGTTGGGCTTCAGCGTCCTCCTTGCATTGTTTATTCTGTTAACAATAGGCTGTGCTTTCAATTTGGGTGAAGATAAGAGGCAAATAGATGTTAAGCAGTTCTGCCTTCTCTCTGCCACCCAACAGCATTTCTCCATCTTCTCCAAGCAAGGGGCCTACTATTTGCTTGTTTTTCCTCTTGCTTCAAGCAACTTTTTTTTTACAAAATAAAGCATGGAATCTGCTTCAGAAGGATGTATTTGAGAAGCAAGGTGAAAGTGGAGCTAGGCATTCAGTCATATGGTGCAATCCAAAGAGATTCCCCTAGTGAAGGTCTACTGCATGTAGGGGAAGTGCAAAAGGAAATGAGAAAGAACAGCAATCCTCTCTTCCACCAGCAGCTCCATATAAAGGTAAAGGGACCCCTGACCATTAGTGCTCATCTTGCTTTATTGGCTGAGGGAGCTGGTGTACAGCTTCCGGGTCATGTGGCCAGCATGACTAAGCCACTTCTGGCAAACCAGAGCAGCACAAGGAAACGCTGTTTACCTTCCCTATTTATCTACTTGCACTTTGACGTGCTTTCGAACTGCTAGGTTGGCAGGAGCAGGGACCGAGCAACGGGAGCTCACCCCGTCGCAGGGAATCAAACTGCTGGCCTTCTGATCGGCAAGTCCTAGGCTCTGTGGTTTAATCCACAGCGCCACCCGCATCCCACTTATCAATAGGAGAGGAACACTAATTCTTTCTTTGCCAAGAAAGTTGGAATCGGTTAAAATTACAGTGTGAGTGAAGTAATGATACAGTACAGGGGTGGCGAACTTTTGGCCCTCCGGATACACTTTGGACTACAACTCCTATCATCCCATCCCAATTAACACTTTTTGGTAGAACACTGAATGTGAGTGCCACTCTGATAGCCAATGTCAGCCATGTAGTGCTTGCACCATAGAGATGATGGTGAAAGTGTACAATTAGGCTGAAATTTGGGACAATTGTGACTTGTGAGAGTGGTCTCTTTTATATATATTTATTCTATTTATTTATAAGACTGCTTACATATCCTTCATCATAAGGTCCCTGGGCAGGTTACAACAATAGGCAGCAATGTCTTACAAAAAGAGGTAAAACTATTAAAATCATAGCAGAAGTAAAATCTTTCTGAATGGTACAAAATAGTATAAATTCATCAAATGAGGTGGATTCCACAAAACAAAATACTTTAACTATCAAAGGCTAGGGTAAAGATGTGTGTCTTCAACATATGTGTATAATGAATATGCTAGAAATCTGTGGAGAGAGATCACCACAATTTAGGGACTAACACAGAGAATGCCTTCTCCTAGACCACCACTCCCCACACTTCTGAAGGTGGCAGGGTTACCAAGAAAGTCCCCTCTGAAGATCAAGAAGGTCAGTAGGCCTGGAGACAGTCCTTCAGATATTTGATGCCAGAGACATTTAGGACTTTAAACACTAACATGAGCACTCTGAATTGGACCAAGAAATGAATTGGCAATCAGTGTAGCTGATTTCAAACAGGGTTCTATGAGATCTAATTGAGCCCCAGCTAGTAACCTGGCTGCTGCATTTGATAACAGTTTGCCTTTTCACATCATCTCTAAGGGCAGTCCAATGTAGAGTGCATTGTAAACAGTCCAATCTGGAGGTAACCACAGCATGGAGCACAGTGGCCAAGCCATCTCTTCCAAGAAGGACCACAACTGGAGAACCAGACAGAGCTGGAAGCAGGCACTTCAGGCCACCAAGGCTACCTGAAGCTCCAGAGGCAGTGTTGGATCCAGGAGGAGCCCAGATGTTGTGCTCACTGCTATGGAAATGTGGTCTCTTTGCAACAAAGTTAACTTTGGAAAAATATGTCTGAATTCCCTATAACTTAACAACTGCCTATTTGTAGCAAAATCTCTTTATAGGATGATTCAGAAAACCCAAAATTGTGGATTTATTTTCAACGTATGTGGACATTTTCTTTCTCTATAAGTATGCATAGTGAACTAGTTATCTAAAAAGGCCCTCTTTCTCAACCAGTTGGGTTCCATCCCATCCTATTTTAATTATTTTTAACTTTTGTGTTAGCATTGTGTTAGTATTATTATGATTGTAAAAGTAGCATTCAAGGTTACCCTTATTGCACACTGTCTGAAACATTATTTTTATTGTGGTACACAAAACTAAAAGCTATAGGTCTGTGCTAATGGTGTGAATCATGAAAACATGAAATGAGAAAGTCATAATAGATCATATTACATCACTAAGTTCATCTTCCTGATAGTGGCAAGAAGATGTGAATGAGTGCACTACCAAAGGGTCTTCAAGTATTCATTTTGACAAAGTAAGGTGAGTGTGTTTCACTGACAAATCAATCATTCATGTTTTGTGCTACTTCTACAATTCATCTAGTTATTCATATTAAATTATATGAAAAGTACAGAAAGACAAGAAGGGTTTTCTAAGAAAAAAAGCTTAACTGTTAAGAAATTTATGAAATGTCTCTGATAATTTCACTGTGTAGAAAAAAATTGAGTTTATTGAGTGGGAACATGTTCCTCCAGTTGTTTGACTATTTTTTGAAACTCAAACTAGCGTTTAAGACTACTGAATACTGCCTGAAACATTCACCTACTTTCATTTTTAAAAATGAAAGTGAAAATATTTATCTTTTATAATTATTGTCATATGCATGTCTGCCCAGAAGTTAACCCTACTGAGTTACTTCTAAGCAAGTGTATAAAATTTTAGCCTTATGTAAGTCTCAAAAAACAGCCTGGAAAAGAAAATACCTTCTTAAATAAACACCATGGATATCATAATTCAACTTTTCCTGTACAGTCATACCTCAGCTCCTGAACGCCTTGGGAGTCAAACATTTCGGCTCCCGAACGATTGAAAACTGGAAGTGAGTGTTCCGGTTTTTGAACGTTCTTTCAGAAGCCGAAAGTCCAATGGTGCTTCTGCGGCTTCTGATTGGCTACAGGAGCTTCCTGCAGCCAATCAGAAGCCACACTTTGGAAGTTGGATGTTTTGGAAGTCTAACAGACTTCCAGAATGGATTCTGTTCAACTTCCAAGGTACGACTGTATTGAACAATCATTCAGCTCTAATATCTCAGACCATTGAAGTGTCCCTATATTCCAGCAACGTCCCTGATTTAGAGAAGCCATCCCGGTTTCTGATTTGATCCTGGAATGTCCCACATCTCCTTACGATGTCCCTATTTTCATTGGAGAAATGGAGAGTATGGAGTTATCCAACCCCTGAGCCATCTGAAGGCAATCCTGTATAAGGATGTTTTTTAATGTTTAATGTTTTATTTTGTTTTTATTTATGTTGGAAGCTGCCCAGAGTGGCTGGGACAACCCAGTAAGATGTGTGGGGTATAAATAGTAAAATTATCATTATAGAATGTGATGTCCCAATTTCATTGGAGAAATGTTGAAGGGTGTGCCATCTTACCTTCTGAAAAGGCTATGATGGTCTTGCTCTAGATATGACTTCCTCACATCTTCAACATAACACATATTATACTTAATTCTAATCAACAGTGTCTGGGATTTCAACATCCCCTACTCTGAAGTAAATAATATATGTAGCGCAATTTACAGCTTACTGGCTTTAGACTTGAGTATAATGGTCCCAAAATATAATATATACTGAAAGGAAGATTGTGGTCACTCAAAGTTAATTAATAACTCCATAATTATTCAGCAGGTTCTTGAAACCTGATGTCAGTTTTCAAATAATACATCACTGCTGCATCATTAGAAAAGTTACTTCAGAGGAAGCTGACTTCTCAAAAGTTAACAAAATTTCCTGATTAACCAATATTCTGACACAAATGAATGCTTTTCATTGATTCAGTCCATACTTGAATGGTTTTCAAGTGCCAAGTATGCCACCTAGCTAATGTATGAACTATACCATTGACTGCTGGGTTTCTCTAGTTGGAAGTGTGTGTTCTTCTCATGGAGTCAGTTTACTAGGTGTTTTATCTCTCCGTGTTATGATGATGATCTGATCAAATGTAGACCCTAGACCAGAATAATCATTTCAGCCTAAGGTACTGGAGTTGAATGATTATCCCAAAGAAAAAATGTTGAATAGTAAGAATCCATGGTGACCATTTAGAAAGTTGTTTTATTTTGTGCCTTTTAAAAGCTGCAGTTCTATACATGCTTATCCAGAAGCAAGTCTCACATAACTCTGTTTACATGCAGAGACTTACACTATAAAAAGTTTCTTAAAAGTACTTTCCCTTTTCAAGAAATGGACCCCCCCCCCAAAAAAAAACAGGTATAAAGATGACAAGAAGACTAATTAAATGTAGACAATTAAGTTATAGTAAATAGGGACCTTTATCACTATGGAGGATATTGACTGAGTCAAACAGAAGTGTTTAAAGACTGTGGGAAATACAAGCACTTAGGCAATGAAAACATTTGGGAAGTTGCAAAATTAGGATAGTACAAAATCTTGGGAAGGGAGAATTACAGTAGTACCTCGGTTTAAGAACAGTCCAGTTTAAGAATGATTTGGTTTACAAACTCCAGAAAACTGGAAATAGTGTCTTGGTTTGAGAACTTTCCTCGGTCTAAGAATGAAATCCGAACGGTGGAAGGGCACCAGCAGCGGGAGGCCTCATTAGGGAAAGCGCGCCTTGGCTTAAGAACAGTTTCAGTTTAAGAACGGATTTCCGGAATGGATTAAGTTCGTAAACCGAAGTACCACTATATAGTGCATTAGTGGTGAGGGAGGAGATAATTCAAATTTAAAGAAAAACAGCCAAAAATGTTGGCATTGAAATCCCCATTAGAAAAACCTTGCAAATTTTGCATTATCAAGTTGTCACAACTAGTACCAAGGTTCAAATCCTAGCCAGTGACCAAATAAAAGGTCATAATAATGACCTACTTAATAGTTATGTTGTTGAAATTAACACAATTTTTAAATTTTCTACAGTTTACTCATTTTATAGACGTGATAAAAATAGGGCTTATGGGAAAAGATTAAAGTGAACAGAAATATTATATGTAGCAAAGTGTAAAAAGGACCCCTGAGCATTAGGTCCAGTCGTGGTCGACTCTGGGGTAGCGGCGCTCATCTCGCTTTATTGGCTGAGGGAGCCGGTGTACAGCTCCGGGTCATGTGGCCAGCATGACTAAGCCACTTCTGGCGAACCAGAGAAGTGCACGAAAACGCCGTTTACCTTCCTGCCAGAGCGGTACCTATATATCTACTTGCACTTTGACCTGCTTTCGAACTGCTAGGTTGGCAGAAGTACACAACTCTAAAAACCATTTGAAGCCACAATAGTTCCACTGATGGTAAACCCCTAACTCCTGAGTAAATGGATTAAGCATTAAAAGTACCACATATAGGTTATCTACCACAAATTAATAGCAATTAGGGATGTTCCACTTTAGATCAAATGCTATTGAGCTGAATCTTAGCAAGAATCCTACTGGTGATTACAGAAAACTTTCATCAATAATTAGTTGTGATATAAATGTCCCATGTGCATGCATTCATAGGATTGCTTCAAAAAGTCCTTGTTATACTACAACTGCCCATAGTCACAAATGACTAAAAAATTATAGGAAGCTGAATTTAATTTTAGCCTGAAACAAGATAACAGGTAACTATTGTCTGAAAACAGAACATTATAGTGAATAAATTTCTGTAATTTTCTTCACACTCACTCTATCATTAGAGCTATCTTAATACCCTACTATTGCATAATGTTTATCTTTATATCCTTCAGAAAATTCAGTTCTAAAATACTGTTTATGTGTTCAGTCACATGGGAGAACAATCCCCACTGAAGCGAAAACTGTTATTATAATTGTACCATGAATGAGCAACTGAACTCCATTGCTCAACACAATATATTTTCAAGAGCAATTAAGTAACTACATAAGATGACAGGAGGAGGGCAAACTTCCAAGCAAGAGGAAGAGTGAAAGCTTATGCCTACTATAGAAAGTATGGAGAACCTTTTGCACTCCAGATATTGCTGAACCACAGTTTCCATCAGGCCCAACAAGCATCGCCAATGACCAGGAATGATGGGAATTGTAGTTCAGCAACATAAGGAGGGCCCTAGATAACCCACAACTGTGCTATAGAATGGCAATCAGCATGTGAAGCTGAACTTTTCAAGATGGGCAGATCATAAAGTGAGTCCAATAGAATGATGACACTGTCACCCAATGCATATTAAAATGGGCTAAAACTGCTCCCTTTAAACAAACATACAATCAAAACCATCCTACTAATTGGTTGCTGGATTATGTCAAACTTTTCTCACTACCACTTTGGAGCCCTCCAGAACCAACTATTTGTGGGTTAGGGGTGCTTGAAGAGTTTAGTACTTCTTTGTTTTTCTATATAAAATTACCTGACCCACACTTTAGCAATTAATGAGAGGATCTGAATTGAGCTATCTACCTGATTAACACTTTTTTCTGAATGTTAAGACATAGTCCTCAGCAGCTTAAGCATGCCAAAAATATGCATTTTAGTAAACACTTTGTGAGGAAATACACATTTAAACAGTGTTTTTATCGGGGGGGATGCAGGGCTACGCATACCCCTAAACATTTTGTGAATCTAAGTCATTGAAGGGCAGTATTTCAATATGAGTATGAAAATGAGAGTACCCCTAAACATTTTTTTTCTTTTTGAAAAAAGCACTGTTTTTAAATATGCATTTGGGGAGAAAATTCATGTTCAAATTATATCTTAAGATGCATATTTAAATAAGTGTTTTTGAAATTATCATTTATATACTTGTAAAAAACAGATCAACATAGAATGGAATAATGGGTAAAAACATGTTAAAGTGACACAGGCTAAAAATAGGCAGATTCAGCCATACCTAGCTGGGGCATCAGCTGTTTTCATTCAGAGCTCTATACATTGACAAGAGTGAAAGCGATCAAACGCAATGCCAGTATAAGGTATCTTGCAATGATTTACAATGTGTGTGCATTCACACACTGAAAAGTCCAGGCTTTTCCTAGGTAGAATCAAATATTCTTTTTAATAAGTAAGTTTAATCAGACTGTACTTCAACAACAGGGGCAGAATAAATTTACTTATTTAATAAAATGCATGAATAAACATGGCCCTACCCTTTGACTACTGTGGTCTTAGTATACTGATTTGTCTCTATTCTCCTAGCACTGAGAACAGTACAGTAAAGAGAGTGACCCTAAAGCCATTTGAAGACTCACTGGGGGAGGGGCAGGTGGAAATGGAGCTGGGAGGCCCATTGATAAGATGAAAATTACACCGCTGGAAGTCCTGTCTCCTTGGTAAGCCCATGGAAAGTTCCTCAGCAGTAGGAACCAAATCGGGGTGAGTTGGGGGCACAGTGTACTTGGAAGAGGATTCCCCTAACCTGCTCCCCAAAGTAGACAACAACCACACCGCTCATGGAACTGGCAAAATTAAGTCCTTCCCATTGAATGCAATAAAAGGGACAAAACAAAAAATGCCCCCACCAAATGTTTTTAAAAGCTACCCCTTCCCATTTCCCTCCCTGGGAAGTCAGCATGCAGAGCTCTGAAGGCAGTAGCTGCTCTGCCACGGAATCTCCTCACCACTATTTGCCCTGCCAATGGCAGTAGGATTAGTGGGAATTAAAGTACAGTAAGCTTCAAAAGTTCAAAGTGATATGTTGTATCTGGTACCCTCCACTGACTTCTGCAAAAAACTGTTTATACTTGATTATGGCCAGAAATAATATTCATACAAGTCAGTAAGCCTCCCGTTTATTCTTTTGCCAGGCAATATGACTAAATAACAACCTAAATGTAAGAAGAGAATGGTGTGTTGTATCTGCCAACAAACAGCAATTTAAGAAGCACAACAGAAACATTTGATGGAAGGATTTGCTCCATTAGCCTAGTATAAAAAATGAAATTAGCAATGATTTTTGCACAATAAAGCCTTAAGTCAAATTACTTGTGCCAAACATTATTTCTTATGGATATCAGGCCATGGTACATTATAGCTGGTATAGCTGCATCCGTGTAACCAATAAACAACATTTCCTTTAAAACATGGCAAGAGCACACTTCTTTACAGGGAATTACCTGAATCAGTTCTTCAAGTACTGTGTCATTCACACAGTTGTGGTGTGATACGAACTCCTGCTTCTGGAGCACAATGGTTGTTCTCTGGTTACTTTCATGTGGCTGCTCCAGGGCTTTGAAAACAGTAGCTCCAATAATTAAATACAGAACCACCACCAGAAAAATGGTTGAGACCGTCTTCCATTTCATAACATTAATAGTTGTATCACTCTCCTCCCGCGAGGCAAGCACAGTGGGTTTGGTAGAAAATGAAAGCCTGGGCTTTGAGTTCTGAGTGGCAGATTTGGGATCCAGCAAGTCAGGTGCCGCCACTGATGAAAGAAAAAACAAAAAAACACACAGAAAGTTACTTTTTCCCAGGCTTGTCACATATTTTTTCAGTATTTCTTTTTGCTAGAGGGTAAGACAGAAGCTTTAAATTCATATAACAATCTAACTTCATAGATGCTGACATTATGAATGAACTCAACATATCCATCTTCCCCATGATTTACAGTTTACTATATAGACTGAGGGGTTCCTGCAACCTGTTGTGACAGTACTGTAACTGTGGTCCAAGTATTGCAAAAATGTACATAGCATTTTATATAATTTCTGATGGTTTTAACATTTCTTGTTTTGGTTTAAGCATTGTGCATGAGATACCCAATCTATGTTTTAAGTTTAGCTCTGAAAAGTTAATCTCTTCTCACATCTTACACACAGTGCTGAGAAATGCATTTTTAACCACTTCCTCTTGTGCATAACTTTCAACAAAAATTCCCCTGTAAGATCACTGAGATAGTTGCCATATCAATGTACTTTTTTCTCCAGTTATTAATTTGTTTTCAATGACCACAATCCTCCTTTCAGTAGTGTTAGGGAAATTAATCATGAGTAGCATCAGTCAGCAAGTATTTGTTAAGTGAAATCCATATTAGAAATGTGAGTGCTGGTACCTAGCTGAAAAAATGCATGTATGTGGCTAGAATTTAAAGTAGTTCTTAAGTGCTAGGACTAAAGTTGTAGGTTGAATGGGAGCCTAGGACTTTTCTACCTCTATGTCATGCAAACATTAGAAGACTTTTTTCTTACAGCAGCTACATATAGAAGCAGTAAATTATAGCCTCCATAACTCCTGGAGAGTTAAATAAGAATATGCCACATCAACACATTTGAAATTTCTCTATAAGGTCATTGGAATATTGGCCATATTTAATGTATTTTTTCCCTCCGGTTACTAATTTACTTCTGAGGGACCACAGTCCTTCTTTCAGTGGTATTAAGGAAACCCCACACCTAAAAGCAGATGCAAATCTCTTTCCCTTTATCATTTTCATCATCTGAAAGATGGACATGCTTTGGAGAAAAAGGGGGTGACAGAATGCTGTATCATACTTCCCATGCAAATAAGTTCAACTATATAGCATTATAGCACCATCAGACATAGAACGAGAGAGACTTGCATCCATAGTAAATTTAATTAGTATAGTTGTAGACGTGACCTCCCCTTCCCCCCAAAAGGGGCAGCAGGTAGGAGCTGTCACAGATGAGAAACTTCATGTGATCATTTGTCATGACTCATTGCACTGAGCTGTCATGTAGTTACTCTTTTTCAACTCCTAGAAAGCTATAACTTGAGGCAATACCTTCACACGCCTAAGACCCTTCATTGTATTGGCTGCCTGGCAACTTTTACTGCCAAACAACTACACTGATGCAATCAGATATTTCTAAGTGGCTGAAGATGCAGTCTTAGAGCCACCTCACTCTGCCTGCAAGAGATGTGATGGAACTAATCCCATTGATTTGAGGGGGAGCATTACAGAGTCACTGGTTTGAATGATGCTTGCCTAGGGCCTTTAATGTAAGCTCCCTTTTTGACTGATGGTGGTAATGGCTTGATGTTTAGCAGGGCAATCTACAAGCTGCTGGGCTGCAGCTACCAGCGTTAAAGCCCTGTGGACTTTTACGGATACCTTGGATTGACAAATAAATATACTTTGCTTTAACTGGGTAGCGGATCAGGTTGAGGAATGAGCCATGGGCAGGAAAATTAGGGCAATCCGTGGGGCAATCCCCATCCCACCACTACTCAATGCTGGCACCATCACTTTGATCTCTCTTCCCCCTCAACGTGTTGTCACCCTGCTTCATCTCTTTCTCCCACCCCAAAATGGTGGCAATCCAGCCCTCCTGTTATTCACCAGGACATTCTGTTCTCTTATTGTTATTTTTTAAATGTGCCTCCCACCTTCTGCCCAGATGCAACTCACGCCCATACTCCAAAGGAAATCCTGGCACCCTAGGGAAGTGCAGTCCCTAAGTTCCCTTGATCCACTCCCCTTTAGGAAGCTGTATGCAGCTAAGCTAACAAAGCAGGGGTGGGTGGGAGGGATGGGAGCTTAAAGCGTCTTCTTCTTAACGCTGATCGCATATATAGCAGACATCCCCACTCTCAGCATCCCCCTTCCCCATCAATCCTTCACTGTTCATCCATCCCCATCCACCTGCTTAGCCCTTATGAAGCTCATCCACCTTGCCAAGATTCAACACCACTACCCGGCTCGCTCCCAGGGTAAATAAGGAACCTTTACTCTGAAAAGCATCCCGAGAGATAAATTACATCCCCATGCCTCCCCCTCCCCCCACTCTTTTTTTTTTAAAGGGAAGCAACCCATTTTCCTCCTCGCCCCTTTAAAAATAAAGAGAAAAGATGCTCTTGAAATGGTTTGCAAACGGCGCGTCTTCCCATGCCCACAAGGATAGCAGGGAGCGGGCTAGATTCGGGAGTGGTTTTATGGACCTCCCGGACCTTCGGCTTCATCCCCCCACCTTCCCTTTTCCTTATGTCCCCAGCCGAAGCAACACACACCCCTTGAACAAAGATTAAGTGCAAGGAAGCGCCTAGGAGCCAAGGTGTTGCATGCAGCAAGGAAAGCTCGTGCAAGAAGGATGGAGAGCTGGGGGGGGGGGGAGGCGAGGGAGGGATGGAGGCAGAGAAAGACAGCGAGGCAGGTGGGTGGGCATGGGCAAAACGGGCTCTCCTGCAAATGGGTGGGGTGGGGCTCTTTTGTGGGGAGGGGGGAGTCCGTCCCCCCCCTGCCCTAGAGCGAAGATGCATCGGCAAAAGCAAAGGAGCATGCAGCATTTTTCTTTTCTTTTTTTTGTCTTCCCAGGCATATATATCTCTCTCTTTCTTTCCTTCTCTCCGAGCCAGCGAGACGCGCCATTGTAACGAGTACTCACTTCTTATTTACAGACCCGGTGCCCTCTCCTCGCTTCACGGCCAGGCATTTTTTCAGGGCTCGGGGAGGCAGAGTTTGAGAGCTGAGAGAGGTGGCGAGGGGGTCGGGGTGGGAGAGGAAAGAGGAGGGGAAGGGGGGGAGAGAAAAGAAAGAGAGAGGAGCAGCGCGTGGGTCGGAAGAGGCACCACAGAGATAGAAAGAGAGGGAGAGGGGGGGAGAGAGGCAGGCGGGCGGGCAGGCACACGCGCGCACGCACACGCAGGGAGGCATACAAAAAAAGGAAAGGAAAGGAAAGGAAAGAAAGAAAAAGCTGCTCAGCTCGGATTCCACGCGCGCCCTCTCGCCGGGGTGTGAGCTGCCTGCGCGCGCCTGTGTGTGTGTGTGTGTATGCGCGTGTGTGAGGCGCCTCGTGCGTGCGTCTCCTGCGGTGTCTGGGTGCCTGTGCAAAGCGACTGGCTCCACTCAAGGTGTGTATGATTCCGTGTGTGTGTGTGTGTGTGTGTGTGTGTGTGTGTGTGTGTGGAAACTCCCTCCGCTCGCTGCTCTCCTCCTCTCCCCACCCACCTCTCCCGGCCACCTCCGTCCTCCCAACCTTCCCGAGCGCGCGGCTCGCGCCTTTTTGGACGTAAAGGGGTCTCGGCACTCCGAAAAGGAAGCGACGGGAGTCTTCTGGCGCGCTGTCCACGGAGCCCTTTCCACCGTTCTCGGGGTTTAGTTTTAACGGAACTGCTGAGGTGTTTGTGAGGGGCGAGTACCTTCGCCCGCCCCCTACCCCTCTCGCTTCGAAGAGGCGACTCTGCCGGCTGGGCGCCTCCACAACTGCCCGTCCTACATATCTCTGTGAATGGAGGGGGCTACAGGCAGCCCTATATATTGTATATACAATTATAACATTAAAGGCAAATGATGCTCAGGCATGACCTATGGCCCTGACCCCTCTCTGCGGGCAAGCTTTCCTGCTAGGGTGGGCTCTTCGAGGCGACTCTCCTGCCAGATGTGTATGACTGACAGCCCTTCTTCCCCGCCCACCTCGATGCGCGCGCGCGCCCGTGGCACGACGGGCCGGCCGGTACTCGCCAATCGGCCCTTTTCCCGCCAAACGCCAGTTGTGTGTGGAAGCTGAAGCCTTTGGTCTCCTCAGGGGGCAACAGCCACAGGAGCCCTGCCAGCACCCGTCGACCCGCAACAGCTTCTACCTGCTCTCTTTCTTATACAGCCAGTCCATCTTCCTCCTCCTCCGCCTCAGTCTCCATGCTGTCCTTCCTAAAACTCAGCAGGGTTGATGGGGGTCAAAACTATAATTAGTTATCTCTGCCTCGCCTTGGCTCTGGTTCTGCCCGTCATTGGTTCTGGCTCCGCCTATATATAACCAACCATTTTGGTTATATATTATTAACTATTATTGGTGATAGATGCCAGCCAATGCTAGGCAGGGAAGTCCTAAGGTAAAGAGGAAGCAGCACTTGTTAAATGGGAAGAAACATACAAACACATTCCTTTGCCCTGACCCTTTGATGACCCCTTCTCTTGGACGTCTGGCCTGAGTCATCCACAGTTACCTTTTGCCCTGCGTTTTCTAGGCACAGGTCTGTGCTTTTTCTGACCCACCACTTACCCCAAGAAAACCCGCTCCCTAATGCTCAATCAGAACAAACAGCAATTCGGGTTTTTCCACAGACTGCGGAGAGCGTTAAAGAGTGGGTTTCTGCAGGGAAAGAAGGGGGGCAAAAGGAAGGATGGAAGTGGCACATACTAGAAGAGCACAGCTCAGTACCTGGAAAGTACGGAGGAAAATTAGTGCAGATGAGCCCAGAGTCTCAGTCAGGACCATACATATAAACATTAATAAGTTGTTGTGAACTGGGGACAGCCTTCTTGGGACCTTTCATTAAAACTTAAAATGCCTTTGAGCCTCTCTCACATGCTGCTTGTACAAGCACACATGTGAGGGTTTGCCAAGCGTTGGATAGAAAGCAAAAGAGAGATGGCTTTAATTCAAATGCACCTTGTAAGCCAATTGAGTTTGCAGATGCAGAAAAGCCAGTTCAAACAACACAGGTGAAATTGGCCTAACTAAAGGTTTGCCCAGGTTGCTCTCATTTAAGGGATCAGGTGTGCAGTTTCATTACACTTAACCCTCTGGAAACTGGTCTTTGGCAAGTTGCTTCCACAGTCCCTGCCAGCCTCTCCAGCCAGGAGCTTAGCTAATTTATCAACAGAATTATTTGGTGCAACTCTTGTTAGGACTTATATTGCTTATGCTTCCTCATTGAAAACGAGTGCATATAAAAGTTGTGAGTCAGGGAGGAGACCAGCCTTAGAGCTGTTCTCTCTTACATTTTTGTTTTCTACATGTAGGATATTATAGGGCAGGGTTCCCAAACTTGGGTCTCCATCATCCCTAGCTAGCAGGACCAGTTGTCAGGGATGATGGGAATTGTAGTCCAAAACTAGCTGGAGACCCAAATTTGGGAAACCCTGCTATAGGGAATGAAATACTCCTACCTGAAGTCATGCAGTTAACAAGAGGACAGCCTGTGGCTCTCCAGATGTTGTTGGACTCCAAATCATGGCTAATAGCAGGGTCTGCAACATCTGGCATGTCACAGGTTATTTACTTCTGCATGACTAATCATATAGCTTAGCTCCATAAAGGTCAATTGCAGGTACAGGTTTTCCCTTTTTTATTTACTGAAAGCACTTCTAAGCTACTTTTAGCAATTATTTCAAGGCAGTTTACAAAAAAATAAAAGTAACAATAAGTAAAACAAATAAAACAAACAGCATATGAAGGCACTATTAATACTCAGGGAATAAACTATTTTTAAAAAAGCTTTTACATGTCTGGATGAATTTTTTTGCCTAGTACATAAAGGACCATAGGGCATACTTCCCCAGAGATGGCATTTCATAGCTAGGACACCACTTCCAGAAAACCTGTATTTGGGTACCTCCAGCCCATTTGGGCCAAGCTATGCTTTCCTGTCCTACACCTGAAATCATATGTGACATTATCTGTATGATATGGGGCAGGAGAAAATATGACACAGCTGGAAGCGGGTTGGTAGGCATCACCCATTAGCTGATTTGCCATTCCTGCCTTAATTGCAAGCCTCATCTCCAACAGAAGTGATATTTAGAGGAAGGCATCAGTTTGATGGCCTTAGAATATGGGACAGGAATGAGGAAATTGATTCAGATGGCAGGTCAGAGTCTTATCGCACACACCCCCATGGGCCAATTTTGGTAGGTAGGCAGGAGCACCCACCCATCAATCAATCAATCACCTAATGTCATAATGAGGCCAGGTAACTGACAGGTGTCAAAGTTCCAAGGAGGTCACTGTAATCACTGATCATCTGTTTGAGCAATCCTCTTTGAGCCGTGCAGAAGTGTGCCTTCAAAGAAGCTCCCTTTAACCCATAACCAGCTTTTGTTGTTGTTAGAGGTCTCTGAATAACGGGAAACTCCTCCTAAAACTAAAAGTCACTAAGCCCAGCACTTGCAAAGCACATTGTGTAGTGTTTCCAAACCTGATCAGTGGTGCCTGCAAAGCCCTTTTTGCCCAAGCTCTACCTTACATGCTCCTTACTCGATGGCATGTGATGTCAGGTGTAGGGCAGATGGGTGTGGCTTGCCTAAAATGGCTTTGTGAGCCAAATGGGGTGGGCTGGTGAACCTAATTAGGCCTGTGGGCTGAAGGCTCTCCACTCATGGCATAGGAGAGGTGGTGTTCCATCAAATTACTGTATGCACCATAGCCCAAACCATCAGCACCAAAAGCTGCCATATGGAAGTGTACTGAGAGTGTGGGTTACAAATGAGGGGGAAGCATATTGTTATACATGTGCTTAGTCTTAAGAAGAGTTTGGATTGGATTTGATATCCTGCTTTATCACTACCCGAGGGAGTCTCAAAGCGGCTAACATTTTCCTTTCCCTTCCTCCCCCACAACAAACACTGTGTGAGGTGAGCGGGGCTGAGAGACTTCAAAGAAGTGTGACTGGCCCAAGGTCACCCAGCAGCTGCATGTGGAGGAGCGGAGATGCGAACCCAGTTCCCCAGATTACAAGTCTATCACTCTTAACCACTACACCACACTGGCTCTCTTAATGCCAGTAAACAAGGCTTTCAACTTTCAAGCCAATTTTTTGAATGTGTATTATTAAATATGTTGTAAAGGCTGCACCACGATCTGTGCTGTACACACATAAGGTATTTATTCAATTGTGCATTGAAGCTTTTATCCTTAAATCTATTTAGATCAATAGGGTGAATTCTTAAGGGCCAGCTTCACACCCCACTTTTCTCAAGCAGACTGATCTCTGTGATGCAGAGAAACAAGTATAAATAAAATAAGTGCATTTAGGCATCTCTCTTCCAATAACATACCTTAGAACATTCTCTTCCAATAACATACCTTAGAGCAAATACTCTAGAGTAAGTTGTTTTAGGAGTGTAGCCATAACTCGGATGTAGGCTTTGGCCCGAATACTACTTACTATTGGAAGGATCTGCAAAGCTCCACAATTTGTAGTGGAGCCTCCAGATAGAAAGGGCATCACTACATATTTACATGACCTAATTCTCTTCCGCTAGAGCCTGGAAAAAAAACTGTACATAAAATATCACGCTCCTTTCCCCCCTGAAAAGTTTGTTACCAATGGCCCTGTATAAACACTGCCTGTTCCTCCCATGAGGGAAAAGATTCTCTTCCTACAGTTCCTTCTACAGTTGTATGGAAAAAGCGGCATAAGGCATTTTATCTAAGGGTTGTCTGTAAGACGCATTAAGTAGAACAGCCTCGCCTTATTGTTTTTAGCATTTCCTATTTCATAGGACTTATGCTGTCACTTGTGTTCCATGGAACACATGCATTTACACTTTTTATTTTCTTTCATTAAAATCCTTACCTTTCTTTCACCATGGGAAGTAAATCAGTGTGCATATGGTTTTCAGGTGGAAATCCATCCAGACACTGACCAGTCCCAGACTCGCTTAGCTTTAGCAAGGTGGTGACCTCGTTTTATCTTCACAGGTATCCTGGGCTGATTCTGACTTCATTTGCCTTCATATTCACGGGGTCTCTGCCATGGGAGCATATTCATCCAGTGCTTTTCAAGCTGCACTGGCTCCCGGTGGAGTACAGGGTCAGATTTAAGGTGCTGCTTTTGACCTTTAAAACCCTTCACAGCCTAGGACCCTCGTACCTACGGGACCGCCTCTCCCGGTATGCCCCACGGAGAGCCTCAAGGTCCATAAATAGCAACACCCTAGTGGTCCCGGGCCCTAAGAAAGTTAGATTAGCTTCAACCAGAGCCAGGGCCTTTTCAGCACTGGCTCCGGCCCGGTGGAACGCTCTGCCTCATGAGACCAGGGCCCTGCAGGATCTGATTTCTTTCCGCAAGGCCTGTAAGACAGAGTTGTTCCACCTGGCCTTTGGCTTGGAGCCAATTTGATTCCCTCCCTCTCTTTCTTTTTTCTTTTCCTTCTCCTCCTGCGAGGAGGCTACATTTTAATATTTTAATGTTTCAATATTTTAATGTTGTATTTTAATTTTGTTTTTAAGTTGTAATCATTTAACTTGTTTTTATTGTTGCTTGTAAGCCGCTCTGAGCCCGGCCTTGGCTGGGGAGGGCGGGGTATAAATAAAAATTGTTGTTGTTGTTGTTGTTGTTGTTGTTATATTACACTATGGGTCCTCTGTCAATCTATATAGCTAATGAAACATTTCAGAAAAAAGGGCCACCATCCTCAGATAACCAGGCTCTGAGAATTATGACAGCAGAATGAGATCCTTGTAGCAGCCTTCATTATTTAAAGTTATTTTCCACGAGTAGCAACTAAAGATTAGCAGCAAACAAAGGGTGCTTTTGCCTTTATCACATTAGCATCCTACTGATAGAAGCAATTAACCCTTTCTCTTAATCATATTTATCACTGTCATACTCTACAGTATTGATTTCAATTGTTTTTGCAGCGCTTCCAAAGTTTAACATGTTTATTTACTTAAAGTATTTGCCTGGTGCTTTTGTATTCTTGCACCAAATTGTCCCCTGCTAGTTTTACATTGGTTTTAAATTTATATGGTTTTTGCTTGTTGCATTTTTAAAAATCGTTTTAATTGTTTAGATTCTGGTCTGTTTTATACTTGTGGTGGGTTTTGTAAATTTCACAAAGCTAATTCTGCATGGACAGTATATAAAAATAACAAATAAATACATAGGGTGGTAACCAACTAACAAGTTACATTAGTTAACTATTTTTAATTGTACAATGTAACTTGCCTACTCTGTCCTCTCCTTGTGTGCCCCCTAAATCTGTTGTGGGAATTCCTCCAACCCTGCAGAAGAAATTTAGTGGGGCACAGGGAAAGGAGAGGAGAAGGAGGGGGCATTATATTGTGCAGCTAAATGTTGTTGCACTATCATAATTATATAGTTGGATACTGTCCCTACTGTATATCTGACATTTTGTGGCATAGTCCTCAAAAGGTGGTATACAAAATATACTTTACAAAAGTGAGACTATTTTTGCTATAAAATGACAACAAGTCTAGGGTGAGCCCATCACTGGCAGAGATCTGAAGCTCAACCTCCAAACTTAGGATCTGCTCTATATGGTATAAAGACTATATTTGTTTGTTTTTACTTCATTTTCTCTGCTGTATCCTAACAAGCACAAGTGAGTACTTGCAGCAGTAATAGCAGCAGCCCCAACATACCCAACCAATTTTTGTCATAGTTGTTAAAAATATAGGAGCTAGCTAGAACCTTCTCCAACTTCATAATTCTAGTGAGAGATACCCCATATTCCCTGTAGCTTCCATAATTTACTGGCTATGTAAGCCTGAAGAAGACTGCTAGCAAAGATTCAGGATGAGAGTGAAGAAAAAAAGTGGTCATGCATTTTGCTCCACACTGTGCTGGTAATATAAGACATTTGTTTTCTGAAGCCATATCTAAAACACAGACCTAAACCCATAGCTAAAATCCAGTCCTAAAATTTGTGCCAACTTGTCTAATTGTGGCACCAAAGTAAGAGTGTGGCCACATCAATGAAAAGTCATGTTTTATGACATCTTCTTTGCAATGATATGCATGTTTATTCAGAAGTAAATCCAGTTAAGTTCAATAAAACTTTATCCCAGGTAAGGGTGTACAGGATTGCAGCCTAAACCATTTTGCTTTATGTTTGTTAAAAGATTTCTATGCTACAGTTCTTGTATCATCTACAACATTCTTATAGTACCATTCTGTCCTAACACGTTTGTAAAGGTAAAGGTAAAGGGACCCCTGACCATTAGGTCCAGTTGTGGCCGACTCTGGGGTTGCAGCGCTCATCTTGCTTTATTGGCCGAGGGAGTCGGCATACAGCTTCTGGGTCATGTGGCCAGCATGACTAAGCCGCTTCTGGCGAATCAGAGCAGCGCACAGAAACACCGTTTACCTTCCCGCTGGAGCGGTACCTATTTATCTACTTGCACTTTAACGTGCTTTGTACTTTGCAGTAAATTTTGTGAGGGGCTTTAAACTTGCCTTTCTCCTTATTCTCATCCATAAGCCTTTGTACATTATACAGGCATATAATAAGCAACCATTCAATGCATCTAAAAATCAACTTGTATTACAGTCCAGTACTGCAATACTGGCACACAAAACTATTTAATAATAGGTAAACAAGTCTAGTTAGCAAGTGCAAGGTAATGTGTAATAAAAAGTTTGAGTGACCGTAATTGCTTGCCATTGAGAAATGTTTGGTATAAAAAGGTCATTTCTTGTTTATATCGTGTGTGTTTTTGGTTATTTCTAAGTTTATGTCTCATTTCAGCATTGGACACCCTTGCTGCTTTCTCAGCTGAAACATTACTCAATGTGATGGTTTTAAT